GGAACTGGCGGAGCTCATCTGCAAAGAGCTCACGAAGCATGCCCAAAGACTCCTCTGAGGAGAGCCGACGTCGGGAGGCGGTAGGGGAGCGGGCGCGGGGGTGGCGCAGAACAGTGTGTCGTGTCGTGTCGTGTCGTGTCGTGTCGTGTCGTGTCGTGTCGTGTCGTGTCGTGTCGTCAATTCATGAATGCCACTGCTCAGCTTACCCCCCCTCTCCACCCAGGCAGCCCGCCGGTATGTCCCTCACCGCCTCGTGGGGCCGGGTGCGTGCGCACCTGTCTGAGAAAGCATTTCGTGCCGTAGGGCGGCCGGATCCTGGTCTTCGGGCAGATCGACGGTCTCCCAGTAGGGGCGGGTGGCCATGTACTCGAAGGGCTGGGCGGCTTCCTCAAGGTCTCCTCCATTGCTGGACGATAATTGAAAGGAATCGATGAGTGGGGAAATATATAGATCTATATAAATATATATTTATATAAAGTGTCTGGTCACGTGGAACGACGGGCATCACCATGCCGGACGCACGCACGCACGACACGCACACGACACGCACACGACACACACTACACGCACGCACACGCACACACACACACACACACCGCTTCAACCGGTTCACGATGGCGTAGATGAAGACTGCCGCAAGGATGAAGAAGCGATTTCCAGTGGCATCTGCGTGCTGCTTGAAGAGCCGGAGCACCGCGGCAGGTGGCCCGGTCTGAGCGGAGAGCAGGAGACAAGCGTCCGGGACACACAAACACACACACACACACACACACACACACACCACACACACACACACACACGCACGCAGAGAGAGAGAGAGAGACACCCACGACACATACACCCACAAGTATACACACACGGCACACACACACACACGACACACACACGACACATGACACACATACGACACGACACACGACACACACGACACATGACACACACGACACACACTTGCATTAGAAAAAGGGTCGCAGAAAGAGGGTGGAGGAAGATGGATTGACGTGCCTTGAGCTGCAATTCGAGCGATTGAGCCTCCGAGCGACAGTGCGGGCTGCAGTACAGCAACAAGGAACCATCGGGTGTCTGACATATGCAAGGGTGGGTGGGTGGGTGGGTGAACAGGACGTGGGGGACGAAGGGACTGGCCTGGTACTCACCTGGCGGGTGAGCACGGTAGAGGTGAGGGCGGCCTCCTCGGCAGAGATGGCCGGGAGGGCAAAGTCGGCGTTGGGAGGGAGGGGGCCTGCAGAGCATCACCACCACCAGCAGTGGCGGCGTCCACGCGCAGCGTTACCGCCTCCCCGCAGCTCAAGAGCGCCAGCTGCAGCCAAAGGGACCCCACAAACCTGCACGACGGACAAACAGACAGACACGCCAAACCAAAACCAATAACAGACGGGGTCAATGATCACCCCTGCCTGCAAGGAGGCGGTAGGCCAGCAGTAGAAGCAGAAGCGGCGGCGGCGCACCTATGACAGTGTTCACAGGTCGCCACAGGTCGGCGATACTCCGCACAGCAGCCTGCTGCTTTTGGCGGGGGGGGGCAGAGGTTGAACGGCGGCCTGTGATATGCTGTAAGAGAAAGAGGTAATGTACCTTCATGGAGTGCGGTTTGTTTGCGTGATTGCAAGCAGGCAAGAGAACAATCACGGAAGACAACAGCCCGATCTTCAAAGGAAGACACAGCAAAGCAGCCTTTTCCCTGGCGCTCATCAATGTGCTTCACTTCCACGCCAAAGCCAGCACCAAGTGCACGGTAGTAGTTGGCCTCCGCTACTCTCATCTCGAGTAAGAAATCTTCCCTTTTGTTTGGCGGGAAAACTGTTCCAACGCCACGCACACCTTAGCAGACCACGTCTGCTGATGTGCCCCTTTCGAAGGTTCCATCTGAAGGGCTCCAAAAAGATATGCTGCATTAATAAGATGGTGAGAGCTTCTCTCCAAGATCCAGCATTAATTGTACTCATCAAGCCCCCTTTCCGCAGGAAGATTATTGAAGACAAAGTGCACCATGCCCTCTTGCCTCAAGCCACGAGCTTCTTCCAACACAGCGAGCTCAGGAGGCTGCCGCTGCCCCAGCTGCCACGTGCCAGGCGCCAGACGACCCCTCTCAGCTCCAAAGGTCCCACTTATTTATTTTGGTATTATTACAGCTATTTTTTTCGTTTTACATGGACGAAGGCGGAGTGCTCATCGTGCGCCAGTTGTTACTCTTGTTGCTGGATCCGAACGATTGGATGGTTTTTGGTGAAGCGGCGACACAGGGTCCGATGAAGGGGTGGTGATGACTTCCAACGGCCTGTGCTGCGTGACCGGCGACTCGACCGTGGTGCTTATGTTGTCGCGCAACGAGAGAGAGAAAGACAAGCAGTCCGCCGCCAGGTTCGCTCTTTTCCTCTTCCTTCCCTCTTGAGTGTGACAATCTCGGATCGTCGCTCGAAGGTTTCGAGCGACCGCCATTCGACCAACGAACCAACCTGCCTTCTTGTCATATCAAGTCTCTCTCTCTTTCTCGACCGACTGTCGGTCATGCTCATCAGGTCGCGGAGTGTTTCCTCGCAAGGCACCGCCTCCAGTGAAGACCGACAAAGTGCGGCCGCGACCAACGCCACCACTCCACTACGCGTAGACAGTCCTTACGACCACTGTGATACTCTTGCTTGCCACAGCCGTGTGTGTGTCAACTTAGGCCACGCGCCACCGACGACGGCGCTCTGAGCCCTGGACGACGTTACCTGCGAGCTCCTTTCTTCTCACGGTATTTCTCTCGCTCTGCGCTGCCCTTCTTCTTCTCTCGCTCTCGTTGGTGGTGGTCGTGGTGGTCGTGGCTGGCTGGTTTCCCTCTCAAAGTGTACGATGCCAACCACGCGAGGTCATCTTCCACGACATGACCTCCATGCCCACCGAGGACACCTACGAGCAGCAGATCTTGAAGGCAACCCCCCCCCCACCCTCCAACTATTACCTCGCGGGGCTCTAATGATGTTGCAACTGTTGTGTGTGTGTGTGTGTGTGCGTGTGTGTGTGTGTGTGTGTGTCGTGGTGTGTGTGTGTGTGTGTGTGTGTTGTAGAGACTTTGGTCTCACATTGGTGGTGTGCAGCTATTCAAGAAGCGGAGGACCTGCACGCGACTGACTACCCGGCAGCGGGTTGACGTCCTACCTTGTGTGATCATTGCGTTGAACGCGGCGTCGTTGCCACCGGCTCTGTGCATGGTGTCATTGTCCACTGGTGTGCCGCTTCTGCCTTGTCAAGGAGAACGCACGCACCACTCCTCACCTTCCTCCGTAGCAAGTCCTGAATGGAAAAATAAAAAAATGCGCATTTCTTTAGCACGGCACACCATCGGCACCGTTTTGTTCACTTGCCTTGTAAGCGCTTGGCCTCGCGATTGGTCCAAAATGCGCGGCAGAGCATGGGCTTCAAGATGTGATAGGACTCAGCCCTGTACGATGGCTTATTGGGCCGTACGACCTCGGCATTTTGACTTGGAAATTATTGCGCGGCCATCGCCACACAAGCAAGAAGACTCGTTTTCTCGCTTGCTCTGAAAGATCTTGACCTCGCGATTGGTCCAAAATGCACGGCAGAGCATGGGCTTCAAGATGTGATAGGATTCAGCCCTGTAGGACATCTCATTGGGCTGCTAGGACCTCGCCGTTTTAACCTGGAAATCGACATGACGCAGTTTTTTTTCGACAGCACACAATGCCACCATCTCCCCTGGCTCGATGGGATGCCCTCCAGCTACGGCAAGGTCGACCTTCCGCGATAACCGCGAAGGCCGTACTCTCAGGGGCGGTAACCTGGTATGTCCGCGGTTGTCCGCGATGTCCGCGGATAAGAGCCATCTCCTACCACTCTCATCGGTCATCTCGCGCCACCTCTTCCGCGGCCACAGGGGATGCAACGAAAACGTGTACAACTAGTTTTACGAGTGTTACAAGTTTTACTAGTTTAACGACGTACAAGGACGACTAAACGTGTGAGCTCCGCAATGGCTGGTCACACCATCCTCAAACTGCTCTCCCCCCTTGAGGCTCATCGCCTGACGAAGTGATTGGGGATGGCTTGTTTTCGCGGACATCGCGATCATCCGCGGATAATCGCGACCTCCTCGCGGTGAAGAGTAGGCGGTCCGCGGGAGATCGCGATTATCCGCGGACATCGCAACCTCCCGCGGACATCGCGATTATCCGCGGACATCGCGGCCGGCGACTCATCCCCATTGGCACCACTCCTACCCTGAGAGCTTTGAAGGCTGGTGAGTTTTCCTTCAACCATCATCGAATTTCATGTGTGTTCGTTCTTTGCGTGAGCTACTAGTTTTCCACGTGTTACGCGTGCAATTCGTTTTACTCGTTTCGGTTGCATCCCCTTAGCAGGCAGCCAGCAATCAAGGCAAGCGAGCAAACTGCCATTTTTCGTAGAGTGATTTCTGAGGGGATGCAACGAAAACGCGTAACACTTGTTAAACGCGTTTAACTAGTTTAACGCGTTTAATCAGTGTTGCCGCAGGTGGTTTGTGGTCATTTTACTCTTTTTTTCGCGTTTTTTTACTCCATTAACTCGTTATTTACTCGTTTTACTCGTTATTAACGCGTTTTTTACTCGGTCCACACGTTCTCTACTCGTTTCACGCGTTTGCTACTCGTTTCAGGCGTTCTCTACTCGTTTCACACATTCTCCACTCGTTTCACGAGTGGCCCACACGTTCAACGAGTGGGCAGGTCGTTAAACGAGTTTAATCAGTGTTTCACTAGTTAAACGATTTAAACGCGTTTAACGAGTGTTACGCGTTTTCGTTGCATCCCCTGAGGTACAAGTTGTGTTGCGAACAGCGCACCGAGCGCCCTGAATCGTGTGGCATCTTGTAGCCCATGGTCTAATTGGTCTAGAAACGTATTGGCAGGCCGCTAGCTATCAAGGCAAGCGAGAAACCTGGTGCTCCTTTATTGGTGGCGTAATTCTCGAGCTCTAAGTTGAGAGGAGAACATTGCACCGTAGCGCCCTGAATCGTGCTGGATCTTGTAGCCCGGAGTCTAATTGGTCTGGAAAATGTTTGCCAGGCCGCTTGCTATTAAGACAAGCGAGACAAACTGTGCTCTCGCTTGTGTGCTGTCGAAAAAAACTGCGACATGTCGATTTCCAGGTTAAAACGGCGAGGCCCTAGCAGCCCAATGAGACGTCCTACAGGGCTGAGTCCTATCACATCTTGAAGCCCATGCTCTGCCGTGCATTTTGGACCAATCGCGAGGTCAAGAGCTTTCAGAGCAAGCGAGAAAAAGAGTCTTCTTGCTTGTGTGGCGATGGCCGCGCAATAATTTCCTAAGTCTATATAAACTCCGCTCTCTCCGGCGAGTACGTAGGTCGAAACTGGACAAAATCCGGGGACGGTGAAAGTCCGTGTGCTGTGTTCGTTCCTTTGCTTTATGGTACACATGCCCACCCCTCCTGTACAGAACCAAAGAACACCCCTTCCCTCCACTTGCTCTTGCGGAGGCCTGGCCACCCACAGCGCCCAGCCCAGTGTGGCTGCCTGTCACCAGGCTGGCTCTCTTGGTTACGACGAAGGGTGGTTAGCCCTCCATGCCGAAGAGGCGCTTGCGGGTCTTCTCGAAAGCACGTTCACGGAAGGTGTTGGGGTAGCGGGAGAAGATGTCGTCGACGGTGGTGCAGTGGACCTCCTTGAGCGAGCCGCGAAGGTCAAAGTCGGTGTAGCGGGTGACCTGGACAAAGAGCTTGGGCATTCCGCGCAGGAGAGTGCGGATGGCCTCGTCGGTGAAGCAGGAGCACGAGATCAGGTAGAGGTCCTCCAAAAGCGGACATCCGACGGCGATCGCATGGAGGGAAGCCTCCGTCAGATTGTTGAGGTTGTTGAGCTCAAGTCTCCGCAGGTTCGGGCAGGCTTCGGTGATCCGCTTGATGGCAGCGTCGTTGAGCTGGATGCACTCGCTCAGATTGAGCACCTGGAGCGAGGGAAAGTAGCCGTTCTCCGGGAAGCACGCACCTGGTTGCGAGAGACAGACACCTCAGCGGCCATCGCAAGAAGAGGGAAGGGGGGATTATGCTTGCGCGTGCTTGGACGGTGGAGGAGGATTGTGTGTGGCGGGCGGGCGGGCGTGGAGAGAGTACCGGTGAGGATCATGCAGTTGCAGAGGGACAGCTCCACCAGCTGAGTGCAGGCGCAGAGGAGCTTCTTGATGGCGTTGTCGGAGACGGAGAGCTGGTTGAATTTGTTCCAGAAGTCGAGCGTGAGCGACTTGAGGCCGGTGCAATATTGCGCGATGGCAAGCAACGACGAGTCCGTTACGCCGTCCCCGTATCTGAACCTCAGAGTCTGCAGCTTGGTGCACTGCTGCACCACGTTCTGCAGGCCGTAGTCGGTCATTCCGATGCCATCCAGCAGCAGGCTGCTCAGCCCCTTGCACGTCTTCGACACCTGGATGAGGGAGAGCAGCAGCAGCAGCAGCAGAGAGACGGACAGGAAAAGTGGTGAGTCAAGTGGGTGGAGCACTACTCTCGGCCAACGGCGCGGTAGGGGAGGGGGGGGGAAGGATGGTCTGTCTCCATCCAGCGCATACGTGTGGCGGGGAGGTGGGCCGCGGCGTACCTCGAGAAGGATGGCGTCCATCTCGAAATGGTAGTTGGAGAGGTCCAGTGTGGTGAGGTTGGCACAGCATTGGATGAGCTGGATGAAGTCGCCGCTCGTGATCTTGAACGACGTAGAGAGCGGCGAGAAGTTCAGCGACTGCAGATCGGAGCACACCTACGCAAAGCAAAAAGTAACGTTAACTTTGGGTGAGGACACAAACACAGCAGACACGGCCGTGGGCTCCTTTGTAACCAAGCAACGAACGTGGAAGTTGGTGGAACAATGGAGAAATAAGGACACCACAACCGCAGAGAGTGGTGGATATTGGTGGCTGGTGGTGGCTGGTGGTGGCTGGTGGTGGCTGGTGGTGGCTGGTGGTGGCTGGTGGTGGCTGGTGGTGGCTGGTGGCTGGTGGCTGGTGGCTGGTGGTGGCTGGTGGTGGCTGGTGGCGCAAAAGGAGAAGTGGGTCGGGTACCTTGGCGAGGGTCTTGAATCCCTTCTTCGAGAGTTCGCAGTAGGAGAGGTTGAGCGATTGGAGACGGAGGGGGCGCTTTTTGGAGGCGGTCTTGCCGGAAACGAACGTGCGGAAGGCAGTGCCCTTGATCTTTTTACACCCGAACAGGGACAGCTCCCGCAGGTGAGGACAGTTACGCAACACCGTGTCGATCGACTTGTCCGTGATCTTCTCCGAGCACTTGAGCTTCAGCACCTGGTGATGGCCACGAGGAGCGGGGCGATCCAACAGCAAACGGTAAAGCGCGCGGCAAAGGTTACTACTCACAATGAAATGCAGCAGCAGCAGCAGAAAAAGAAGGAAGGCAAAGGGTCGGTCCCCACACAGGCCGCGCGCGGAAGCAGCGGTCCGGGGTGGCGGCGGGGCACGACGGTCGTACCTGCAGGTTGGGGCAGTGCTCGGCGACTAGCTTAATGGCGCGCGACGACAGCTTCGATGAGCAGTAGATGGACAGCTCCTCCAGGTTGTGGTTGTGGGTGACCACCGCCTGTGCACCACACGACGACAAGAGACGCCCACAATGGGTGGGTCAAGAGCGAGCGAGGGAAAGAAGAAGGGGAAGGAGGAGGAGCAGAGAGGAGGAGGAGAGAGAGAGAGCGCGCGCGCTCTGGCTCATGTACCTTGACGATGCCGTCGGTGGTGGCGCCGAGGGTGAGGCGGCGCAGCTTGGTGCAGGTGGTGGCGAGCTGGTGGTAGTCGGCCTCGTTGAATTCGCAGGAGATGAGGTCGAGCTCCTCGAGCTGCTCGTCGAGCAGGCGGTCGAGCACGGCGCGCGGGAGGCGTCCGTTGTTGATGCGTATGAGGAAGTCGAGCATCTTCTTCTTGACGGCGGGGAGGAGGGTGCCGGTGACCTGGCGGATGTTGTACTGCTCGATGTGGGAGGCCACGCGGATGAAGCAGAGGTCGACGAGCGAGGGCAGCGGGCGGGGCCGCTTGGTCTTGCGCATGGGGATGGTCTCCCAGTCGAAGGGCGTGCTCTCATCGCCATTCAGCCGGTGGAAGAGGGAGGCCAGGAGGGTGTGGAGGTACTTGTAGTCCGGCCGATCCCCGTAGCGCAGGCTCTGCAGGTGCTCCATGAACTTGAGGAACTCCTCGGGCGAGTCGGCCACCAGCTCCGGGTTGTTGAGGCGCTTCTTCATGTCGCCCACGTGGTCCTTGTCCTTGATCCGCCGCCACGGCAGCTGCCCGTTGGAGAACTCGAGCAGCACGTAGAACAGCGACCACAGGTCGTCCCGCCGCCCGAGGTCCTTCGACTCGTGCGAGTTGATCGCCGCGTACCGCGCCGTACCGCGGAAGCCCGTCGACTCGCGCGCCGGCCGCACCTCGCCGTTGGACAGCACGTACTTGCGCGCCAGACCGAAATCGATCAGGTACACCGTATTCCTCTTCTCCGGCGTCAGCCCGATGGCGTAGTTGGACTGGGTGTCGTGTGCGTGTGCGGTGGTGCGTGTGCGGTGGTGCGTGTGAGGCGCAGAGAATTGAATAATAATAATAATAATAATAACACGACCAACTCAAACCCGCCGCCGCCAGTGGGGAGGAGGGGCGTACGGGCTTGATGTCACGGTGGAGGTAGCCCAGTTCGTGCACTGCCTCGATAGCGCGGAGCATCTGCATGCCGAGCTTGCACGTGGTGAGCATGGAGAACTTGCCGCCGGGCTGCTTGCGGCGCAGCTCAGAGATGTTCTCGCCCAGCAATTCCATGACCATGTAGTTGTAGTCGTTGTGCCGCCCGCACGTGATGAACTGCACCACCCACGGACACGCTACGAGACCACGCGTGGAGATCATGCACGTCAACACAGCTCAAGTCAAAAAGGGAATCGGGCGCAAAGGAGCGAGAGCGAGGGCGAGAGAAAGCGATTGCAAACCGCAGTAAGCGGGCACCCGCGTAAGGCGCTATCCCCCCCCCCGTGCGGACGCAAAAAAGGCAGGGAGCTTACTTTGTAGTTTCTTGAGGACCGCCACCTCCAGTTTAAGGACCTGCTTCTTGCTGTCCACGCGCTCCACCTTGATCGCCACCAGTTTGTTGGTGTTGATGTCTCTTCCCGAATAGATCTCGCCTGACAGAGAGGGAAAAGGAGGGAAGTTAAGTGCTTTCTCAATTGCAATCGAACGAGTAGCGGGAGGTACCGAAGGCGCCCTGGCCGATCTTACGCAAAATCTTCCAGCGGCCCTTTATGATGTGCGAGCCGTTGAGCATAGACGACATGGTACCGTTGGACGCTGGAGTAATCATAATTCCGCATCCAAGAAGGCATCAGCAGATCACATTGGGAGATTTGAGAGGGGCATGGGTACCCATTCCGCTGGATTGAAGAGAGGAGTGGGTCGTGTGGAGGGGAGCGCAACCTGTCGAACCACGTAAGCCCCTCCTTGCGGAGGCGAGCAGTCCTTCTTCTTCTCCTCCTGACGCGGGGTAGCAGCTTGTTGGCTGCTTCAGCGACCTCCAACCAACAGGGTTGTCCAAGCAAGTAATAATTGTCGACATCGCTAGTACATAAATAATAAATAAAGGAAATGTTTTGCGCTTTCGGCTCTCCGCCACACTGGTCAGTCCCAGTCGAAGAGGAGCTCGTCGGTGATCGGGGGAGGCTCGGTGAGGGGTTGGAGGAGCGTGGAGTCGTGGAGCAGGTCAGAGAGCTCGTCCAGCTTGTCGTCGTCGGTGGCGTTGGCGTTGGCGTTGGCGGCACTGGTAGTGCGTGCGTGGGCGGTGCCGGCCAGGACGAGCGCGCCGAGCTTCATCTTGTGTGCGGCGCGCTCTACGATCTTGGCCTCGATGGAGTTGCCGGTGACGAGGCGGTAGACGCGCACGTTGCGGGTTTGGCCGATGCGGTGCGCGCGGTCCTGCGCCTGGAGGTCCATCTGCGGATTCCAGTCCGAGTCGACGAACACGACCACGTTGGCTGCCGTGAGGTTGATGCCGAGACCGCCGGCGCGAGTGCTGAGGAGAAAGCAGAAGGCGCCGCCGTCTTCGGTGCCGGCGGTGTTGCCGTTGTTGTTGCTGCTGCTGGTGGTGGTGGTGGAGGAGGAGGAGGAGGTGTTGATGGTGTTGGTGGTGGTGGTGTTGTTGAACTCCTCGATCTGGGCCTGGCGCTCGGGCTGGGGCGTGGTGCCGTCGAGGCGGAAGAAGGGGAACTGGCGGAGGTGCATGTAGTCCTCGAGGATGTCGAGCATGCGGGTCATCTGCGAGAAGAGGAGCACCTTGTGACCCTCCTCGCGCAGCCGCGGGAGCAGGCGGTCGAGCATCTGCAGCTTGCCGGAGGTCTCGACGAGGCGCTCGTCCACCACCTCCTCGCCCTGGTCGTCCACGGGCCACTCGAAGAGGTACGGGTGGTTGCAGCACTTGCGCAGCTGCATGATCAGATTCTGCAGGCCCGTGCCACGCTGGCACCGCGCCTTGGCCTTGGACGTGGCCAGCAGCTCGTGCAGCTGCCTGTCCAGGGTGGCCTGGTAGAGCCGCTGCTGCGCCGGCGTGAGGATCGTGTTGATGATACGCTCCTCCTTCTTCGGCAGGTCCATCTCCACGTCCGTCTTGATCCGCCGCAGCAGGAAGGGCTGGAGGATGGTGTGCAGCTTGGTCACCAGCTGGTTCTCCCGCTCCGCCGTGAGGATCCGCCGGTTGCCCTCCTCGCGCCCCACGCCCTCAAAGTTGAACCACCGCTGGAAGGCCTCCAGGTCGTCGAAGATGCTCGGCATCAGGAACGACAGCAGCGACCACAGCTCCGTCAGGTTGTTCTGCAGCGGCGTGCCCGTGAGCAGCAGCCGATTGGCACTGTCGTAGGCCTTCAGCTCCTGCTCACACGACACACACGTACGACACCAGGTGATCGCGCGCAGTCAGCCTTCGGGACTCTCCGGGTTCGGATCTTCACCCAGCCCGGGCGCGCAGGTCATGAACCGACACCGGAGCCGTGGGTGGGGGGAGGGATATGGGGGGCGGCGTAGAGGCGGGGGGGGGCACCTTGACGAGGCGGCAGTTCATGTTCTTGATGCGGTGGCCCTCGTCGAGGATGATGTACTTCCACCGCTTCCGCTGCAGGGCGCTGCGGTCCTTGATGGTGATTTCAAAGGAGGTGACGACGATGCCCTGCTTGCTGGAGATGATGGCGGGCAGCGCCTTCTTCCGCAGCTCGATCCGTTCGTCCTTGGTGCCGTGGTAGAGCAGGACGGGCATGGCGGGCGCCCACTTTTGGATCTCCTTCACCCAGTTGGCCAACGTCGAGAGAGGACCGACGACCAGAAACGGACCCTTCACCCCCTTCGCATAGAGGTACGTCAGGAACGCCACCGTCTGGATCGTCTTGCCCAGGCCCCTGTGGTGCCCACGCCACGCCACGCCACGCCACGCCACGCCACGCCACGCGCATTCACGCCGCCCCGATTCCGCCCCTCGCGCCGCATGAGTTGCTGAACACTCGCGAGTGTCGTATTCGCACACACCCACCCGCCTCCCGAGGAGGCCACAGAACCGCGGGAGGGAGGGCACGGCACGAGGGCAAGGCGGAAGAGGCGCGCCGCGTACATCTCATCGGCGAGGATGCCGTTGATGCCATTCTCGTAGAGGGAAGCAAGCCACGCCACGCCAGTGAGCTGGTAGTCGCGGAGCGCCCCGCCCGTGAGCATTTCCGGCTGTCCGATGGCGTCCGTCTTTTGTCGTTTCCTCTTGCCTCCGTTCTGCTCGCTCTGCTGCTTGGCCTCCTCCTCCTCCTCCTCACCCTCTCCCTTCTGTGGCGTGTGTGTATGTGTGTTGTGCAGCTACGGTTAGCCCGCGTGCTGCGGACGGCATACCGCCAGCGGTGTGATTGGTGTGAGCCCCCCCCCCGGGGGGGGTAGGGAGCGCACCTCCGAGTCCTCGGGGCGGGGCCTCTTGCCGCTCTTGCCTTTGCCTTTGTTTTTGTTGGGCGTGGTGGACCTGCCCGTGCTACTGCTGGCCACCGGCACTGCTTCAGGAGGGAGCTGATTTGGGAGGCCAGGGAGGCGAATCCGCTGCGAGATGAATTGAGAGTAGGCCGTCGCCTGCTGCAGCATGAGGTTGAGTCGCTGGAGCTTGTCTTCCAGCCCTTGGTCTTCTTCCTCTTCGGCCGCTTCGCCCTGCGCTCCCGCCTCCTCGGGGGGATCTTCCTCGTACGAGGGGTCGTGTTCTTGAGGCTGTCCGTCATCTTCGCGCTCTTCCTCGTGGGTGCGGCGCTCCACCTTGGTCTCGGGGGCTTCCATCTCCCCTGCGATTGATACCGTGCCACGGCTCGCGCACAAGCAAAACAGAACACAAACTGGGAGAACTTTTTTTTAACCACAAAAGGCCCATAAAAAAGGTTCTATTTGCCTAACGGGGGGGGGGACATCAGTGCTCCTCCTCATCGACGAGACCGAAAAGGGGGGTGGTTCCATCGCGGAACGGGAATTTCTTTCTCATCTGGTGCATGTGCGAGTACTCGTGGCGGTGCTCGTGTTCGTGCGCTTGGAGAGCGATGATGAGATGGGCAACAATCACAACACCGAAGCCAGCAGCAGAGTAGTAGCCGTAGGCGTGGTTGCCGTGGGCGCCTGCGAAGGCCGAACACGACCGCCCAGTAAGCCCCGAAGCAAAACAATAATCAGAAATTCATGGTGTGGAGGTACCGTGGCCAGCAGCACTAGCGAACCCGCGCGACGAGGTCCTGCCGAGGAGAGAGGGGGCAGAAGAACGGAGGAAGGGGGTGGTCCTTTGCATGGCGGTGATTTCCTTGTCTACGGGTACCTTTTGCCTCTCCGGGTTGTCCTGCGGCTGCTAAGAAATCATTGGCCGAGAAATGATTGTGAGATTTCATCAAATTTTACAGTGAAGAATGAAATGCTATGCCACGTGGCATTTGTTTCTTTTTTGATTGCGCCAAGAGGAGAACAAACTTGAGGGTCCTCGTTCATCCGCCTGTTCATCCATCATGGAGGCCGTCCTACACCAGTGGAAAGGTCTGCGCCAATCACTACATATCATCTGACAATCATCCCCAACATCAGCTAATGGCGGGGTAGATTTCAATTTGGAGGGGCTGCGCACAACTCTGGATGCCCAGGCATCCGGCATAGGTGACTATCAGGACGCATCCTCAGAGTCTCGAAAGAAGCTCGCTGAAGCGACCAAGAGTACGTCTCTCGTCTAGCTACAAGTAGGGTGGCGTCGCGCTTGGGCTCATCCTCTAATCTGTGGTGACACTTTGTCAGAGTTTCGAGGACTGGCAGTGGACGTGAAACTGAAGAGCGTAGGGCCACTGCTGAAGAGCTACCAGGAAGAGATCGACCGCCTGACCCTGCGCAGCTCCTTCGCAGAGAAGGCATTCCTTGCCCTCTACAAGCCCCTCTCTGAACTGCCTGACCCGGTGCTGGGCCTCAATCGCGCCACCGTACGCACGCACAGGACCTGCCCTGCTCTCTCTCTCTCTCTGTGTGTGTGTGGTGTGTGTCGTGGTGTGTGTCGTGGTGTGTGGTGGTGTGTGTCGTGTGTGTGGTGGTGTGTGTGTGCGTGCGGTGTGCGTGCGGTGCGTGTGCGTGCGTGCTTCTCTTGCGCTTCCCATTGTGGGCTGAGCTGGGCTGGGCGTCTCTTCTTGCCGCGTTCACCCCCTCCCCCAAACCGGGCTGACGGGTGGTGTGTGTGTGGTCTGGTGGGAGCGGGTTTGCAGGAGGAGCTGCAGCAGGTGGGCAAGGTGGGGGAGCTGGAGGCCGAGAACAGGCGGCTGCAGAAGGAGGTGGAGGAGTTTCACAAGGAGTTCCAGGAGATCCAGAACCAGGAGGTCACCGTGCGGCGCCTGGAGGAACGGCTACGAGAGTATGAGGGCCAGATGGAGGAGCTCGTGGCCGACAAGGTCAAAGCGCGGGAGCGCGAGCTCACCGAGGAGCACATCGCGATGCGCTGGCGCTTGAGGAGCGCATAGCCGAGTCCCAACGGCAACTCGCCTCTGCCCGCGCTGAGCTGCTCGCCGTGCGTCAGGCCTACGATGCCGCCCAGGCCTCCCTCTTTGACCTCAAGCTCAGGCACGGTAAGGAGGCCCGCCACCGCCGCCAGCAGCTCACTCACTCACCTTGCTTGCCCCGCCCGCACCTTCCGGTTGCTGCTTCCTTCTACTCACTCACTCACTCACTCACTCACTGGCGGACTGGCCACTCGCTGGGTTGGGTTGCTGGGCGTTGGTGGTCGTCTGCAGACGACGAGCAGGCCGCCAGGCAGGCACAGGTGGAGCTGTTGTTCAGCGAGGTCGAAAGGGCCAACGCGTCTGTGCTCTCATTGGAGCGGGAGCGGGACAAGCTCAAGGAGCAGCTTTCAGCCGAAAGGCATCTGTCCGTGGCACCACCCGAGCCCGACCTCGAAATAGCTGTCGCACAGAAGGACATCGAGGTGCGGGTTTGCTGCTTGCTGCTCGACTCTTCCCTTCCCCTTCCCCTTGACCCACACGGCTATCGGGGGGGGGGAGCTGATCCATGGATTACGTAATCGTGACCCACCCCGCGGGTGCCTGCTCTTTCTCTCTCTCTCTCTCTGCAGGTGGCGACGTTGCAAGAGCAGGTGCAGCAGCTCCAGGCGAGCCTCAGCCAAGGCGCCCAAGCCCGCGAGGCAGCAACAGCGGCGCTCCAGGCGCAGGTGCAGGAGCAGAAGGCCGAAATTGATGCCCTCCACAAGCAGCTCCACTCGGCACCCTCTGCCTCTCAGATGCAGGTTCGTGCCACGCCCGGCCTCCTTCCCGCTCTCCGTGGCCCCGCTCACTCCTGACCCGAGCCTCACGCGCGCCTCTGCTATCTCCTCTTTGTGTCTGTGGGGGGGGGGTGGCGGCCACTCACCCGCGTGCGCGTGTCGCTGGTCTCACGCCTTGCTTGCTTGCTTGCTTGTGGTGCAGGAGATGAAGAAGCAGTTGCAGATGCTCAAGTCGATGGAACTGGACATGAGCGAATCCGATCCCATCGGCGAAAAGACGGTGCTCAAGCTGCTCAAGGAAAAGAGCCGCCGCCTGGAGACCGAATCCATCCAGTTGAAGGTGCGCACCACTCGACCACTCTTTGTCTCTTCTCTGCTGTCGACGGAAACCGAATGAGGAGCCGCCTCACCCTTGCACGGCGCGCGTGCGCCTCATCGCGGCGGTGGCTGGTGGCCATCGTGATGGATGGATGGGGGTGGGATTGGGTGGAACCCGCAGGCTCGTGGCAAGCAGGTGGAAGAGGAGTTGGGCCACACAAAGCAGCAGCTGGAGGCAGCCGAAGAGAAGCTGAAGGAGCAGTCGCGGCTCATCTCCCGTCTGGAGGAGGACATCGCCTCTGCGCACCGGGCTGGCCCCCCACCTGCTCAGTCGGCTCCTGCCGTGGAGGAAAGCAGCGGCGGCGGCGGCGGCGGAGGCGGTAAGGCGATGTCGCAACCATCGGCCGGGAGCGCAAGTGATGACATCTCCACCGTCACCGAGATCATACGCTCTCAGCGGTACCCCCCCCCAATCTCTATCACTCGCTCTCCTCTCTCTCTCTCTCTCTCACATACACACGATGTCGGGCGCTGCCCGCCCGGTCATTCCGCAGGGACCGCTTCAAGATGCGAGTGGGCGAGCTGGAGACGGAAGCGCGCAAGTTGCGCGATCAGCTCGCCGATGTACAGGAGGAAATCAGTTCGCTGCGTGGCGACAACCTCAAGCTGTACCAGAAGATCCGCTACCTCTCCTCCTACAACCCCCGCCAGGGCAAGACCGCCGGCGACCCCGAGGACCCCTCCGAGTTGAAGTACAGGAACCTCTACGAGGACTCCGTCAACCCCTTCACCCTCTTCAACCGGAAGGTGCGCGCCATCCCCCCACCCAAGCGATGAATACGTACGCTGCTACTGCCGCCGCCGCTACGCTGCACAGCACAGCACCCGTCCGCTCCTCTTTCGCTCACATTCTGGCCTCCCTCGCTCCCTCTCTCACTCCTGGGAATCCTCGCTGCTCGGGGGGCAATGAGCAGGAGAAGCAGGAGAGGTACAAGGGCCTCAACACGGCAGAAAAGGTGACACTGCACACCGGCAGATTCTTCCTGGCCAACAAGTACTCGCGCACGTTCATCTTCTTCTACGCACTGGCGCTCCATCTCCTCGTGTTCCTCACCCTGTACAAACTCGCCAACACCGCCACCCTGCGTCCTGCTGTCTGATCCCCCACCCCCACCCCCACCCCGCCCATGTACATGTTTTGGTGGCAAGAAAGCAACCTCTCCCCCCGTTCTTCCTCTTCCTCTTTGTGTGCAAGGCCTTATTTGCCCGTTGGCTCCTTGCCACTGTCCTGCCGTTGTGCCACGCCGACGATTCTGAGGCGCTCCACGTCCTCGAGCAGCGTTCGTAGGCCGTACGTGGCGCTCAGTTCCTCAATCTGAGCTTGGCTCAGAGGCTCCTCGTGCCGCTCCTGTGCGTACGGCACACGTGTGCGGTGTGTGTACGTGTGTAGTTAGTCAGCCATTCGAGAGATGCGAACGTGCCACTCTTGCCCGCACACATCCATCCCAGCCACTCCGTGCTGAATGGGGGGGGGGACAAACCTCCGTTCGTACGATTTCCTCCAGCTCGTGGGAGGGCGAGTACGAGATGCGATTTCTGCTGCTGAGGTCCAGGAACAGCTTGCCCCCACGCAGGGCCTGTACATGACTGTACAGGCGATACACGTTCCACGCGAGAAACACGTTCGGTCCTGCACAACACATCAAACACGACACACGACACACACGACACACACACACACACACACGGCACACACACGACACACGACACGACACACACACGCACACACGGCACACACGACACACACACACACACACACACACACACAGAGAGAGAGAGAGAGAGAGAGGACATAACAACACACACACACACACACAGAGAGAGAGAGACGACATAACACACACCACACACACACAACAAGAGAGAGAGTAGGCCTTTGAGCACATGTGCTCACTGCGCCCTGTCCCACCACACGCGAGAACATGGATGCGACCCTCCATGTACTGTGTGCCGAGTCGTGTCGTGTCGTGTCGTGTCGTGTGTATGTGTCGTGTGTGTGTCGTGTCGTGTGTCTAGGTACCGGGAAGCAGGCCCATGGCCAGACTCACGGGAAGCATGGCAGTGGAGCCATACGCGAGATTTTGGTGTCGCTTCGTTCGCGCGGCCACAAGCTGCGACAGAGTGGCACGCACCTGCTCGCCGCTAAGCTTGGCCGGATACACGACCTCGAGCTGCAGCTCCCTCTCCGCTTCTGTCAGCTGGTTTCCTTCGTCATTGGCCACGCCCCTGGCATGCCCCAAGCCACCATATTGTGTCGGTTAGCGAGAGGTACGTGCGCGGGCGGAGGGAGAGCAGGCGGCAATCCATCCATCCATCCACTCACCTGGTGGTCACCGCTTCGTCAGCAGCCGGGGCTACAGTCCGGTGAGCGGCAGTGAGGCACTTGAGCATGGACTCCGAAGGGTCGAGGCGTCGGTTGAGCGCGTCCACTCCGGCCTTGAGCCGGCCCTTGAGTCCTTCCCGCGGCAGCCGGTCGAACGAGTCTTTGGCTCGGCCCAGCAACTCGGCCCCCTTTCGCTGCAGCCCCTTGGGACCCCACCCTCTACTCGCGTACGTGTCGTACCCCACCCCCACCAAATAATAAATACGCCGTTCACCAACTGCAGCCAACCAGCCAGCCAGCGCGCGGGGGAGGGGGAGGGGGATATGTACGAGACAGGAGAGGAGGTGTCGTGCGAGGCGAGTGCTTCGGCGTGGTGCGGCACGCTGAAGACCCATCGGTCCCGCAACACGGGCACCACCAGCAGCCGGATGCGCGGTCCTCCTTTCCCCGTTGCGGCCTGCATGCACGTCTGGCAATCGAATAAAAGAAAAAACTGTTGTACCGAAGAGAAAGAAAAAAATTGTTTTCTTTTCTTGCTGTTTTTGTCTTTCCTTTTTTAAGGCAGTGTCTCTCCAAAGTAGTAGTAGTCGTAGAAGGACGAGGATGCGACACTCGCAGGTTGCTCTCCTGGCGAGCCTGCTGGCGATGGGACTCACGCTGGGGTACCTCTTCCTCGTGGAACTCGCGCTGGATGGCGACGAGCCTCACCTCCAAGCGGGGGCGCGTCGGTTGATGGCGTATGAGGGCTCGGGGGCGAGCCGATTGAGCAAGCTGAAGCTGAAGATGAGGTCGAGGGCGGCGGCTGGAGATAAGGTCGAAGAGCTGAAGGAGAATATCTTGCCGGCCGATGACGTGCGTGGCCGCTCGACCATCAAGGAAGAGGTGAAGCTGCTGGCGGCCAAGGTGCAGCTGCGGGAGAAGATTGACGCGCTCAAGGAGGCGCCCGAGCTCACGGGCGATCTGGCCGGCAGCCCCGAGTACGAGCTGCGCAAGAGCGAGATGATGGCCGTGCGCAGGCACCTCGAGGAGCAGATGCGGGAACTGGCCGACCGCGACGGATCCCTCCACGAGATGCGCCTCGAACTTGCCCAGCTCATGCGGGACCTCGAGCGGGCCAAGAAGCAGAGCAAGCTCGACGAGCGGCCCGAGGAGGTGGACCCCGTGGGAGAGGCCCTCGCCCTGGAGACGGAGCAGCAGCTGGCCGAGGTCGAAGAGGAGATCGAGGCCACCCGGCACGTGTTCGAGGGCGTCAAGGAGCAGTTCCTCCAGGAGGACCAGGCCGAGCAGCGCGAAGACCAGACCGAGAGGGAACGCCTCCACTCCCTCGCCGACAGCGCCCGCAAGAAGGAAGACCCCCAACGCGAGAAGGAGCTTCTCAAGGCCAAGACCCACGCACCCGATCCACTCATGGCCGCCGCCCCCACCACCACCACCAAGGACGAAACTGGTGGCCAGGAAGATGATGACGCCCATGAAGAAGAAGACGATGCGGAGGAGCTCGCAGAGCAGCAGGCCGACACAAAGCAGCAGCAGCAGCAGCAGCAGGCCGACAAGGAAGAGGAACCAACAGGTAAGAAGGCTGGCGTGTTTGACGCGGAGGAGCCGGACCACGCGATGATGCCACAGGGGGAGGAAGAGCAGGAGCAGGAGCAGGAGCAGGAAGATCAGGAGCTGGAGAAGGAGAAGGAGAAGGAGCAGAGAAGCAGGAGCAGGAGGATGAAGAACAGGAGCAGGAAGAACAGGAGCTGGAGAAGGAGCTATAAATTCATTCTTAAATGGGCCCGCAAGCAAGCGAGTGGGTCCTGTGGTGGTCGATGTTGTTGTTGTTGCACTCTGTCTGTGCACACCGCAGCAGACATCGTCCCCCCCCTATTGGGGGTAGTGATCACGCCGCACCGCCTCTCCTGCGATTTCCGCCGCTGCGAGGGCCGCCGCCGCCGCCGCGTGGCTTTGCAGTGCTAGCTGCTGTGTTAGCCTCTCCTCCGACCGCGGCGGCAGCAGCTGACTTGGGCTGGTCGCCTCCTTTTCCTCCTCCTCCTCCTCGCCGTCCCCTGCCGCCGCGCTGGCGACGCTCACCAGCGGCGCCCTCGTCCCACCCTCCCTGCACGCGTCCGCCCCGCTGTGCTCGTCCGCCGCCGCCGCTTCGGCCACGTGGTCCTCCGCTGGCTGCTGCTGGCCCTCCCAATCCGTCTGACGACAGCCCGGCGGAGCGCTCGCGCATGCTTGGCATGGCATCGTCCTTCCTCTTTTCGCCCACACGCCCCCCACGATCTGGCACCTGCACGTGGTGCACCCGGCGGTGAAAAATGGGTCGCCAATGGACGGTGAGTGGCGTGGTGTTGGCTGCATCGAGTCGGAGCCTGCCCAAAGAAGATGGGAGGATTGGGGGGGGGTACGTACGGAGCCGATGAGGAGCCGCTTGACCATGGCGTGAGCCGCGAGGTCAGGTGCCGGGTAGAGGCGAGCGAGGTCGTCGCGGGCAGCCAGGATGTCGTAGACGCCAAACGTGGCCTGTTTGCCGAGTGCCTGCTTGCCCACCTCCACAACGTCGACCACCTCGCTCTCGTGCTCCTGGGCAGAGGAAGAAGGACCGCCGCCGCCGCCGCCGCCGCCACACCACGCACATCCAGCAGGGCCACACAGACCATGATGAGTCCGTGAGCCGTTAAATTGCCTCCACACTGGCCCTCTCCCCCTTCTGCGCGCACCGGGGGGAAGGGGGGGAGGACGGGCGGGGTCAGCGAACCTGACGCTTGGTCGAGCAGGAGAGGGCGTGCAGTGTGACGTCCAAGCGCTTGACGAGGACCTCCCGCCGCACCTGGTACTCTTCGATGAAGCACTCATTCATCCGTTCCAGTTTTTCCTGACCACGCGGACACCACGCGCGCCACCCACCACCCACCCCCACGTGAGTTTTCTCACCATCATCAGGACCCTCTCTCTCTCTCTCTTGTCGTGTCGTGTTGCTGATTGAGAAGACGGTTGCAGGAGGGCGCGCACCATGTCCGGTGTGGAAAGTGCAAGGCGCGTGAGAAGGGGCGAGCCCAGGTGGTCGCGAGGCAGCCCTTTCAACAGCTCTGACAGCTGATTACCCCCTCCCCTCCCAACAAGCAAGCAGAGACAATCAGTGAGCCTAAGGGAAAAGAGCAGCGAGCCAGGAACGCACGCACGCACGCACGCACGCACGCGCGCACACAAACGAGCACGGTGGTGGCTGGGTGATGCCTTATTGTGTGCGTGTATGAGGGCGTCAACGCCGTGGGTGGCACGGGGCAGACCGAGGGCCTCCTCAATGTTGAAGAGGCTTTGCGCGGCTTCGTGCCGATCGAGGCCTTCTCTCGCCGTCGGGTGCCTCGCCTTGATGATCGCCACACACCACGCACCATCGCAAACAGCCGGTTGAGAGCACGAACGACCACCAAGCACGTCGTGGAACTGTGTGATGGGATTTGTTGTTCTCGGTGGTCGTACGGGGCTGCGGGGCTGTGCGAAGGTGGTCATGCGGGCGGCCTGCAGCTCTGAGGTGAGGAGCTCCACCAGCGCGGTGCGGCCGCTCGGCACCTCCATTTCTTCTTCCCGCTCCGATTCCCCGCCGTACCCTGCACCACCGCCACCAGCCGCCGCCGCGGTACAGCGGTGCCCCAATGGGTCCGGAGGGCAGCCGTCAGCAATGATGGACGGACTCAGCCATTCTTCCCTGCCCCTACCGTAGGGTCCCAAAAGGGGACGGCGGCGGCGGCGGCGGCGTCGACGGTGGTGCCGCGAGGAGGAGGCAATGCATACCCACATGGTCGGCGAGGAAGGTTTGGAGGCCGCGCCTGAATGACGGCCACTCGGTGGGCAGGGGAAGGGGAAGGGGGGTCGGCGGTGACGGGGCGTCGCAAAGAAGGAGGAGCTCGGACCACAAGACGCCTGCAGTGGACATGAAGCCCGCCTGCCGTCCAATGCTCTCCGCCAGCATCTCCACTGCGGACTCGTCGTCCATCGCCTCTTCCCACTCGCCACTCACCCTGTGCGTGCGTGCGTGTCCGGGGCACCACACGCTGCGTCATTCCACAACTCACACCACCAACCAAGCAGCAGCAGCAGCAGCAGCAGCAGCAGCAGCAGCAGCAGCAGCAGCAGCAGCAGCAGAGGTGCCAGGCAGCGTAGCACGATACCGGAGGGCGCGTAGGGCGCTCAGGAGATCCCAATGGCGGTCGTAGTCCAGTCCCTGCTCCCGCTCCTCCTGCTGCTGGTGCTGCTGGTGCTGCTGCATGGCGGCTGCCTCTGCCGAGCGGTGGTGGTGAAGAGTACGTGTGCAGCCAGGTGTCCACCTGCTGAATATTTTTCCTCCTTTTTTCTTGTTTTCTGCCGGCTGCTTTTTTTTGGCGCTGGCTGGTGGGATAATTCCGGGGGCCATGGTGGACCAATTTCCCCGTTTCCATTTCTTTTCTGTTCTCTCGGAGCGGGGCTGTTGCGGCCTCCGGAAGAAACAACATCTTGGAGGAGGAGGAAGAAGAAGATGGTGCGTGCTTATCTGCGATACGAGCCCCGTTCTGTGGCCGGTGTGGTGGCAAGTCCGGAGGCCAATTGCGTAGAGGTGGGCGAGGGCCTTGTGGCCGTCGGCGGTCTCGAGCGGGTGCTGCTGTGGGACCTCCGGACGGCGAGCCTGCGGGCGGCCCTTCCGCCGTACCCGCAACCGGGGGATGCCGAGAGCGAGTTCCTGCCCGACCCCGACCTCGTGGCCCCCAAGCACGCCCACGTCACCTTCCTCGCACGCTTCCAGTCCCGCCTCGCCGCCGGGTACCACTCCATACATATTTGCTCGTCCTTCCTTTCCTCCCCTGAATTTATTAATCTCGAACATCTATCTGTGTGTCGATTACAGCTTATCAACTTCACTCGTTCTTTAGTCTTGAAATCTTTTTATAAATATAGATTTCAAGACTAAATAGAGTTTTTTTTTGATTCTTTTCGCCTTATTTCAGGAGCAAAAGACTTTAGCTCGTTTGTCATCTCTTTTGCTCCTGCATGGAGTTGTGGTGCGAGAACGTGCACGTGATGGCTGACCACGCAGCGTGGGTGAGCAGGTACAGCGACGGTGTGGTGCGGGTATGGGACGTGGTGACTGGAGCGTGCGTGGTCACGCTCAACGGACACAAGGGTGCAATCACCGCGCTCTGCTTCGATGCCGAGGGCGGCCTGCTTGCATCGGGCTCGCACGACACGGACGTCATCGTGTGGGACCTCGCCGCCGAAACCGGCCTCTTCCGGTGCGACCTGCCGACCTACACCACCAGCCACCACACACACATACACACGACACACACACACACACACTGGCAGGTGCACAACGCGGCCCGCGTAATATTGCCACGCACACGCACACGCACACGCAAAGCAGGACGACGAGTCTCCTTCTCGTCCTCTCGCCCTCGCTCACACTTGACCTGCTCTCTCTCTCTCTCTCTCTCTCTCTCTCTCTGTGTGTGTGTGTGTGTCTGTATCTGTGTTGTGTGCGTTGCGTGTTGTGTGGGTTCAGTCTCCGCGGGCACAAGGGCAACATCACCGGGCTGTGCTTCTTGCGGAACCGCCACGCCCTGGTGTCGTCGTCCAAGGACATGCTCGTCAAGGTGTGGGACCTCGACACGCAGCACTGCATACAGACGGTGGTCGGACACCGCTCCGAGGTGCGTGCCCCGCGAGAGGGCCAGCTCCCCTCCCCTCCCGGTGGCGGGGATGACGGCTTCTACTTAGATACACGACACGACACGACACGACACGCACACAACGGCACACACGGCACGACACATGTCACACGACACGACACACGACACACGACATGACACACACGACACACATGACACACAAATGCATGTATGTACGCTTGACGGGTCCTTTGGTGCGCGGGATGGCAGGTGTGGAGCATTGCCGTCAACCACGACGAGACCCGCCTCATCACGGGCTCGGCAGCCCCCAACCTGCGCATCTACCGGATCACCGCCGCCGCCGCCGTGCAAGGGGCCAACAAGAGCTCCGGCGAGAACAGCGACGAGAGCGAAGAGGTGCCCCGCCCCGCCCCACGCTTCATCTTTTGCCATTGTCGGCGCCCATTGGCCAACAGCATGGCCATGGCAGCCCAAACCCCTCCCTCCCCCTCCCCCAATTCCCTGCTGACGTGGACGTGGACGTGCCGCGGTGCGGGCGCACAGGAGGTGTTGAAGTTTTTCGGGGAGATCACGCGGCAGGGCAAGGAGCGCGTGGTGCAGCTCTCGTTTTCGTCCGACGCCACGCTGTTCGGATGCCTGGGGGCCGACAAGACCCTCGAGCTGTTCCGCGTCCACCCCGCCGACGAAGTTCGCCACCGCCAGAAGAAGCGCGTCAAGCGCACCCTCGCCAAGAAGCAGCAGCAGCAGCAGCAGCAGCAGCAGCAGGACGCCGCCGCCGCCGCCGATGCTCCCGAGGCCGAAGGTGCACGTGCGTTCAACTAACGAGAGAGGGGGGGGGGTTGATTGGCGTTGGCCACCACCCATGTGACTCACCAACCACCACCCAACCACCGCCTCGACGGCGGCGGACGGGGACACTTGTTCTTCTTTGCAACCTCGCGCAGTGAGCGCCACGCTGCCCACCGACGAGTTCTCGGCCCTCCCCGTGCTGCGCGCCTCGCACAAGATTCGTTCGTTCGACCTCGGCGATGCCTCGCGGCACCAGGTGCGCCCACCCACGCTCTTTGATTCATGTGTGTGTCGTGCTGGGCTACGTTGTGATGGGGGGGGGTTTGCCTTCTCTCCTTTCGCTTTGTGATCTGTGCGGGCCTTCGGAGGAAGGGAGGGGGGAGCTGCTTCCCGGAGCTAACCCATTCAGTTGCTGATGTGTCGTTGGTCTGGTGGGTCGTAGGTGGTGCTGGGGCTGCACAACAACGCGCTGGAGCTGTGGGACATCCCGGCCGCCCTGCTGCAGAGCAAGGCCGACAAGGCCCAGGAGGCCAGTGCGGCGGCCAAGAAGCAGGGCGCCGGCAAGAAGGCCGCGGTGGCGGTCATCAGCGAAAAGGCGGCCCTCCTCAAGGAGGAGAAGGACTCGGTGGCGGGGGCCTACCGGCGCGTGTCGACCATCGAACTGGCCGGCCACCGCTCCGACATCCGCTCCGTCAACTTCTCCAGCGATGACTCCCTCCTCATGTCCACCTCCAGCGGTACCACCCACCGCCATTGTTGCCGCCACCACGCCTGCTGCTGCTGCTGCTGACCTTTGTCGCCCCTCCTCTCTCTCCCGTGCCCGGGGCACCTTGTGTGGCGTGTGTGTGTGGCGTGTAGACATGGTGAAGGTGTGGAACTTCCGGTCGATGCAGTGCATCCGCACCATCCCGTCGGGCTACGGCCTGTGCGGCGTGTTCGTGCCCGGCAACCGCCACATCGTCATCGGGACCAAGGAGGGCCACCTGGAGCTCTACGGCCTCTCGTCGTCGTCGTGCCTCCAGAGCATCGTCGCCCACAGCGGACCCGTCTGGTCCATCGCCATCCGGTAACCCCCCTTTTGCTACATAATTCTCTCACACACCCCACCTGCTGTTGCTGCTGCTGCTGCCCGATATCTCGCGTGTGTGTCTGAGTGTGTGTGTGAGAGAGAGAGAGTGTGTGTGTGTGTCGACTTGCTCACGCATCGTGTGCCGTCCACGACACCGCAGGCCCGATCTGCGCGGGTTGGTGTCAGTGTCAGCGGATCACGAGGTCAAGTTCTGGGACTTTGAGCTGGTGGAGGATGCCTCCTTCTCCAAGACCACCAAGCGGCTGGGCCTCACGCACCAGCAGACCCTCCGCATGTCCGATTCTGTCCTGGCTCTCAAGTTCAGCAAGGTACCTACCACCCACCCACCCCCACAATATATATACCCCTACCACCAGCAGCTGGCCGCCCACCCACCATCACCACCATCCCACCCAAAGCGCGGCACTGACAAACATTCTCGCGCGCGCGCGGTGCATTCCTGTGCTGCCTGCCTATACGTCTGCACATATGCGTGGCCGGTGCCTGGCCAACCATCACATATCCGTCCAGGACGGCAAGTTCCTAGCGGTGGCGCTGCTGGACAACACGGTGAAGGTATTCTTTGCGGACACGCTCAAGTTCTTCCTGTCCCTGTACGGGCACAAGCTGCCGGTGATGTCCCTCGACATCTCCTCCGACTCGACCATGCTCATCTCCGGCTCGGCCGACAAGAACGTCAAGATCTGGGGACTCGACTTTGGCGACTGCCACAAGTCCCTCCTGGCCCACGAGGACTCGGTCATGTCTGTACGGCCTCCGCCCTCTCTCTCTCTCTCTCGCCTCTGCCCCCCTTGCCCCCCCCCACACCACTCACAACAGGCCCTGCTGGTGGCTGCTGGTTGGTGGCTGGTTGGTGGTTGCGGCGTGCAATTCATCGCCAGGTGCAATTCGTGCCCAACACGCACTACTTCTTCTCGTGCGGCAAGGACAAGACCGTCAAGTATTGGGACGCCGACAAATTCGAGCACATCTTCACCCTCGACGCCCACCACGCCGAGGTGTGGACCCTCGCCCTCTCCTCGCAGGGTACCTCCCCCGCCCGCAGTCATCATAATAATTAATAATTAATAATAAATAATAATAAATAAGTAATAACCATTACGTGTATCGCGCGGGTCGTGGCCGCCGTGGATCGGAGCTGACGCAGCCCCCCTCCCACCTTCCACCTCTTTACCCCCCCCCAAACCCCAACACCCCCAACCAAAGGGCACTTCCTGGCGACGGGTTCCCACGATCGTTCGCTGCGAGTATGGGAGCAGACGGACGAGCAGGTGTTCCTCGACGAGGAAAAGGACAAGCAGATGGAGGCCATCTTCGAACAATCTCTCGAGAATCCCCTCGAACGTGGCAAGGCCGACGTACGTGCCTACCTATTTATTTATTTATTTATTTATTGGCTAGCACGTCTGAAATGAGCACACACGCACGACACGCGACACCGACTGACGAGTGAGTGAGGACCCATGGGGGGAACCGAGCAGGAGTCGGAGTCGGGTTCGGCGGGCAAGCGCACGATCGGGACCATCAAGGCGGGAGAGCGGCTGGCCGAAGCCATCGAGCTCGCCGAGGCGGAGAAGGCCAAGCTGGCCCACTACCGCGCCGAACTCCTCGAAGCCGAAAAGGTCATCAGCCCCGAGGAGCACGCCAAGCGGTACCGCACCCCCCAACCCCCTCCCCACCAGGCATCGTTTCGTTCCTCACCCATTTATTTCCCATTTCCCATTTCCCATTTCCCATTTCCCATATCCCATATCCCAATCCCATCCCCTTTCGTTTGTTGTTGCAGGACGGCGGGTGGCAAGCCCCTGATCGCGCCGCCGCCGCCGGACATCCACCTGCTGGGCATGTCGCCCTCGGCGTACGTGCTCAAGACCCTCAAGGACATCCGCCCGAGCGAGCTCGACGAGGCCCTCCTCATCCTGCCCTTCTCCATTGTCGTCACCTTCTTCCACTACCTCGAGAGCTGGGCACGGTACTCTCTCTCTCTCCCCCCCTCTCTCCCCCCTCTCTCCCCCCCTCTCTCCCCTCTCTCCCCTCTCTCGCTCTTTCTTCTGCCTTCTCCGCCGCCGCCGCCGCCGCCATGGCTGTGGAAACTTACACGCGTGCTGGGTGGTGGTGGTGGTGGTTGGGCAGGGAGGGTAAGGAGGTGGATCTGGTGGCACGGTGTCTGTTCTACATGCTGCGCATCTACCAGGCCCAGATCGGCGTGACCAAGGACCTACGCCCCGTGCTCCTCTCCCTCCAGAAGCACGTCCGCGCCGCCCTCCAGACCCACAAGGTGCGCTTTCACCACCCACCCACACGTGTGTATCAGTGCGAGTTCCTCCTCCTCCTCCTCTCTCGTGGACTTACATACGGTGGTGGTGGTGGTGGTGGTGGTGGTGGTGGTGGTGGTGGTGGTGGTGGTGGTGGTGGTGGTGGTGGTTGGTGTTGCTGCTGCTGCAGGACGTGGTGGGGTTCAACAAGGCCGCCATGGCCTACCTGCGATCCAACATCGAGCTGTCGTCGTCGGCGTCCTTCTTTGCCGACGCGCCGCTCAAGCTCGCCCAGATCCGCCAGCAGGGCACCAAGCGAAAGCACGCGGCCACCAAGAAGAACAAGAAGCGCACAAGCGCTGCCGACGCCGCCGCAGCCGCCAACATCATCGAGTAGTGGTCTGGCGCTACGAGAAAAAAGAAAAAAGAAAAAGTAATTACCAAAAAAAGACATTTCGTTGCCCTTTTCCTCCTGAGCGCACAGCACAAACACCACCGCCGCGAGAGAGAGAGGGAACACAACAGCAGATGAGCAGCAGCAGCAGCAACACGCGCCTGTCCCTGGCGTACCGGGACCTGGAGGAGGTGGCGCCCTCCGTGCTGGCCAAATATGCCGCCACCCTCATCGACCTCGACCTCTCCAACAACCGCCTCACGTACCCCCCCCCTTCCCTTCCGCTCCACCCTCTTCCCGGTGGTGCCCCTCCCCAATAAAAGCCGCCGCCGCCGCCACCGCCACTGCGGGTGGTCGTGTGCGCACACGTGGCGTGCGGGCAATGTGGTGCGGGCAGTGGTGTGCACGTGCCCAGACCGCCCCTGGGCTCTCAACTCCCTCTCAGTGGTGATGGTGGCGGCGGCGGTGACGATAAGTGATAAATGCCAAATGGGCTAAATGCTAAGGCCGCCGCCGCCGCCGCCGCCGCCGCACGTGCATGCATGCATGCAGGGAGGTGTCGTTCTTGCGCGGGCTTGGCGCGCTGGAGACGCTGGTGCTGGACGGAAACCGCCTCACGCACCAGGTGCGGTTCCCGCCGCTGGGTCGCCTGCAGACGCTCTGGGTGAACCGGAACGCCATCGGGCTGCTGCCGACCTTCGTTGACCGGCTGGCCGAGGCCGTGCCTCGCCTGCGCTTCCTCTCCATGCTGGGCAACCAGGCCTGCCCCAACTACCTCAACGGCGGCACCCTCAAGCAGTACCGCGACTACCGGTACCCTCACCCCCCCCCTCTGCTGCTGCTGCTGCTGCCCCCCACTGTTGCCGTTGCTCCTCGCGCCACCACCGCCACCGCCACAGCCACTGACGTCGTGGGTCCCCCCCCAATGTCTGTGTCGTGTGTCGTGTGTGTCGTGTAGATTGTTCGTGCTCAGCAGACTGCGACATCTCGACATGTTGGGTACGTGTCGCCCCTTCTCCCTGCCCGGCGAGAAGGGTCCGGCTCACACGCGCGCGCGTAACGTGGGTGCGTGACATGTGCGTGGGTGACCCGAATTCTATCCCACCACCACCACCACCACCACCACCACCACCACCACCACCACCACCACCACCACCACCACCACCACAGATGATGCGCCCGTCACTGAAGAGGAGCGGGGGGAAGCAACCCGACTCTACGGCAATCTCGATGTATCCGGTGCCGAAGCAGTACGAGCCTCCTCCCTCCTGCTGCTGCTGGCGGCGGCGGCTGGTGGCGGTGATCGTTTGAGTCGCACGTGTGGAGGCGATGATGGCTCACCGTTTTCCCGTCGGGCGCGTGCACCGCCGCCGCCACCAGATGTACAAACGACAGACATTGGACCAGGGAAATGCCACAGAGAAGGAAACGGCGGCCGCCGATGAACAAAAGCGAGAGACTGCGGCCAAGGAAGAGGAAGGACAGCAGCGAAAGGGCAGCTCCTCCACGGCCGGTGGCCGCCGCCGTAAGGCCGCAGCCTCGACCAAAGCCGGTCGCATGACGAAGAACAAGAAGAAGGAGGACCCCGCCGCCACCGCCGCCTCTGTAACCGACAGGGCCAGGAAGGACCCGCCAGTTGCCGAAGCGGCCAAACCCGAAGAGCCTGCTATGGCGTCGACACCCGAGGTAGGCTCTCCTCCCTCCCACCCCACCAACCAACCAACCAACCCCACCCACCCCACCAACCAAAACCCAAGGCAACGCCGATCGCTCTTTCGGGTCTGCCCCCATCCGCTGTTGCTCTGCCGAGTCTGGCTCACCGGTCTCCGAAGAAGCAAGCTCCGCCGGTGCGCGACGAGGCCGATGTGGGCGTGGGCGCTTACGTGGTGGACGATCTGCCGGATCCGCTGCTGGACCTGCCCCGAGACCTGCCGCCTCCGCCAGGGGCCTTGCGGCGGCCAGGCAGCCAAGACCAGGACAACGACGAAGAGGAGGATGAGTCAGACTGGACCGACGACGACTCAGACGACGAGCGGGAAGTGTCCATTGCCCTCGACCTCCCCGACTTTTCCTCGTCTTCGGACGAGTGAATGAATCAACAGCAGCCGCGCATGTTTGGGTTTTGTAGCCCCCGGTACGGCCAACCAGCTTCCAGCTTCCTCTTTTTCTCCCGCCTTTCTTTGGCAGTTGGTGTGGGCATGCATGTACAACACAACAAGGGGGTTGTCCCGGACCCATTAGTGGGCGCCCCACTGGCCCCAGGGCGAGGGGACCATGGGCGGTGGGGGCTGCTGGTGGTGGTGCGGCGCGATGCTGGCCAGTCGTGTCGGGTGGATGGCCGGCCCGTGTGTTTCCCGCGCCGCGTCCTTGACTGCACCGGGAGCAGCTACAGCAGCAGCAGCAGCAGGAGCGGAATGCTTCGGTGAGCGGCGAGGGAGGCGGGTATTTAATACTCTTTTTCTTGGGGGGGTCGCCCGTACCACGCGAGGGGCGGGGATTCTTGAAGTTGGCCTTGAAGTAGGCGATCAGCTTCTCCGGGTTCTTGAAGTGATGCCCGCGGTATCGGTAGCCCTCGTGCGTCACAGCGACACTCTGCCATCATCACGAGACACCAGCCCACCAGCCCACCAGCCCACCAGCCCACCACCACCACGACCACCACCACCAAGTGGGTCAGGATCGTTTGTGCGTCACGGGTGGAGAGCAGGAGAGGCGGCGCGGCGGGTGTGGGTGGTAGGTAGTGTGTAGGGGGTACCTCGAAGCGCGGCTTCTGGTGCCAGTAGGCGATGGTGAAGCGGCGGGATTGGTCGGGCGAAGGAATGACGTAGTAGGGGATGCGCGCGGGGTTGGTCTCGCGATCCTGCCGGAGGCGCTGCTCGATGCTGTCGCGCCCCTCGGCTCGGTACAGGCGGTAGTTCTGCATCTCCCGTCCGAACTCGGTCATGGGCTCGATGAATCGGTAGATGAGCTCGTCCATGTCCTCGTACACCTGCTTCTCCACCTCCCACTTCTTGCTGCTCCGCTCCACCACGTCTGCGCGGGAGACACGCAACGCATATAACACACGACGAGGTGACCAGGTGAGCTAACTGGAGCTGGCTGAAGCGTTGGTCGAAGAGGGAGGTGGACACGACACACATGGTCGGTCGGTCGGTCGTCGGATACTAGGGCGGGCGTACCGGTGTGGATGCAAACGGTGTCGGTGAGCTTCCAGGAAATGTTGAGGTGGTTGGAGCCCTGTGAAGAGGGCCGGATGATGATCGCATCGGCACCGGGCTCCTTGTCACGCAGGAGGTCCTCGGCCTCGCGCCACGAGCAGCTCCGGAAGAGCGGGTGCGTGATCGTTCTCTGCGGCTTCTTTCGCGCCGGCGCCCTCCGCTGGGCACCACCTGGCCACGGCAGCACACGGCACACGACCAACGGTCGGTCACTACACAACAAACACGCCTGGGCGGAACCCGCGGGGGGGGGAGACGAACCGGCAGCGGCTGCGGCGGCCTTTTTGCGTTGGATGGCGGCGAGGTCGCGGGGTAGTTCGGTCTGCTCGGCCTCCTTCTCGAGGAGGTAGGGGTCCAGCTTGCCGTAGTGGTCGCCCAGGGTCGGGTCGTTGAGCTTGCTGTGCGACGACGCCAGCGCAACGCTGAACTTCTCCTTGTCCACGGACAACACCCGACACGCCAGGTATTGCCCTACACACACACACACACACACACACACACACACACACACACACACACACACACGACACGCACGTTGCATCACACACCGCCCATGATTGGTGGGTGGGTGGGACGGGGGGGGTATGGGTGGTATGGGTGAGTAGAGCGTCCAAATGCCCACACACACACACACACACACAACACCCGAGGGGGGCCAAGGAAGGCGAACCAGGGACGACGACGTCGTCGGGCGACTGTACAGCCGAGTCGGTGAGGTCGAGGAGGCGGATGGACCCGAAGAGGCCGTTGTCGAGGCGACAGAAGACGATGTCGCGGCTCACGCGGAACACCTTGGCGTGCACCAACTGGCCCGCCCTGAGGGTGGTCTCGGTCTCGCCCGTGAGGAGGTAGAAGAGCTGGTCGGGCGTCAGGTCCCGGTAGGAATCGCGCGGGTCGGCGTAGGGGTCGCCCAGTTCCCGCCGGATGTCCTGCAGCGCCACCGCCTTCTTGCCCTTGCCCGACCTCTCCCACTCCTCCGCGAACGACTCGAGATCTGCAGAAGACCATCGATGCACGATGACACACCACAACACCACAATCACAATCACGCGGTGTTCAGTCATTCTTTGTGGTGTGCGTGTGCGTGTGTTGTGTGTGTCGTGTGCCCATCTAGCAAAATGCCGCGAGTGCTGGGTGGAGGGATATGTACCGATGTCCTCCAGCTTCTGTGGGCGGCGGATGATGGCCTCCACCTGCGAGCTGCCTTCGTCTTCCTCCTCGTCCAGCGCGTCGGCCGCCATCTTGCGAGCAAACCCGTAGTCGTCCGGATGGATGCGGGTGTCGTCCAACGGATCTGCCGAATGGCAATGGCCCCGCCCCGCCCCCCAGTCAGCATCATCATTATATCTTAATTCTTAATTCCTGCCCCTGGGGCCAAGGGGCTGTGGGAGGGTTTGGCGCGGAGAGGGCGCGACCGCCACGTACCGATGATGTCGCGGTGGTCACGCAGGAAGTACTTGTTGCAGACTCGCAGGAAGCCCGCGCAGTTGGTGTACACCACCGACATGCGATCCTCGTCGTCGGGATTGCCCGAGGGCGTGCTGAAGGTCTGGAGCGCGGCGTCGATCTCTTCTCTCGACGACACGAGCCCTCCCTGAACAAACCACCCCACCCCATCCATCATACGCGCACCGTCCACCGTAAGCAGCAGCAGCAGACAGCAGCAGCAACGTTTGTGGAGGGTAGGGCAGTATGGGGTGGGGACCTTGCGCTCGAGGGCTTGCAGGAGGGCCTGCGCCTTACGCGGCCCGAGACCCGCGGTGAACTGCAGCGGGCCGGCGGCGAACTTGTGCTGCACGGCGTGGTTGATGTCAACCCCCACCTCGTTCACGACGTCGATGAAGGTGCGCATCAGGTGCTGGTGCAGCAGTTCCTTCGGGACCTGGATGAAGAGAGAGTGGAGTTGAGTTGAGTGGAGGGGTAAACCTCCTTGAGGAGGTGTGAGCGGTGGGTGGGGGTGGGTGGCGTCACCAGCTCCTGCTGCGGGTGGAAAGGGAGGCAGAGGACTTCCTCGGCGCCGTCGAGGGTGAGGCCGCAGTACTCGATGAGCGGATTCTGGAGGAAGCGCGCCAGGCACACCGCCTCCCTGGCGAGGGGCGCGTAGTCGGGGAACTCCTTCTGGGAGCGGGAGGAGTTCTTGTAGATCTTGGCGATGCGCGAATCGGCGTAGGTGACGTGGATGCGGTGGCGCAGGTCCTTCCGCGCCTCCACGGTCGTCGCCGCCCGGGTGAGCTCCTCGAAGAACCGCCGCGAGTCGATCTCGTTCGGACCCGCGCCCACCACGATGGCGTGCGGCGTGTGGTCGGATATGAAATCCCTCAGCTGGTCCAGCTCCTGCTCCTTCCTCCTCCTGTCCAACTCAGGCGCATCTGCAAAACGACCACGCAACACACGCAACACCACCCAGGCAACGAGAAAAGGGGCGATGGAGAGGATCAGCGCGTGCTTGGCCCTGAGTGCGGTCGTGAGATGGAGAGGCATGTACGTTCGTCCGACCGCATGTTGATGAAGTTGAGCTTGAGGAGCTCGAGCGGCTGGCCGTCGCGGTCGACCACGATGCAGATGGTGGGTGCTTCGCCCTGACCCCACACGCAGCCCATCACCTTGGTGTTGCCCACCAGCCGCTCCATGCGATCGTCCTCGTCGTCTGCACGCGCGCCGGAAGAACAGAAGAACACCGACCGGTGTGGTGTGAGGCCCCGAGGGTGTGGGCGATACATAATAATAATAATAATAAATGGGTTAATAGAAATCGAGATACCGTAGTAGTCCGACCGCGAGGAGGACGAGATGGGCTTGAAGGGGCCGCGCATGAGCTCGCGTCGGAGGTTGGCGGTGCTCCGGGCGAGGACGTGGTCGAGGGCCTCCTGGGTCATCTTGGCCCGCAGCTCCGTCCTGAAGAGCGGGTAGAGGTTGGCCGTCAGGGCCTCCTTGAGCACCAGGCGCCTCTGCTCGTTCCACTTCTGTGCGTTGAGGCTGTAGCCTGTGCGCGTGTCGTTGGTCGTTGGTCGTGGGCCGATTGTGCGGGTGACATGTCAGCCACTCCACGCGCAAGAGCAGTTTGTGGGGGTAGGAGAGGGGTGGTAGGAGGCGTACCATCGGAGAGGTAAAGCTGTTCCATTTCCTGCAGGAAGTCGGCCTCGTTGGGGATGGAAATGGTGGCGGTGATGTAGCCCTCCTTCTCGGCCTTCACGATCTGCAGGAACTGGGCCGAGTCCTTGAAGGCCCAGATCGGCTTCTTCTCCAGACGTTTCACATTCTGTTCGCCAACAACGAGGATGAGGTGAGGTGGGGACTTGAGTGAGCTCTCCCGAGAGAGAGAGAGAAAGAGAGAAGAGAGAGGTTGGCGTGGGTTTGACAAGATGGGGGATGATCTTGCGTACAAAGTATTCGTGGAGCCGATCGATCTCCTTGCGGCCCTTGGGGGTGGGGAAGGTGGAGACCTCGACGTGGTCGTAGAAGGTGGAGCGCAGCGACGTGCGCACGTGCGGGTCGTAGGCAATCTCGCGGGCGAGGACGTAGCGCGAGGCCTTGAGCACCGACTCGACATCGACGAACTCCCGGTTCTCCGGCGAGTTCATGAACTCGGCGGCCAGCGTCTCTGGATCAGGTTCCGGGTTGGCCGGCGTGTGCGTGAGAACTGAGTCCATGAGGTTGTCGCCAAACTGCTTCGCCGTCAGCCCGAAGCTCTGTTGTTGGTGTTGGTGGTGTTGTCGTTCACAACGCGCGCGCACAACACGGCAGTGGGGGGAGCAGGGTGGTGGTCAGACACGGGCGCACGACGACCAGCCATGATGCGATGATTTTGGAAGGGGGGGAGGGGACGTACCTTGTTGGCGAATTCGACGAGGCCGGTCTTCTTGCACACGGTGTAAAAGTCCCTCTTGACGGGTCGCTTGTAGCGCGACGTTGAGACCTGCTCGATGGCCTCGTGGTAGTGCAGCTGGAAGTGGTCGTGCAGGTCCTTGACGTCCTGGTCCGTGTCGCACGACTCGATGAGCTCCCCGTAGTACTCCTCCTCGAGGCCCTCTGCCGAAAGAAAGGCGCAGAGGAAATTGTGAGCGAGCAGCAGGCCATCTCCTTGTGTTGCGTTTGCGCTGTGTTGCTTGAGCAGGGGCGCGTACCGATGGCCATGTACATGGCGCGGAGATTGGCCTTCTTGGTGAGGATGTGGATGAACTTTTCGTCCCATTCGTAGATGAGCCACAGGTCCGCGGGCGAGAGCTGCGGGCAGCGCCAGTAGTCCTTGCGGTAGTGCGCGATGAAGGGGACCTCGTAGTTCTGCTTGCGGATGAACTCGAGGACCTGCATGATGCGCGTCACCATGGCGTGCTGGTGGGTGTCCAGGCCCGGCCGGTGCTGGAATACTCGACTGAAGATCCATTCGGCCTCCCGACCCAGGATCTCGCGCTCCACGGGCGGCAGCTCCAGCCCCGGGAAACGCAACTGCGTGGGCGAGAGCGGAAAGGGAAAAAGGAAAGGGAAAGGAAAGGAAAGAAGAGTTGAGTGCTCTGCGCAAAAGAAGATCGCGGGAGATGCGGTGCGGAGGAGGGAGGAGGAGGGGAGAGGGAAGGAAGGGTCACCTGAAGGCGTTCGGGAATGTCGGTGCGGCGGATGCGCTCGTCCTCGGTGGTGATGAACTTCTCGGCGAGAAGGCTGGGCTCGTACTGCTGCTTGATCTGTTCCAGCACATCCTCCGACGACGCCTCCGCCTTCTGTCTTCGTGGGCGCTCCTCATCTCCCTCGTACTAAATGCAGCGCACGACACGACACGACACGACACGACCAAGGGGGGGGGGTTGTGAGAATGTGATGAGCGATCACTTGCTGATGGCAAAGAGGCGGCGGCGGCGCGTACGTCATAGTCCTCTTCGTCGAGCTGGTTTTGTAGGAATTCGCTCATGTCGCCGCCGAAGATGGAAGCGGCCTCGTCGAGCTGGCTCTGGGAAATGCCCATCGTGCCGGCGTGGCGGCGCTCCTTGCGGGCCTTTCGCCGCTCCTGCTCTTCGTCGGGTCCATAGACGATGAAGTCGTCCAACTCCTCCTCCTCCGAGTCGAAATCCTCTTCCGGCGCCGGACGCTGGTCCTGCGGCGGCTGGTCCTGGTCGTCCTCTTCGTCTGCTCACCACCAGCCACCACCAGCGTGAGCATCAACGGCGTTGTGCACAAGCAGTGAACACGTTACGTGGGCGGTCTGAGCGACGAGAACACAGGGCAAGAAAGCGAGCGGGCAGTGCGCGTGGACCGAGGAGAGAGAGGCGCCAGCCGAGTGGTGGCAGCGGCGGCAGCAGCAGCAAAGGGGGTTGAAAAGTGGGAGAGGCGGTACCGTCGCCAAAGAGGTCTTTCTCGAGGGTGGCCTCGTCCAGGCGCTCGCCCTCCGCGGAGCCGTGCCGGTCGTCAAAGTCCATGCCGAGGCCCAGCTCATCGCGATTCTTCTTGAGGCGCTTGAATTTGTCGCTACTCGATTTGGCAGGGAGGGACTCGCCCGTGTTTTCAGCGATGAGCATGAGGTCGTCTTCATCGAGCTCCTCGCGGGTGGGCCGCCTCTTACGCTTCTTGCGACGCTCCTCATCGCCCCCCTCGTGATCACCTCCTCCCTCACCTCTTCCTTCTGCCTCCCCTCCTTCGCCCACTTCATCTTCGAGCACGAGATCGAGCTCTTCAGTGCCCCTCTCCCTCTCCCGCTCGCGTCGACGGCGTCTGCGCCGTTGTTCACTGGCCTCCTCGTCGTCCACGTCCTCTACCACGAAGCCGTCATTTTCGTAGTGATCGGGCTCGTCCTCCAAATCTTCTTCTTCGCTGCTGTCGTCGAAGCTGAGGGCCTCATCACCCGATTTCTCGTCGTCCGCTAATTTTGTGCAAATGACAAAAAAAAATGCGAAAATTGCCACTCAGCCGCAGAAAATGAGAAGAAGTTTGCAAGGAGGGAGGACGTACACATGAGTAAGCGAAGCAGGGGCGTGGCTTGTGAGCAGGATGCGGGCGAGAAAAGACTGATCTGTCTGTTGGCCGCGTAACCTTTGTGCCGGGGGGGGGTAAATTCCTTGCAATCCTGAAAAGGCCGTCAAAAAGGTGCAGGAAAATCACGAGGAAAGTCGACCGTTAAAGAAAAAAGAGCGACGCAAGAGAAAATGGGAAGGAAAGAGTACAGATGGAGGCCACCGTAGAGGATGGACGAGGACTCGTGCACGCCGCCGGGCCAGGCAGGAAGCGTTCTTCCTCGTCGTTGACCAAAAGCACGGAGCAGCAGGCGGCCCAAAAGCGACCACGCAAGAAGAGTGCTGGCAGTGCCCCAGTAGCGGGGGGCGGGGGGCCGGCCTCCGAGGCGACCGAGGGCGCGCGAGCGCGTGCGCGAGAGCTGGTGGAGAGGCGGGAAGCCATGGAACGGAACCTGGTGACGCTGGAGCAGCAGATCTACGCCCTCGAGACGTCCTACCTCGAGGACACCCACTCCCGCGGCAACGTACTCTCTGGCACGCACTCCTCCCCGCCCAAAGCACCCACCCACCACTCTCGCCACTCTCGCCACTTTCTGGCGATGGGCTGCGGGTGGTGTGGTTGGTCTAACGTGCACAAATATATACATATATATTATAGGGTGGAGCAGCTACCTGTCGCGACGTGGGGCGGTGTCGCAGAAGAAGCCCCACTTCTCCAACAAGCACCGCGTGTTCTCCCTCTCCTCCACGACCGCCCTCCAGGCCAACGGACTTGGCAGCAGCGCCGCCGCCGCCAGTACGGCCTCCTCGCCACCGCTCCACCCAACCGCGCGCACCTGATAAGAACGCCGCGCACGTGTTGTGTGGAACGTCGTCCCTCTCGCTAAGTAACTTTTGCATCTCTACATGCTCGGGGGGGGGTGCGCTGGTGCGTGCGTGCGTGCGTGCGTGTAGAGCTGGATCGAGACGACGAGGACAGTGACCGAGACGACGACAACGTTGAGGACGAGGACGATGACGAGGAGGCCAGCAACGACGGCAGGTCCGAGGAGGAGACCACCACCGCGAGGGAGAAGAAGGTGGTCCGGCGGAGGCGCACCGACTCCTACAAGCTCGAGTGATCGCGCCTTGCAGCTGCTGCGTGCGCACATACCCACCCACACCCACTTCACCACCGCCGCCAAAAGGGCGTTGGTTGGATCGCCCGCCCATTGTGGGAGGACCCACCACACTTTTGTACAAAACGGAAGACGACGACACACGGACAGACAAACCTGCAGGCCTGCGCCAGCCTCTCTCTCTCTTTCTCTCGCTCTTTCTCGCCTTATGTGGCGTCGTCGATGAGCAGTTCCGTTCGCAGGCGCTCGTTGATGACCTGCTGGATGAGCTGCGGCAGCACCTCCTCGAGCGGCGGCTGTGGCTGGCCAGCCTTGGATGGCTGCCCTGACGGTGGCGGCAGCGGCTTGGGAATGTTGTGCTGCTGATGCTGCTGCTGATGCTGCTGCTGCTGATGCTGCTGCGATTTTCGCTTGTGCATCCTCCGGTAGTCTAGTCGGCCCTTGTGGGCCAGCGCCAGCGCCTGCTTGTAGTACTCCTCCGCACCTGCCACCGGGCCTCGGGGTGAGAACACACCGCACACCGCATGTGTGCCCGGATGGGGGGGGGGGGTTCCCGCACCGGAAGGGTCGAGGATGGCGAGGGCGGCGATCTTGAGGCGCTTAGAGATGGCCTTGCCGAGCGAGGTGCGGGTCATGGCGAAGATGACGATGATGCGGTGCTGTTGGCTGGTGCGCACGATGGCCTCCACGGCCTCGAACAGCCCGCCCTCAGGCGACGAGATGCGTTCGATGTTGGGCGTCACCACCACGCACCGGGCCTTCCTCCTCTCCACGCTCCGCAGCACCTCCCGCAGCCCGCACACGTACCGCTTCTTGTTCGAGCGCGCCTGGGGCGAGTGGGGGGGGGCGAGTAAGGCGTGTGCACAGAGAGGAAAGGTCCGCGGTTCGGACGCACCTTGTCAGGGTTCTTGGTCCGGGCGCGCTCCTGGAAGCGGGTGAGCTCCTGGAGGAGCTGCCGCATGACCTGGTTGAGCTCCACGCTGATGACCTGCTTGCAGTACCTGCCAGCTCGCACGCGCGCGCAACAAAGAAACGCACAGGACAGCCAAGCCGAGCCGAGCCAGGGCAGAGGCCATTACCAGTAAACGGTGAGATAGCGCGCGCGAGGAAGAGAAAGGCCGGACGTACGTGGCGTCGATGCTCTGCACTTCGGCTGCTCCCGGCGGCGGCGAAGGAGGCGGGGAGTCGTAGTCGTAGTGGTCGATCTCCGCGGGAGCGGCAGCTGGCGGGGCGAGAGGCGCCACCTCTGTGTCTGTGAAGCTGCCACCACCACCACCGCCACGAGCGCCGGCATCTCCATACGCCTCTCGAGTCTTTTCACCGGCGGCGGCTTCGTCGCCGTCGCCGTGGTGGTGGTCGATCTGTGATGGCAGGCCAGGCACGGGGAAGCACGGCTCGTCTCGGCCGTGCGCCTCGTGCGTTGCGTGGATATCCTCCTGCTCCTGCTCCTGCCCCTCGGCCTCGGCCTCGTCGCCGGGCGGGGGCGTGCCGGGCTGGGCGGGCGTGGGCGGTGGCGGGGGCTGGAGGAGGGCGTCGGCCTTGGCGCGCTCGAGCAGGATGACGCGCTTGAGCTTGGAGGGCTTGGTCGGCTTGGGCGTCTCGCGCTCCTTCCCGCGGAATGCTATGTGCCGCTGGTTGCTCGCCCAATTCGTGTTCTGCTGCCGCTGCTGCTGCTGCTGCGGATGGTGGTGGTGCTTGGCCTTGCGCGGCGCTCCTCCCGCTCCCTTCGACCTCGTCGTAGCCGTCGTGGCCGTCGTGGCCGTCGTGGTCGTGACCGCTGTGGCCGCCTTGCCGGATTTGGGCGGAGCTGGCGATGCCACTGCGACGGGCGCCGCCGCCGCTGCCGCCGGTGGCGATGGTGGCGATGGTTGGGCATCCCCTGCACGCGGGCGCGCTGTCCAATGTGCCCACGGCGCCGGGCTGGCCACAGACGACGACGGCGGCGGCAGCAGCGTGGTACCCGGGGACGTGGCGGTGGTGGGCTTGAGGGGCTGTTGGCGGGCGGGGGCGGATGCAGGACGCTCGCCCGGTCGCAGCAGCTTTGGCCTCGTGTGCTGCTGGTGGTGCTGCTGGTGCTGACTGCGCCTCTGCTGTTTGGCGGCGGCGGCCACGATGGCGTCCCACAATTGCACCTCCTTCGTGGGCTTCGGTTTGCCCCGCCCACGCCCCGGCGCCTCCTGCCCACCCCCGCGCTGCTGCTGCCCTCCTCTCCCTTCCCACCCAAGCCGCCGGTCAGCCCCCCCCCCCAATGGGTGTGCTTACGCGTGCACGGTGTAATGCGCGGTGGGGGTAGGCAGGCAGTGGTGGTTGGTGAAGCACGTGCGTACCCAGAGGAGGCGGCATGCCCGGCTGCTCTCGCTGCATCGCGGCGCCGCCGGGTTGTCTATTCTGTTTTATCTTTTTTCCTTTTGTTTTTTCAAAAGCATTTCTTGAAGGGAACGTGGTGCGTTTGTGTGTTGTGGGTGGTCTGTACAGAGGAGGGGAAGGGGGGAGGGGGCTTGCTACTTCGCTCTTCGGCCTCCATTCTCGAATCCGAAGGACAATCGCGGTTCGACGGTGGCTGCCGCTGCTGCTGGTGGGTGATGGGTGGTGGGGCTTTGGTGGTTGGTGTTACAGGTCCATCTCCTCGGCGATCTGGTCCTCCACGCTCCAGCCGTAGTCACCACTGGCAGGATCGCGCCCGTTAATCTTGCTCGCCGCACGGCAGGTGAAGAAGACAACTCTTCGCAGCTTCTTGTTGAAGAAGAAGTAGTTGAAGCACCAACTGCACACAGCAAGCAGGTGAGAAGCGAACCAGGAGAGTGCAAGTCAGAAGGCGGCGAAGAAGAAAGAAGCGCACATGTTGCCTTCCTCGCTGAAGGGATCCGAATCCGTGTCGGGAATGTAGCTGTAGAGGTCGCACTCGGTGACTTTGATCTCGGCCTCGAGAGTGTTCCACAGCCGACTGAGGAACGCCTGGGACTCGGGCAGGACCGACGTGAGGGTCGTGTTGATGTCGTTGATGCAGTTGTGCAGGCTCTGCTCCTTGCGGAAGTGCTCCGGCTTGAGCTCACTGTTATCGCAAGCAAGCGAGCGAGAGGTGTTGCCGTTCGCTAGGATGTCAGCAGCAGCGACATGTGCATCGGAGGCAGTGGTTGGAAAGAGGAGGAGGGAGCCACCGACCTGAAGTCGTAGTCGGGGAAGCTGGCGTTGAGGGTGGAGATGAGGGAAATGAACGTCCGCCGGGAGGTGCTCAGGGAGAGCGGGCCGAACGGCGACGTGGAGAGCGCCTCTTGCGAGTCTGGCGACTTGGAGAGCTCTTCGTACTGCTGGTTCAGCTCCTTGTACAGCTTTTTGTCCGACCCGGCCCGCTTGCCTGTACAGCCGCGGCAACACAAAAAAGACACCCCTCGCGTCAGAGGTGCCCAGGGCAACCATTTTGGCCCACAGCAATTTTAACCCCTCCCCCCCAAGGGGGCAACAGAAAGAAACGGCTACCCCCCTTTCGGCAGTTTGGTGAGGGAGGAAAAAAGTTATGAGGGGCGTACAGGTGTAGGCCTCGAGACGGCCGTATATGAGGCTATCGCCGGCGTCGCAACCCGTCAAAAGGGTTGAAAGATGGGATAGGCTGGGTACTTCGAGGTACTTCATGCTAGAAGTTGTTGCGAGGTCGAGCTTCTAGGAATTGATTGTCGAGGGTTTTTTTGGTCGGTGGTCGCGTAGTAGCCCTTAGTAGTGCCAATGTCGATGGGGTCCACTATTACTCGGGGCAGGTACTATTATTGTAGGGGAAGAGGGCCGGCAGCAACAACTGGGCGGGAAGGTGGCAAGCTGCGAAGTCGCTGTGGTAGATCCTTGGTGCATTCGATGTGGAGAGGCCAGGTGGGAAGGTGGCAGAGGAGAGATGCTACTCGCTACTCTCTGCTCTTGGATGTGGGGGGGGGGGCAAAGAGACGTAGAGTCGCCTTTGCAAGAGGTTGCAAGGGGGTGATGCTTTTACAAACAGCAGAGGATGGTGGTCGTTGGTCTCGTCGAAGAGATTGAAAGGTAGAGGGAAGTAGTCGTCGCTGCTGTAGGAGGCCGTTTGTTTGTCCAATTTCTCGCGAGGCCAAGAAGAAAAAAGACGAACGGGTGCTGTGGGTGCTCATTGGGAGGCGCTGAGTGTCCATTTCGCGGGAAATTGCGGAGCCAGCTCCACCCCAGATCGTCGCGTTGTGCCGACAACGACTTCCACCACCTGTTCACGCACGGCGCGTTGTCGCCAACACCTCGACTTCACTGGCCGTCGCTGGCTGGCCGGGCAGAATGGCGCCATAGACGTCGCTGCGTCGGTGGGTGAAGACGGGCATGTTGGTGCGAATCTGGTCCATGTAGGCCAGGTCCACCTCGGCCACGGCGATGCCCAGCTCCTTCTCCCCGCAGCTGGCCACCACCTCACCCTGCGACCGCAGAGGGGCCGGTTGAGGAATTGGTCTGACGTCTGGTGGTCGGCAGGGAAGCTGAGGAGGGCGTACCCACGGATCGATGATGCACGCGTGGCCATACGACTCGCGCTTGGCGTTGTGCCTGCCCACTTGTGCCGCGGCAGCCACGTAGCTGTGTCGAGGTCGAACGAGCACGAGGGTGTGAGCGTGGTCGTGTCTCACCAGAGAGAAGCGAACGGGACGCACCATTGGGTCTCGATGGCTCGTGCGCGTAGCAGCGGCAGCCAGTGGGCACGCCCCGTAGTGGCGGTGAAGGCAGACGGCACCAGGAGCACATCAGCCTCGGCATGCTGGCGGTAGGCCAGGTAGAGCTCGCTGAACCGCAGGTCGTAGCACACCGACAGGCCCAGCGTGCCCACTTGTCCATGAGGGTTGGACGGATCGTCAACCAAATGTGAGTGTTTCTCCCGACGCCCTCTTGACGGTGGTGGTGGTGGTGGAGATGATGACAGCAGCATGCATACCCGGTGAATCGAGTGCGGTGAGGGAAGATCCTGATCGCGTGCCGTTGCTCTCCTTCAAGACGGGTCCTGCGGAGGAGACACGCGATCGCCGCACCCGCACACCACTCAGCACACGCAGTGCTGCAATGGGTGGACAATGCTTGTACACGCACCGTTGGGGATGGAGACGTCGAAGAGATGAATCTTGCGGTAGACGGCCCGGATCTCGCCCTCGTTGTCCACCACCACGTGGGCGTTGTACAGGTGCGTATCGTCCCCCTCGATCTGCTCTCACCAACCCACCGAGTGAGTGGCCAAGGGAGAGCGCACGCCGACGAGAATGGAGGCGTTGGTGTTTGGTCGCCGAGAGATCTTTGGCGCTTGGCGCCGAAGACGGGAGACGAGAGAGAGAGAGAGAGAGAGCGCGCGCGCACCTTCTCGTGGAAGCCGCCGAGCGAGAGCCAGATGTCTGTATTGAGAGCTCGTGGTGGACGCGTGAGGCCACAAAGAGTGAGTAGCGGGCGGGCGGGGAGCGGGCGGAGGGGGCAAGGGCGTGCACCGTGGGAGCGCGCAAGGTCGCGGTAGCGCGACATGAGGGGTCCGTCGAGCGGCTCGGCCACCGACATGGCCTCCCCCGGCGCCTCCCCCATGAAGTCGAACGCTGCCAATTTATGAGCGAAGGGGCAGCCACGCCAACAAAGAGCGAAGGTTATCTTTTTTTGGAGTAGGGGGGGGGTGATCACCTTCGGGCAGGCAGAGGAGGGAGCAGCGACGGAGGGAGGCCTGGTGGACCAGTTGTGCACACTGGCGCAGGTTGGCCTCCACGTCGTTGGTGGCCCGCATCTGGCCCACCGCCAGCCACGCACTGCGACGCAGCATTGCCCCGTGTGGGTTTTGGTTAAAAAGGGAAAAAAACAAAAAAAGCATTTATTCTTGGCTCAATGATCGATGGTCAGCGCCGAGGCACCTCGTCCTCGTACTCTTCCTCCTCGTCCTCGCCACTCGACAGATCCGGGTCGTCGTCGTCGTCGTCGTCTTGTTCATCTTCGTCATCGTGGTCGTCGAGGTCGGCATCAGAGGCGTCGTCATTGTCGTCGTCGCCCTGAGCGTCGAGGCTGTGTCGCTGCTCGAGGGCGAGGGCGAGTGCGTCGGGCGTGAGGATGGCGTCGTGTACCATCTTGCCCAGGAACGAGTGGAAGCTCTGCTCGAAGAGCTCCTCCGCGCGGGCCGCCTCCGCCGGCGACGAGGGCGGCGACCACGAGCCCGCCAGGCAAAACCGCTCCAGGTCGGCCACTGCCCGCTCGGTCCGCTCCTGCATCCGCTCCTTGAGGCGCGCCCACTCGCCCGCCCCGTCGCCTTTTTTGTTTGGCCCCCAAAAAACCGGGATTGGTGGAACGCGTGTCAGCGCGTGTGCGGTGGATGGCGGTTGGGCAGATGGGGGGGGGTCGAAGTACCCGCCGGGCTGTCGGCCTGATCTTCGAACGAATCGAAGTCGTACCAAATGGCGTGCAGGATGCTGAAGAACACGTTGGCCGCCCAGCCGCTCGGGTCTCTGCAAGGCACGGCACGACACCGATTTGGGTTCAGAATGTGGTGGTGGTGTGTCGTGCGTATCCTGTGTATGCCGTGTGTGCACCTCTCGAGGAGCCTGTCGTCGAGCTTCCTTTGCCCGAGGTCGCCCACCAGGTCCTTGAACCACTCCCACTCGCCGAGGCGCTCATCGGTGCGGTTGTCGCGGACATAGTCCTCCACGCGACGCTGCTCGGCCGCCGGGTGGTCGACGCCCTCGCAGTTCAGCTGGTCCAGCCAGTAGAAGCGGATCTTACGCTTCGCTTCGGAGGCCCCATGCTCTGCATCACCCCCCCCCGGCGCGCATCAGCACACGCCATCATGCCAAAGAGATTGTTGGAGGAGGAGGGGGGGCACGCACTCGTTTTGACGGAGCTGGTCCAGAGCTCACCCAGGGGGAAGCTGCTGCAGGCGAAGGGCATGTGCTCAGGACCCAGCCCGCACCGCACCCGGCCCTGCATGTCTGCCCCCAGGGGACGCACATGTCACGATGCGATGCGATACGATACGATACGCAACACACAAACGTGGTGCAGTCGGTCAGTGGGCGGTCGGACGAGTGTTGGGTGGAGGGAGGGGGGGGGGCGCTGCGCAGTGTGCGTACCGGCGTCGGTGACCTTGCCTTCCGCGCGCAGCTGGATGTACTCAGCGAAGGAGCGGATGGGGGCGCCCCCGCTGGCCCCCGCTGTCTCCGGGTAGGCAAAGTGACACCAGCCTTGCTTGGCGGCGGTGGCTTTGCCACGCGGTGACTTTGTCGCGGCGGTCGTCCCGTCTCGTTCGCCGTGGCCCGCTCGGCCCTCGTCGTTGTCGTCGCCGCCGCCGGCGGTGGTGCTGCTCGCCGCGGCAAAGTCGGCGCGTCGGCCGCGCAGCATCAGGACGGGGGCCTGTACCTCCTCGCCGTGGCGGGTGGCGTAGAGGCCCATCTCCTGGCTGAACGCGTGGGCGTAGCGCGACAGCAGCTGCGAGGTCCGCCTCGGCCGTAGCTTTTCGCCGCCGGACTCCGGATCGGCCTGATGCGCACACCATGTGGTGGCCGCGGTGGTGATGGGTGGTCGTGGTGGGCGGACGTCAGCAACGGCAAGACGGTGATTGGGGGGCAGGAGGCGGGGTATTATACGTCGACGTGGGCGAGCAGTGGCGCGAGACTGGGCGCGCGTGACAGGAGGTACAGGTCGTGCGGGTCGAGCACCACGTGCTCCGAGAACGATCGCGTGCAGCACCTGGCCCGAAAATGAAGAAGCATCACCCCACAACCACCGCCACCGCCGCCACCATGTGCACGATCGCGAGCAGCGTGAGAGGCCGATTGTACCGTACACGCATCCACGACGGGTAGGCGGGGCTGAAGGCACATGTCGCGTGGGAGGGCGGGAAAGAGGGGAGGGGGCGTACTTGCCGCAGGCCGTGCACGAGAAGCGGAAGTGGTCGCCCGCACTCACGATGCTCTTCTGGCCGGCCAGGATCTGCACGCGTGCAGGTCAAGAAATGCGTGAATGGCCAGCAGGGTGGTGCGCACCACACACCACACACCACACACACCCCACCACGACCGCGACCACGACCACGACCACACAACAATACGATACGCCGCACGGCACACGCAACAAGTGAGGAAGCGATAGGTGGGAGGGGACGGGGTGCACCTCGTGACCGGCAGGTCCGATGCGTTGCCTGAAGGCGAGGCGCTGCCGCTCCTCTTCGAAGGGGATGGTGCGCTGCTGGCGCTTCTCGCGCACCGGCACCGGCACGTCGTGGTAGTGCTCCTGCAGCAGCCCACGCAGCGCCTCCACGTCCTCCACCCCGCGCGCCTGCTTCATCGAAAACACGCCCGCCGCCGCCTGCTTCTCCTTCGTACCACCGCCCTCGCCGCCGCGCCTGCCCTTCCCGCTTCGCCCGCGCCCCCTGCCTCCGCGGCCGCCGCCCTTCTCCACCTACGCCACGACCACGACGATGCCGACGATGATGACGATGATGACGAATGCATGCACGCGAGTCCTACCACGCATATAGGTATATAGGGCGGGCTCGCGCACCACAACGGAAAGGAAAGGAGTGCGGACCTCGACGGTAGAGGAGGCGGCGCGAAATGGCAGCAGCAGGCCCGTCGGCCGCGGCAGCCCGCAGAAGAAAGAGCAGCGGGCCGCGGACCTGGTGGTGGTCGTGGTGGTGGGCCAGCGCGCACCAAATGCCGGTGATGCGCCGGACGAGCTGCTCCGGAGCAGCTGCAGTGGTGCCGTGGCGCTCCTCTGCATCTTCATCTTTTATCTGCATCTTTTTTCTTCTTCTTTTCCTTGCTAATTTCCGGTCGATCGCGTGGTTGGCATGCCGGAGCAATCAAGCAACCCAACAGCCACTAATTACGGGACATCGCACAAGGGAACAAATTCAAAAGAAAGGCACACTACAACCTTGGCGGTCGCGCCTTTGTGTGAAGAAGATGGAGGCCACGGCCCGCCCGCCCGTACCACGAACACGGCCGCCCCCTCCAGCCCCGCCCCCTCGCATGCGCGCCGCGTCAGCCGGCGACGAAGCTGGCGTGTCTCCGTCGGGGGCGCCCCTCCCTGCCACCACCACCTCGTCTGGCCCCTCTCCTTTCGCCGCCGGCCGGCCGGCCGTGCCCCCTCGCGTGCCTCCTCGAGGTGCGTTCAGCTCCTTCCTCCCTGCCCTTTTGTTCTCTCTCTCGTTCCTCTTCGTTCTCCCCTTCGCTCTTTTTGTCGCTTTTCACTTTTCCGTAGTTCAGGAATGCCGTGGTGTATCTGCCTCCCACTCTTGTTATTAATTCAATTATTTCATTTTAAATTATAAATAATCATAATAATCAGTTATATAATACAAGAAAATAATGACTGAGTTGTGTGTTGGCCGCGGCCAGCAGCCGGGTACGGCACGGGCGGGAGGTCGGGCTCTGCAGGGGCCGCCGTGCTCGCGGACCCCGGTGTGCCCTTCGTGCCCTCGCCCTCTCTTGCGGAGGCCACGCAGCCGCCGCGGGCATCGGCAGCCGCAGCGCTCTCTCAGCCGAGCCTTCCTCCCCACATCGCCTCCTCTGCGCCGCCGCCGCCGGTGTCGGTGGCGGTCCCTCACGGAGTGCCCGTCCAGCCGGACGGAGGCGGCGCGCCGCCACCATCGTCGGCATCGTCATCGTCATCGGCGCCAGCGACGGCGGCGCGGGCTGGGCCCTCCATTTCGCCGGGCCGCGTGGGGCCGGCGGACTCCCGCATTCCGGTTCCGCCGCGTCCCCAGCTCTCGCGGGCGTCTCCCGTCTCCCGCTCCTCGCCCGCGCTGTCCACCATCACCCCGCCGGGGCGCCCCAGCACCCCTCCCCACCATCACCCCCTCGCCGCCGCCGCTCCTATCGCTCTCGCCGCCGCCGACCCCGCGAGCACCATGTCGGCGCCCCTCCTGCGCACACCCGTGCTCTTCCCACAGATCACAACACCGGCTGACTCCTCCTCCTCCTCCTCGGCGTCATCGTCCTCCTCGTCGTCGGCCGCCGCCACCGTTTCGTTTGCGGCTATCGGGAGGGGCGCGCCTCCGCCGGTGCCCTTCAAGACGCGGGCGCAGGTGCCGCCTCGCCCGGCCGTGGTTCCCCGCCACGCGCCCGGCGTCGGAGCCGCCCCCAAGCCCGGCACCACCCTGCCGCCGGCAACCGACACAGACAACAACAGCAGCAGCGGCAGCGGCGGCTACGCGGGCGACGCGGAGGAGAATGCGGAGCCTTGGCCGAGCACCACTACCGCCGCCGCCGCCGCCACCAACATCTACGGGTCGGTGATCGAGCGGCCCGTCACGCACCACCAGCGGCCCGCCCTTGTCTCCTCGCTGTCGGCGGCCCCCGGCGTGGGCCGTGGCGCGATGGCCGCGTCGCCTCCCGGCACCGCAACCGGCACGACGGCGGCGGCGCGGGGCAGGCTGCCGCCGCCCATCCCGCCGGCGTCGGCCAAGCCCACCCTCAAGCCGCGTCCGGGCCACCGGCGCAGCCGCTCGTACGACCCGGCCACCCTGCGCAAGACCCTCGTCCGGCCCTTCGACCCCATCCAACGTACCACCTCTGCCCCCCCCCTCTCTTCCAACCGCTTGCTTGGATGGATAGAGAGCTGCCAGCTGATGATCTTCTTCTTCTTCTTCTAAGTGCAAGCCAAGACGATGGAGGACCAGCCGCGGTCCATGGGCGAGTTGAGGCGGGCGGCCGTGCAGGTGGGCAGCGACGACGACAGCAGCGACGGCGACGGCGTGGACAGCGGGTTTTCGCTGGGCAGTGGTGGCGGCGGCCTCGGCATGATGTCCATGTGCCTCGGCGTACACCCGTCCGTCAGGTGCGCCGCCCCTGCACCCGCTCCGTCGATCGGCGGCGCTGACTCGTGGTGTGATTCGTGTGGTGGCAGGGTGCGGGCCAAGACCGGCGGGACGTCGTCCACGCTCAAGCCCTCGCGCGACCTCCGATCGTCGGACAAGGCCGACAGGAAGGCGGCCAAGAACAACAACAACAACAAGGTACCCACGCCCCGCCTATTTTACAGTTTTGTCAGCATCGTCTGATATGCCCCATCTGTGCATACGTCATGTGTGTCGTGTGTGTCGTGTGTGTCATGTGTGTCGTGTGTGTCGTGTGCGCCGTGCGTGCCGTGTGGTGCAGGAGAAGAAGAAGGAGAAGGAGCGCAAGGGCTTTTGGAAGAAGAACAAGAAGGAGGCCAAGGACGCAGGAGCAGCGGGCGCCATGGCGGCGGGCAAGGGCGAGCGGTTGCTGTCGGCCGAGGAGTGTCGGACCAACGCCGACGCCTACCACCGATGGTTCCAGGTGCGCCCCTCGACCCCCCACCCCCGACCAACGCAACTCGGAGGTGTTTGGGTGGGGGGTGGGTGCATCGTGCATCGTGTACTGACGTCAGGCGGCGCTCGGATGGTGGTCACCAATGCAGGTGTTGGGGCGGGAGGACCTGGTGATGGCGCGCGTGCTGAGCGGGGTTGTAAAGAGAGGGGACAGGGATCAGGTACGCCCCCACGTGCCTGCTCCTCCTCGTGGTGGCGGCTGGTGGTCGTGGTGGCTGGTGGTAAGTGGTAAGTGGTCCTGGCTGTGGTGTCACTCAATGGCCATTGGTCGATGGTGGCGGGTTTTTATTTGTGGGATCTGCCAGGCGACGACGGCATTTGTACACTACTTCACAGGGCGGGGCGTCATGCTGGCCCTCTTCGGCCACCTCATCCGCGCCGAGGTCGACGCCACCGGTACAACACACACGACGCACGCACACACGCACGCACACACACACATGCTGCCGCCGCCGGCATCGTGGTGTTGTTGATGGGCCGGGCCTCACGCGTTCCCTTCCCCTTCTTTTTACCTCCAGCGGAGCCGGGCACGCTGCTGCGGAGCAACAACATGCTTTCGGCGCTCCTCTCCAAGCACCTCCAGCTGGTCGGCCGATCGTACGTGCCCCCCCACCCCATTTTCCTTGTTTTCCTTATTTTCCTTGTTGTGTGGACGAGCGGTGGTGGTGTGGGCTGGTTGGTTGGTGGCTGACGTGTTGGGGCTGATCGGTGGTGGATGGTGGGATGCATCAACCGTGGTACGTGAACGTATCACATCATAACACATCTTATCGTATCCAGGTACCTGCGACGCGTGCTGCACCCCATCGTGGCGCAGGTGTGTGAGATCGCCACCGAAACCAACTTCGAGGTACGTGCCCTTCTCCTCCCATACCTTTCCTGGCCGATGGAGCAGGTGGTGGTGGCTGGTGGTGGCTGGTGGTGGTGGTCGTGGCTGGTGATGTTTCTACTGGTGTCTCCTTGTGGGATGCGCATTCGGAATATTCACACGTGCGTGCGATGAAACAGGTGAATCCCACGCGCTCGAGGAATCGGAAGGCCCGGGCGTGGTGGTCGATCTGGCCCAGAACACCCAGAACGTCCTGTTCGTGGCGTCGCAGGTCCTCCACGCCCTCCGCACCTCCATCCACTACTGCCCCATGTACTCCCCCCCAATCACCCCCCCTCCTTCCATCGATCACCTCCGTTCGATTGATTGATGCCCATCCATCCATCCATCCATCCATCCATCCATCCATCCATCCATCCATCCATATCCAATGCACCACCACCACTGCCCCGTCGCAGGTCGATCCGGGAGATCTGCCAGGAGCTGGCCCACGTGGTGTCCGCCAAGTACCCCGACGCCATCACCTCCGTCGTGGGCGGTACCAGCCCCTCCCCCCCACATAACTCCAGGCGCCAGTCTGATCTCTTGTTTACGGTTGGTTTGATGGGCGGGATCTGCTCTCTCTGTACTCTCTCTGCTCTCTCTGAAGGGTACTTTTTCCTGCGCTTCCTGTGCCCGGCCCTGCTCGCGCCTGAGGGGTTCGCCCTCGTCGGTACCCTTTCCCCCCCGGACTCACCCACCGCATCGCCATCACTGCCATCATCGTCGTCGTGTTTCCACCACGGCGATCGTGTTTTGGTAGTGGTGGCGCGTCATGCTCACGCCTACGTACCTGTGCAGACGACGGCATCCTGACGCAGCCCGCCAAGCGAGCGCTGGTCCTCGTCTCCAAAGTTTTGCAGCAGGTTGGTCCACCACCACCGCCCACACACACATGCACACGATCGTTGCCCAGACAACATCTGACCATTGAGGAATCGATCAGCTGGCGAACGGGCTGTCGTTCGGCATGAAAGAGACCTACATGATCCCCTTCAATCCGTTCCTGGCTGAGAACGAAGCTCCCGTGCGCGACTATCTCCGCCTCCTTTCGGTACCGCCTCCTTTTTCACTGTGTGCGCGGACACCCTCATAAATGACTACTGCTGCTGCTGCTGCTACATTCCGCCGCGCGTGCAGACGATTGGGACCGACGAGGTGCAGCGAGGCGACGAGGACACGCTCGATGGCAGTGAGAGCGACACGCGGCACTGCCTGGGCAAGCTGGCCTACGACAACCGGGACGACATCTCCCAGGTCCTCGCCTCCGGTACCTACACCTCCTCTTCTCTTCTCTTCTCTTCTCTTCTCTTTACGGGAGCGCGGACTCACTCAAGCTCTCTGTGTGCGCAGGGGAGGGCCTGGGCGCAGCGCCAGAGCTGGGCCAGGTGCGCGACGAGTGGAAACGAATCGCTGCCGACCTGCTCGGCCCACCGCCGTCATCATCACCACCACCACCACCGCTATGAAGGAAGGATCTGCTGTGTTCGCCCCTTTGAGCCACCCATGTACCACCACACTCCCCACAGACCAACCAACTGGTAACAGTTTCACGAGAGAGATACAAGACGTTCAAAAGAGAGACGTTCAAAAACTGCGTCCGGTTTCTATTGGAAACTTGGTGTCGTTGTTTGGGGGGGGGTGCCGGTGGAAGGGGTGAGTGAAGTCGAGGAGGGAGGAGCCGCCATGTACAAGTGGTGGAATGAAAAAACGGGAATGGGCTGCGGCCTTAGGACATGATGCACTCGCCTGAGTTGCGAGGGCTGCAGAAGAGAGGCGCGGCAGAAGCAGCGTGAGCTCGCCCTACCGGTAGCGGCATCACTCGAGCGAGAGGGAGGGAGGGGAAGGTACCTGGTCCTGCTGCCTCTCGGCTTGGAGGGCTTCTTCTGCGAAACAAAGTATTCGCCACCGTCTTGCGGCTCTTCCTTGACGAACTTGAAGGGCTTGGCGTTCTTGGTGTTCTTCAGCTTCTGCAGTCGGTACTATAGTGTTAGCTCTCCTCTGCAAAAGCGAGAGAAAAGGGGCCACGTACTCCTCCCTTGCCCTTCAGGAACGTGGCCACATCGTCGTGTCCATGACGCAGAGCGTCGGACAGCGGAGTCTCCCTCCATCGATCGGTGATGTTGACCTTGGCTCCCTCGGCCACCAGGTACTGCACCAGCTTGAGGTGGCCCTCGGCAGCGGAGATGTGAAGAGCAGTTCGGCCGTCGTAATCCTGCGGGTCGCGAGCATACAAGAGATGAGCCGATGCGTGGAGAGACTGCTAGTACGCAGGGTGTTGGGAGCGGTACGGAAGTGTTCGGGTCGAGGCCCATGTTGATCAGCTTCTCGATCACAGCCAAGTCTCCCTTGGCCGCCGCATTGCAGAGCTGCGAGATGATGTCGGTCACCTTCAGCTTGGCGCGGGCGCCCACCGACTCGAGATATGCGACCACCTGCGAACCAACGTAGGCAAAGCGTGCAGGTAAGGCAGTGCACACCTATCTCGTAACCGAGCCGACGCCGAAGAACTCGTGTTTGCATTCGCACCTCTTGGTGCCGGTGTTCTAGGGCATCGCTGAGCGGGGTCCTCTGCCATCTGTCCTCCGGGTTGACGTCACCGCCCTTGGAGACGAGCAGCTTCAACACCTCGAGCTTGCCCTCAGAGGCAGCCACATGCATTGGGGTTCGCTTGTCGTAGTCCTGGAGAAGAAAGCGACGCACTCCCATGTGAGTGAACTACGCGCACGTGGTGCGATCAAGTGGAGGAGTTGTGAGGGTCATACCGCGCCGTTGACGTTAGCGCCGTCGTCGAGGGCTTCCTTGACTTTCTTCACGTCGCCAGCAGCCGCGGCGGTGAGGAGCTTGGTGACGAGAGCGTCAACTTCCATCTCGGGCCTTTCGCCGCCCTTGCCCTGCAGGTAGTTCATGATGTCGTAGTGCCTCCCTCGGATGGCGTCGGACATGGGCGTGCCGCCAAACCTGGAGGTAACACAAGACTGCGTCAGCACACCAGTGGTGTGGAGGCGAGTAGGGAAGTCGAGGAGCGCAGTCGGTTGCACACCTGTCCTCCGCGTTGACGCTGGCCCCCTTCCGCACGAGGAACTTGACGACCTTGAGGTGCCCGTCTGCAGCAGCAATGTGTAGGGGCGTACGCTTATCATAGTCAGCACCCGTCACGTCGGCACCCTTGTCCACCCAATACTCCACCTGCACTTCAGTAGAGGAGGCAGGGCACATAAGCTATCCGCATGGATGGTGAAGAGAAGGGATTTGGAAGGGTCGTGCCTTGTCGGTGTTTCCTTGCTGGGCGGCAATGCACAGGGCGTAGAACAAGCCCACCTCCACCAGCTCGTCCTTGTCGGCACCTGGTAGGCAAGAGTTGTCAGCGCCTCTACAGAGCAAGCAGAGCCACAGAACGGCGAGCAGAGCGGGCTAAACGTACTAGTGAGTTGCGCTACTTCCTTGGCTACCTTCTTGTCCTTTGACATGGTGGCTCTATATAATCTGCTGTGCGTTATGCTGCAGGTAGAGAGGAGGAAGAAGAGCCAGATAGAAGTGAAGTCGGGCAGGGGGGCGATCGCTCACGGCGAGTAGGCTTCGCTTTCCGTTTGCGCGACGTGGCGTTGGTGTTTGTGCGCCCTCACGCAATCGCGCATCCTTTTGAAGTGCCGGCTCCTGGAACATGTCTCCTCGTCTCCCGAACTCGCACCTCTGCCTGCTTCCCTTTTCCCGGCGAATGTTTCGCTATTTGAACCATTGTTCGCATTCCATCTAAGGAATGCGCGTAAATACGTCACATTCCTGTTTGCTGCCCAGCTGCGCCTTGTGTCTCGGTGTGGGCGGGGAGACCTGATGGACGGGGATCGGGTGAGTACCAAGCGAGCGAACGAAAGCGAAGAGGGTGGAATGGTGATGGTACTGGCGAGGGTGAACCGAACGCTGCACACGGGGCACGGAGCGGTGGAGGCCCCGCATCGCACGGAGTGATCAGGCAAGATTTCAGCGGTGAAGTCGTTCTCGCAAAAGAAGCACGCCACCAACCTAAAGAAGGCCGACTAGGCGATCAAGCCACGTGATTGTGCAATCACAGCAACGAGAAGGACCTTCTGGAGAGGCAAGAGCAGTGCTTACCGCTGCGGACATTCGCGTCGCTTGTGCGTTCGCAAGTCATCGAGTGCCAGCTCGGCGCCGCACATGCACGCCAGCTACACACAACAATTGGGTACGGAAAGTGGTGGAGGTGAGTGCAGCGCGGAGGGAGTAGTTGTATGGGCGAATCGCGTACGGGTGAGTGTCGCAGGTCAGCGTGCTTGGCCATCTCCCCGAGAGGCATCACCTGCGCATACGGGGGAGGCACACATGGCTAAGTGAATGGGCTCAATGGGCGAGGCGGGAAGGGAAGGGAACACACGCCATACCTGACCGCACCCGGGCACGGTGCAGCGGTAGTTGGCGCGCTGACAGAAGGCCTCGTGCCGCTCAAAGCTTTCCGGTGGCACGCACCGAAGGCTAGCACCGGTGTGGCGATGCGTGTGCGTGTGAGTGTGGGCGATAGCAACACAGGCTGAGCCTAAGTGAGGTAGGTGTACCAATTGGAACAGCGCTTCGCCTCGCTCGCTGCAGTTTCATCTGGCAGCCCGGATGGCTCCTGATCTGCAGCAGCAGCAGCAAAAGAAGTGGTTGGGCACAAGAGGACTGGTGGAGATAAGAGGGCAACGCATCAGAGAAGGCGGTACGAGGGTGTGCAGTGATCGTGATGCGGAACCGTGCGGGGGCCTTGTATCCGTTGACGCCGACGTAGACCACCCCTCGTCTGATGCCAACCAATGCCAGTCCAGGGTTTGGTGCATCAGTCGAGCGACGTGTACACTCACTGGTGGAAGTGTGTGTGTGTGTGTGTGTGTGTGTTCGCATTACCGTCCGTTGTCGCTGCTGGGTGGTATCGTCAGCTGCACGCTCCCCGTGTCGGCGGCCATCCACTCGTGATCCGCCAGGGTGGGCTGCTTGCTCACGAGACTCGCGTACACGTCCGGGTCTCCCTCAATACCCTCCTGGCAGCACCCGATACGGCGTGTAAGTGAAACCTGTACGACCACCGCGCGTACGTCGTTGTGGGTATCAAAGGGCGCAGAGTGAATCACCGTACCACCACGACCCGCAGGTCCATCCGATCAAGCGAGTCAGGCGGCGCAAATCGAAAGTGCGTGTAGTGGTTGGCCTCTACTGTGGCTTCGTGCGGGCTGTCCAGTTGCAAGTCGCACACGCGCTGTAGTTGCGGGAAATCGCCGGGGGGGGGTTAGTGATGAAGGGAACAAGACATGGGCCGCATCGAGCGGGAATCAAGCGAAAAGGGTCGCGGGTGTGATGTATGGCGGCTGCGCGTACGTCTGCCTCTCGACCGGAGTGGGGAGCGGGCAGCAGGTCGACTTCGAGCCGCACTTCGACGATTTGAATGGATTCGGCCGGCTGGCACTCTTCCACATGCAGCCGGTGAACGACGTCCTGCCACCGAATCCACACGTCCGTGCCTGCACGCATTTATACCACATTAGACTGAGTCGTGTGATAGCGCATTCCATTGGGTGTTGATGGTGGAATACCTTGCGTGAGACTGCAGTAATGGTAGGAGAGGTGTTCCTCCAGCCTGGCGCGCGAGGAAAGGAAGGAAAACACGTTCCAGAATGTCAATTGGAATGCTTCGGCTGCGCAGCGCGAATGCACAGGCCGATGATGAGGCCACTCCACACGTACACGGCCTTGGGATTCTCGAGAGCGCCCCACGCGCCGTCGCTTGGTCGCAGGCGCACGAACGTGCCTTCACACCACACACAACACAACACAACACAACACAACACAACACAACACAACACAACACAACACAACACACACATGTCGTTGATTCCATGACCACCGGACAGGAGCATTGTGCATGCATGTGCGATTGCAGGTTAGGCGCGCGTGAAGGCAGACAGGAGAACGCGCGCGCCAAGCCCTTACCGTGGGGTCGAACCTTGAGGCAGCGGCGGCGCGGCCAAGTTGATTCGCACTTCGTCTCCGTCCTTCAGCTCGAGGCTGTCCATCATCTGTGCGTGCGCCAACCGATCACGTTGCGCGTGAGTGCACACAGTCCATCCAACACCTGGCGGGGGGCACGACGGGCGCGTAGCGTTACCCAGCGCGGGAGAACCACCACCGAACTGTGGGGCGCAGTGAAGTCGGCCACCCCAGCAAAGGCCGTGAGCACTGCACGTAGTCGAGCCGCACGACACCGCACGCGCGCGGGTAAGCAACGTTGCAGCATCGATGATGGGTGGTGGTGCTTGATGAGCGAGAGCCACTGCAGTGACGCGAGGGGCAAGCGTACTGGGGGAGGAGAAGCTGGCCACCTGGAAGAGCAGAGGGCTGGCCTCTTCCACGAGCCCTCCCAGCCGCCCCAACACCTCGCTGCCCAAGATGACTGGAGGACCGCGGCAAGGTCAGGTGAGATGGTGATGGGGGGGGGGGTCGGAGAGGAGGGAGGCGGGTGTGGTGCGTACTCTTGTTCCCGTACTCAATGTCGGGACGGTTGGCAAAGGAAGGAGGATGGGCTGCGTACAGACCTCCGTGCCACTGCACGATTGCACAACCCGCGCAGGCGATTATGCAGTCGAACGATTAGAACTTGCAATTCCTGCGTGCGCAGAGGGGATCAAAGAAGACACGAGGCGTACTCGACGGATTGCTGTGGTGCGCTTCATGCTTCGCACAACAATAAATGTTGCTTTTCCTCTCCAGCTTTCCTTTGAATTCTTTTGTTTCCCTTTTGATCACACAGCGCGTGCATCCATCACATTCGCCACCCCCTTCCATCAGCTGTACGAGTAGAGAATCGATTTGCCTTTGCCAAAAGCAATCCAGACGAGACGTGAGATTGTGCCCACGCAATAATGGGACGAACAAGTAGCAGTGGCCGAAAGGGGACAGCAGTGGGGGAACCCAAGGCGTGGCCCAAGGAGCAGCTGCTCAAGGAGGCCTACGAGCTCCACCGGCAGCGCAAGAAGGCCCTCGCCCTCAACCCGCGGCCCAGGCCCGACTCTGCCGGCAGCGGCAGCGGCAAGCAGTCGGCCGGCGCCAACGCGCCCGCCCCGTCGCTCGCCACCTCACGACGCGACTCCAGCGGCACTCTGGGCGACGCCACCAAGCAGGCCCGCGTACACGCCCCCGCCGCCGTCGTGTGTCGTCGTGTGTCGTGTCGTGTGTCGTGTGTCGTCTGATTGCCGGTGGCTGGGTGTTTACGCGCGTGTGCGCGGGCGGGTGTGGGATGCGCAGGCGTCGCTGGCGGCGGCACCGCTGGCGGGAGAGACAAAGGACACGGGCTTCAAGCGACCGGCCAAGCTACAGCGGAAGCTCGACGAAATAAAGGCACGACACGACACACGAGCGCGCGCATGACACACACGACACGTGCGGCACACAAGGGCGGGCAGCGGTGGTGGTGTCCGTGGTTGCCAACGTGTATCGCGCGTGTCGTGTCGTGTCGTGCGTTGCACAGGAGAACCCTCTGGCGCCGGAGGAGAAGCCCGCCAAGAAGCGACGCGTACGCACCTCCTCCTCGTCGTCGTCTCCATTTCCTTCCCAGCGCGCCGCCGCCGCCGCCACGTGCATAGATGCGCTCCGGCAGTTCTGACCCACCCATGGCATGGCATGGCGTATGCACGCGCATTGCAGACCTCCGGAGACGAAGGAAGGCCCACCGAGGAGCAGCCGGCTCCCTACTACGCCCCCTATGCAGGGTACCACCACTGCCTCCTCGCCACATACTCTTCTTCTCCTTCGTCTTCTTCTCTTGCCCTTCACTCATCATCACTCGTGCCATCGATCATCACGCACCCACGGTGGTGCTCCCACTTTTCTTTCTCACGCCTGCTGCGTGCTGCTCAGAGGCTACTCTCGGGGCCACCTCGAGGTACGGCGCAGTTGACCTAGCCAACGTGCTGCGTGTGTCTGTCTTCTTGCCCGCACACACGTGTGTGTCGTGTGTGTGTCGTGTGTGTGGTTTGTTGACGAGTCCGGCACCCGTGCGCTCACATGAGTGCAGGAGCCCGTGGATGGCGACTACTACCCCACCACCATCTTCGTGGGCGGCCTCGCCGACGACGTCGAGGAGCGGGACCTCGAGCGAGTGTTCTCCCGCTTCGGCCCCATTGACGCCATCCGCCTCATCAGCAACAAGAAGTACACACGACACGACACGACACGACACACCAATCTTTTGTCTTTTTCTTCTTTCCTCGCGCTGTCGTGCGTGGCGGCTCACCTCTTCTTCGTCGTCGTCTTCGTCTCCTCGGCCTGCAGCTTCGGGTTCATCAAGTTCAGGACGCCCGACGCGTGTCAGGCGTCGATCCTGGGCATGAACGGCGAAATCCTCAACGGCTCCCGCGTGCGCGTCGATCGGGCGAGGGTGGCCCGGCCCCCCTGGCAACGCCGGCCCTGGGGCGAACGCCGCCCTTACCCCCCGCGAGACGACGGTGCGCTCCCCTCGCCTCAGCGGCTGTGGCGATGACCGTGATGCCACCCATTGTCACCGTGATTGCGTCGATCTGATGGTGGTGGTGGTGATGGTGGTGGTGGTGATGATGGTGCAGGCCATGGCGGTGGTGGCGACGACTACTACCGAGGCGGTCCTCCCGATGGCTCGGACTACGGGAGCGGAGGAGGCGGCGGCGGCGGGTACATGCCGCGGGATCGGGAGCGAGAGCCGCCCTACGGCCTGGCCTCCCTTCGGGGCGAGTCGACGCCGGTGCCCTTCCCGCCCACCCCGCAGCAGCAGCAGCAGCCCTACTCCGCCCCTCCACCATCCGCCTCTTCCCCCTCCCTCGTCCCGCCTCAGCCCGGCAACCCGCCCCAACGTACGCCGCCCTGGCCTGGGCCTGCCTTGCTTCTGCTCACCTGTGCGCGCGTGATTGGGGGGGGGTGCATGGCAGGCGACCGATCGCCCGAGGGCAGCCCAGGGCTGGAGGCGGACTCAGGCGAGTCTTCAAGCCGGCGGGCTGTGCAGTACGACGACCTGTAATGGCGCCATGTTTGCCGATCGTGTGTGGAGGAAGAGAATACAAGAGACGTGGGGTCCCGTAGAGAGTGTGTGCGCGGCCGTGATGGATCAAGGCGCCACAACACCAGAAATGGATTTAGTACTTACAGGCAGCCCGACAAGGTGTCGGTCGGCCAACGGGTTCATGGCGAGTCCAGCCCGCCGAGTTCGGCTCGCAGCTCGAGTTCGAGCTCTTTCTCCCACTCCTCGTCGTCGTCATCGCCGGCCTCGATCGAGTACTCCTCCGACGCATCAACACCGGCGCCGGCAACCGGTGTAGGCACGCCCTCGGCGGCCACGACACCACTGCTGCAGCTGCCGCCGTCATCACTGTTGTTGCGGATCGCGTCGCCCGTTTCCGGTGGCATGACCGCCGTGGCGGAGGCGGTGGGCGTAGCCAGCAACGGCAGCGCCGCAGGCAACACCGGCGAAGCGGCGACGACCAGGCTGGACGTGTGCTCCTTCTCCATCGCCTCCAACTCGGCCAAAAACGCGGCCTCATCTGCGCGCACCGAAGCCGAGAGTGGTTCACATCAGACATTGTGTGTGTCGTGGGTGCGTCGTGTGTCGTGTCGTGTCGTGTGCCGTATAGCTCGACTTCTAGGACGAGCCCTGGTCCAGGGAGGCGAAGTGGGTGAGGTGAGAGAGAGCGGGCATTCGCGTACCGTCGCTGTCGTCGTAATCGTCGGAGGGCTGGCCTGGCGAGCCCGAGGCCGTCGTAGACGAGGCGCCGTTCTTGTTGCCCTCTTCCGCCGCCGTTGACGATGACGAAGGCGAAGTCGGGGGCGGCGGCGTGGGCGGTCGGAGCGGGAACAGGGCGGGGAGGCCGTGCGCCTGCCGGATGAGCCTGATGCGCCAGAAGTAGTTGCGCCAGAACTCGATCTCGCCCACGCTGGCGCCAACGATGGACACACACCCGTGCGATGACGACGACGACGACGATGTGAGTTGTCAGACCAAGCGAGGAATGTGCGGCATTGCACGGCCAGCGGTGGGTGGACGGGTGGGTGGACGGGTGGGCGGGCGGGCGGGTGGGTGGGGTACTATTGGGGCACCAGGTGGAAGCGGATGGAGCGCAGCTGCGGGTCGGCCGCCACCGCCGCCTCGGCCACGTGCAGGTGGTCCTCCATCCGGAACTCGAACTCCTGGCCCTCCGGCAGGCCCTCCGTGAAGTTGCGCTTGTTCTGTCCCGCACGAGCGTGAGCGCAACACACACGACACGCACGACACACGCACGACACACACAACACACGACACACGCACGACGCACGACACACGCAACACGACACAATCAATGTGTGCAGAGTGCCTTGGCGAGGCGCATGAGTTGGGACCGGAGGGCGAGGCGAGAGGCGTCGGGCAGGGCGTCGGCTTCGGGGCCGACGTCGTCCCACGGCGGGAGGACGGGCGGCGCGCTAGGCTCGTCGAGGAGGAGGGCCTGCTGGAGGGTGGCGGCCACGCCGTCGAGGCTCGACATCTTCTCGGTCAGCCCGCCGGCCGCCTCCTTCACCCCGACCCAGGCTTCCCCCACCGCCGCCACCGCACTGCCCGTGGTACCAAACCAGGCTGTGCATTCCATCCATCCATCCATCCATCCATCAATATTCTAGAGTACGTGGCAAGGCGTTGAGGGCAGAAGGGAGCACATACTGCTGAACATTAGCAGACGAAGGTCGGTGTGAGTCTAATCTGCCTCTTCCGCGTTGCGTTGCGTTTTTGCTTATCAAGCTTTCTTTTTTCTCTTTTTTTCTTTTTCAGACATGACGCTTTTCCCGCACGGGAAAGATGGGTGATGCGTTGTAATGGCACAAGGGAGTATTATTCAATTGAGCACTGTACATATGAGCCGCGGCATCCTACACCCTGAGGTGTGTGGGTGAAGATGAGAGGAAGTAGATGGTGTTTACTTCCCTTCCATTAAGGGCGGTGAGGGGCACCGCCAGGGGGCGGGGCGCTGGAGCCGAACGAGGGCGCGCCGTGAGCAGGCGGGGCGCCATAGGCAGGGGAGCCGTGGGCACCAGGGGCGCCGTAGGAGGGCTGGCCGAGAGGGGCGCCGCCGTGGGCAGGGGGCGGGCCGCCCACGGGTCCCGTGGTGACGGTGGTCGTGGTCTGCGAGAAGGAGGCCGCCGCGCCATGAGGGGGGAAGGCACCGGGGGCGCCGTACGAGGGTCCAGCGCCAGGGTAGCCACCGGGGGCGCCAGGGCCGGGCGGGTAGTAGGGCGCGCCATGGCCAGGGGCACCGTAGGCAGGGCCAGGGGGGTAGGCGCCGTAGGCGGGCTGGCCCATCCCCAGCCCGGGGGCAGTGCCGTGGGCGGGAGCGGTGGTTGATGGGCAGGCGCCGTACTTGTGGGCCTTCTTCTGGGCCTTGTGCTCGGCCTTGTGGGTCTTCTTCTCGAGCTTGTGCTTCTCCTTGTCGAGCTTCTTCTGGGCCTTGTGCGGATCCTTGCCAATCGGGCACGATGTAGGGGGGGCGCCATGGCTCGGCGCGCCGTAGGTGGGCGTCGAGAGGCCGAAGCCGCCAGCGGCAGGGGGGTAGCCCGCAGCGTGGCCGGGGGCGGGGGGTAGGCAGCGCCAGGGGGGTAGCCGCCAGCGGCGGGCGGGTAGCCGCCACCAGGGTAGCCACCGGGGGCGCCCGGGTAGCCGCCACCAGGCGCACCATAGCCAGCGCCGGGGGCGCCAGGGTAGCCGCCGCCAGGCGCACCGACGGCGCCGGGATAGCCAGCGGCGGGCGGGTAGCCGCCGGGGGTGTGAGGCTGTTGGTAGGCCATGGTCTGTGTTGTGTTGGCTGGAGAGGAAGGAGGGGGTTGTGGTGGCTCGAAAGTGGCGAAGAAAAGATGGATTTGCGGGGCGTGGAGTGTCGGGTGTCTTTTCTTTTGTCGGTCGGGGTGATGTGCGACCGCACGAATTCAGGAAAAAAGGGGACCAACGGCCCACGGGCGTAATCCCAAGAAGTTGTCCGCCACCAACGGCCCGCGCCGAGGACCGTGGCCAAGAACGTAGGAGAAAACGACGCGATACCAGGGGGCCTTCCAAGAAGAGAAAAAGGAGTGGCGATCGCGAATGAGGGCTGTACCACCTCACTCGTGGTGGGGCGAAGCCACACGAGCATGCGAGTGTGCGGAGTAAGCGGCGTAGGCCCCCACTGAGTCAAAACTGGTCTCGCACGCGTTGGCGTAGATGGTCGCGTCCTGCTCACACAATGGGTCAGAAGTGAAAGAAAGAAAGAACAAAGCGCGGAGAAGAGCGAAGGGGTGGCGCGGGTACCTGTGGGGAGGGGGCGTAGTGAGAGAAGTCCTGGGCGAGGAAAGCTTCGTAGGAGAGGTTGGGCCGGGAGCAGCAGATGAAGCGGCCCGGGTCGTCCTTCGCCTGCACATGCATGTACGCCCGATGTGTGTGTGTGTGTGGTGTCGTGTGTCGTGTGTCGTGTGTCGTGTGTCGTGTGTCGTGTGTCGTGTGTCGTGTGTCGTGTGTCGTGTGTCGTGTGTCGTGTGTCGTGTGTCGTGTGTCGTGTGTCGTGTGTCGTGTGAGCGAACACAACGCAGAGTGGTGCCACATTCAGAGCTGTGGTTGGGGGGGGGGTGGCGTACGCCGATGTAGTCGCGGTAGATCTGGGCGTCCATCGTGTGGTCGGGGTCCTCCGGCTTGGCCACGTCCTCGGTGCCTTCAGTCGCCGTCGACAGTTGGTTCATGTCCACATACCTTGTGTAGTGACCGGTCGTGTGACAAGCCGACAGACACCGTCAGGCCAAGACGCACACGCACACGCACCAACCACCGCACACACGCACACGCACGTGCATTGAAAAAAAAAAAAAGATGAGAGGAAGCGGCGCACTTCTTGTAGAATCCGACCTCGCGCGGGTCCTGTCGGATGGAGATGCCGTAGTCGTTGACCACCTCCCTGCTCCGGCTTTCTTGGCGCTTGTTAAACCCAGAGGTCTGAATGACACACGACACACACGGGGATGATGAGTGAGATGATCGATCAAAAACAATGAATCGTACTACACCGCACATCACCTTTTCTCGGGCGGAGGACTCGCGGGAGTCCTTGTTGTTCTTGGGGTCGCGGCTCTGCGCCCACCAGCTCAGCCACCGCTTCATTCCGTTGCTGTTCGACGGCGACAGACATCAAAATAAGAAGAATAATATAAAAGCATAAAATAAAATGAATCACACAACCCACGACGGACGGCGGCACAAGCGAGCGCGTGTAGAACAAATAAGAGCTTGGGGGGGGGAGGGTCATTCGTACATGTACTGGGCGCCGGGCGGGTTGTTCTGGTCCATGAAGGTCTTGAGCGTCACCCTCTGCTTCTGCGGTACCTTTTGCTGAAGCTCGCCCGCATTGCTCGCGCCCTTCTGCTCCTCCACAACCACGACCATCATCATTGCGATCAGTTTCGCCATGGCGACCCAGGTTGCTTGTGTCGATGCGCACGGTTCGTACCTGCTGCTGGAGCTGGAGCTGAGAGCTCTCCGAGAGCTCGGCCTCGTTGAAGTTGAAGGAGAGCTCCTTGTCAAACAGTGTGATGGTGTGCACCTACAGCGGTTGTGGACCCCACAAACATGAGCTCGATGACGCACGACACGACACGGCACGCGACACAACACGACACAATCACACGCAACAAAGAAGAGAGGGCGTGTGCGGGCGAACCCGATAGAAGTCCTCGAAGCTTCCGCCCTTGCCCTCCCAGGTCTTCTTCTTTTTCTTCTTCTGTTTGTTGGGCGCCTCGCCGTCGCTGCTGCTGCTCGAGGCGTCGCCAGCCTCGGGGTCGTCGATCTCCGTCTCCGTCGTCTCTCGCTTCTTGGCCTCTTCCTCCTCCTCTCGTTTCTTTTGCGACGACGACGACGAGGTCCGGCTGTCGTCGGCCTCTGCGGCCTGCTGCCCGACCTTGTCCACGCCCCGCTTGAAGTCCTCGATCGGCTTTCGCCACCAGGGCGTGGCTCTGCGTTTCGATCGAAAACAGAACATCAATCGCCGGGATTGGCCCATGCCATGCAACGGTCGTGTCGTGTCGTGTCGTGTCGTTAGGGGGGTGTAGGTACGCGAGGAGGATGTTTTCGCCGCACTTGCGGTTGTGGAGGTAGTAGTCGGACTCGAGCTCCCAGAGGTGGAGGCCGTCGCGCGGGGCCTGTATCCAGGGGATGTAGTTGCCCAGGAACAGGTTGATGGAGTCCTGCTTCTCGGCGTCGGTGAACGAGTTGGAGTAGTAGCGCTTGATCGTCACCAGAAGGTCACGCGAGTGCGAGGCGATGTTGTGCGCGTTGTTGATGCTGTAGGTCTGCATCGTGTTCACCTGTTGGTCGCACGATTCGAGGATTGGCCGAACAAACAAAAACTGGCTTCAGTAACCCGATTGGCGCCCGAAGGTGCTGCATCTCAACCAATCACGCGCTTGCTGTCGACATGGGGCATGGTGGTGGCGTACGCACCAGGTGGGAGCCGGCGTACTGGAGGGCGATGTGGTTGCCCATGTCCTGGTACATGGCCATGAGGAGCACCACGATCTCTTCATCAAAGTCCACTTCGGGGATGTCTCGCATGCCCATCGCGTGCAGCTGCAGTCATTGTCGTCGGTCGGTTGAATTGCGTGTTGTGTTGTGTTGTGTGCAAGTGAGCGCAGGGCCACACGTACCTGATAGCCGAGCGCGCACTTGGCCAGCACGAACTGTGCGGCGTTTGTTCGGTCGAGCGAGTCGATGCAGTTGGTGCGCACCACGCCACTCTGCGTTCGTCCCGTCTCCTCGCCACTGCACTCCCACGTCACGACAAGTCAGCGACGTGAATGATAATGAACAATTTAAATAATTCTACTCTATCTCAGTAGTGAAGAGGATGAGGAGCAGTGATGGTCGTACTCCTTGAAGTGCTTGCCGCTGTGGAAGAAGCCCACCTTGGAGAGGCACCTGCTGAAGAGGCCGTTGAGGTACGAAATGGCATCGGGCTCGTTCGGATTCTGCTGCTTGCTGGAGAGATCACGCACATGTGGTTAATAAATTATAGTATATAATAATAATTTTGTTTAAAGATTTAAATCAGATAAGTGGGGAAAAATGATAAATAAACGGAAATGAATAGAAATACCTCTTGGCGGCTTTGTGGAAGTCCCAGGCGTAGTAGACGATGCGGTGCTCGGGCGGGAGGAGATTGTTCAGAAAGTCGATGGCGGCGCCGAATTCCTTCAGGAGGATCGTTTCTCGCGGCTTCTTCTCCTGCGCCTTGACCAGGTTCACGATGACGACGGGGGACGAGTAGCGGCGGAAGAGGTCCTCGAAGTGGAGGATCGTGGCATTGTAGTACGGGTCCACTCGTTGAACTGCAATTGCACCACGTGGCGAATGAGGCACAGCACGACACGCACACGCACACGCACCATCGCACACGACATGACACGCACACGACAGCACGAGAGAAGGAGGGGTACCGATGATGGGTGGTTTGGGGTGCATGCCGGTGGTGTCCTGCGACCAGAAGAGCGGGATGCTGCCCCGGATCTGCACGAACGACGAGAAGTTGCGGAAGCTCTTGTTCCCCGCACTCACCTGCACTCGCGGGGGAAAAAAATATCACGTTTTCTCGATGTTATAAGATGGCGCACACCGAGGCGGAATTGATGATGAAGAGGTGTCTGAGTGGGTGTGGGTGAAGTGGAGTAAAGTGGAGTGGAGTGGAAAGCGCGAGTGCGTGCCTCGTGGAGGATCTGTTCGGACTCGACGTCGTTGGCCACCTTGCCATCCTCGGTGACGCCGCGCTTGAGGAACCGCGCGCCGGCAAAGTAGCGCGATCGTCGCGAGAGCAGGGTCAAGCTCACCGTGCGCCCGAACACGGAGTACTCTGTACACGCGACCGCGAGAGTGAGGACCAGACAAGGCCAAGGAGAGACCGAAAGCGAAAGCGAGAGGGAGAGATAGAAGAGCGGAGACGACGTACTGGTCTGGTTGAAGTAGCCGTGGATCACGGGCAGGATCCACTGGGAGGACACGTTGCTCTTGCGCAGGGGCTTGAGGAGGTAGTTGTTCCACATGAACCGCGCGTTGAACGAGGGTCCGGTGCTCTTCCTGCACCCGACCGCGTCGTTAGTTCGTTAGTTTCAGTTACCCGCTAATCAAGCCCGGGTAGCGTGTGTGCCGTGTCGTTGGTCGTTGGTCGTGTCGTGTCGTGTCGTGTCGTGTCAAATGGGAGCGGTACCATCGGCAAGTCATGTTGTGTTGGAGGGTGTGAGTGATGTCGTAAGTGTAGGAGAAGTAGAACTTGGTCACGTCCATTCCGAAAAAGAGCCCCTTGTAACTGTTGCACACAACACCACGCAATGTTACTATCAAAGTATCGACATGTTGGATGGAATGCACAGAAGAAGGGAGGGCGGGCGATCGAGCGATACCGCATCTCTTCGTTGGGGTTGTTGTTCAGCTTGTAGCTCGGGTGGGGGATGGGCACGTAGATGGTGTCGTCGATAGAGTACACGAAGTGGCTGCCAATGGCGCCCACCTTGCTCTTGCGCGAGATCAGGAGCATGTAGTAGCCCTGCATGAATCGAATGAATCCTGCAGTCGTCGTTACCACCACCATTGCGCGACAATCAGACCATGTTGAACAGGTGGCATGCATCACCACGCCATACACGACACGCAACTCGCAAGACACACACACACACCACACACACATGCGACGGACCCAACACGCCAAAGGCGACGCAGGTCTTCTTCATGCCTCCGGAGGCCTTGTTGCCGTGCTCGATCATCTCCAACAGCTGCTGAATCTCGGCGCGCGAGTAGACCTGAGCCCGAGCGCGCGACACACGGCCCGACGAATGAGCGAGTGGTGATGTGGTGATGTGGTGTGGTGTGGTTATCACAGTGCAGACCACCAGGCCGGCCGCACACGACGCATAAGACAAAGAGCACAACGCGTTCGTTGGAGAGGGCACCTCGGGGTCCTCCATGAAGGCGAGGTCATGGGGCAGTGTGCGGTCGATCTTGAGCACCTTGAAGCACGTCTTTTGTCGGTTGCTGCCCACGAGATAGTAGCGCTGTTCAAACCGCTTCGCGTCAGGAAAACTCCCTTCACTTTTTCCATCTTCATTACAAAAAAATAAACATAAATAAATGAATATATAAATAAATGGTATTGTGACGGAGGTGTACACCCTCAGGCCAAAATTTTAATAAATGACAAAACAATCGGGGGGGGAGTACGGGCTTGGTTTCGTAAAGTACAAACTTGACGAGGGTGTTCTCGCGCGCTTGCACAAAGAACTGCGAAGAGTTGGTGCCGCCGGGTGCCTTCTCGGACTCGGCGGGCATGTGCCCCTCCTCCTGCGGAGGAATATGTGCTGGATCCTCCATCACGAAAATATAAAAATAAAAATGGTGGCGCAAAGTTTGGCAAGTGTGGCAAAATTTCAAGCTGTTTTGGCAAAGGTTTCGAGAGGCATTCCAACCAGCTGAAGAAGAATTCCCCCTTTTCTCAGTCCCGAGAAAAGTGGCCACCAATAGAAGGAACGCAGGATAACGAGAAAATGTTTAAAATGTATTTATAAAGCCCATTGTCGGATGCCGGACGTTGGGCTTGGGAAAGAGGGGAGAGAGTTGTTGTGAGGCTCTTCCCGTGACAGCACAGGCGGAGCAGCTGCTCGTCGTCGGACTGTCGGCGGGGCTGTACAAGGTACCGCGGTCTGGCGCGTGGTGGTGGTCCGTCCCCACGGTGCGCGGGGTGTCCAAGACGGGCCTCGACTCGCGGGCGAGACGTCACCCTGTGTACCGGTACAGGGTGCGGCGAGGTGCAGCCAGCCGGAGCCGGTGCTGCGCCACACGCACTACCCGTTCTATTGAAGGGTAGGCAGAGGTGGTTGTGTTCGTAGATTATACTTTCGGGATTGATTGATTTTCGTTGCGGTCGTGTCGTGGGGAAGAGGTCGAAAAGATGGACGTCGCTCGAGCAGGATCACTCGAGGATGTTGACGCCGATGCTCTGGTGCAGATCATCCGAGAGGAACAGGCCAGAGAGCTGGCGGCGCGACGTAGCGACGGCCGAACGAAGATGGGGAAGCGAGAGCGGCTGGCTCGAGTTGTTGGTCCACAGGCCGAGACCCAAGCAGGCGCCGCCCACCAGCGGGACGACAGTCTTGGCACGGTGGGTGGGAGTAGCGGCGGGAGTCGAGAGACGGGAGGCGGCGAGGCGGGGCAGAGAGAACGAGGACTGCATGGTGGTGGTGGTGGTGAAAGAACGAGAGGGAGAAGAGGTGACCGGTCTGTGTGGGAGGCGGAGGGTAAAGAGGAAAGACTCGAGCCGATGTGTTGGGATAAAGCAGTTCGGCCTGGTCCTAATTTGCGGCCAAACACGGCCTGCGCACACCATTTCGCCATCAACCTGCGAAAAACTCGCGGATGTTCAACGGACAAGCCCCTTACAAGGCGACCCAAGCAGGCCCAACCCCGTAACGGGATTTATCAGGATGCACGGACTTCCGGCCCATCGGGAATATCTGGACGTTCTTGGCATTCTGGGACGGAACATTCTTCTGGCATTCCAAGCCTCGAATTCTTCTGGAGAATCGGCCGTATCGACAAATAATCACACTTCGGTGAAGTTACAACAAGACGCCGAAGATCGCGACGCTGAGGAGCCCACAGCTCGCCCGAGAGAAAAATCAAAGAGACGAGACAAGAGGCCCGCGGTTGCGGCTAGTAACCGAAAACGGCCGAGAGATTGATTGGATGATGATGGATGATTATGCTCGCCGATCCTATTCCTCCGCCTCGCCAGCTGCACTAGGGGCGCCCCCTTTTCATGGAGGGGGCGGTCACGCGCGGCCAGAGGCGTGTACAGCTTGTGTACGAGCATATCAATCTTACGGAGGCACTGGGGGCGGGGGCCACGGAAGCAAGCCACCCCTTGATGACCTCGATCATCATCATCATCATAATGGCATCGGGCTTCTGGGACCCACCGTCTACGGGTTTTGCCCGCTTCATCGCGCCGAGGGAGTGAGTAGCAGCCCTGCCGGCATCTCATCCATCAATGGAGGCGCCAAAAAGATGGCCAAGGAAAAGAGAGCGAAGCCCAGCACCAGCCGAAGTAGCAGCAACAAGCGCGGATCTTTCCAAGATGTCTCGCAAGATGGCTACGCCAACGAACGCGGGCTCGGCGACGACGTGCTGGGCCTGGCCCTGTCTAGCCAGTACGACGACACCGACCTCCCCGGCGAGGCCGACGCCATCGACCACCATCGCGCGCCCCACGAAGGCACCGCTGGCGACTCGGCCGCCGAGGGCCTCGCCTACTACGAAGCCCTGGGTGACAAGCCCGCCTCTTCGTCGTCGCGCGGCCTTCGCGCCTCCTCGTCTGCCCACCGACGTGCCGCGGCCCACGCGGCCTCGTCCATGTCAACAGCGGCGCCTGGTCGCCAGCGGGACGGCAGCGCGGGCGACGACGGCTCCAGTGGTGACGACGACGACGACGACGATAACAGCAGCGGTTCCGAGGGCGGCCGTGACAGCCGGCGCGGACGCCACGCCAAGCGCGCACAGCGGCGCGATCGAACGGCGGCGGACGGCGGCGACAAGAAATGGGCGAAGAAGAAGCGCGCGCAGCAGTACTCGGACGACGAGCCCGAGCAGCAGGACGTCAAGGTGCTCTTCTTCTTCTTCTTTGCTCCATCAGATCGGACGATCGAGCGCGTGCGCTTTCTGTTTTTGTCGGCTGTGTGTGTGTGTGTGTGTGTCGCGCGCGCGCGATGCAACGGGGTCGGCTGACCCTGGTGGTGGGTGGCAAAGCAGAGGGCCGAGCGGGAGTACATGGTGGGCGAGATCGACGAGCGCGAGCTGGTCATCGGTCGGCGAATCGCGTGGTATCCCAACGGACCCGGATGGATCGAGAAGGTGTACCATGGCATGTGGCGAGGCAGACAGGCACGTGCACACAGTTTTCCCTCTTCTTTTCCTTGACACCTTTTTGCCCAACGCGTTGGTCGTGTGCGTTAACTATTTATTGACCCTGCGTGTTGTGTTGTTGCTTTTGTTTTTATTTTGTTTTGTTTCGTTTTTTTCCGTGTAACCAGGTGATAATCAAGATTCCGCGTATCAAGGAGCTCAAGGGCACAGAGCTCCGCCGCTTCCGCAAGGCGGTGGCCAAGCGCATCACGTACGCACCGCCGAGCCGCCGCTCTCCGCCACCGAGATGGCACGATGCACATCTTGGGGGTCGTCTAACGAACTCGTGTGTTCTTCTTCTTCTTCTTCTTCTGGTTTGTTTCCTTCTCTTCTCTTCTTTCTTTCTTGGTCGTGTGCAGGGTCGCGCATCCGAATGTCGTGTCGTGCCTCGGTGCCTGCACGGTGCCGGGCCGCTTCAAGCTGATCGAGGAGACCCTGGACGAGGGCGGCTTCTCTCGGCTTCTCCGGGCACACCGCCACTCCCCCGCGTACGCACCTCCCTCCGCCCCACCGTCCCAAACCTCAAACCCGACTCGCATTCGTTTTCCTCGCGAGAACACCCATCGGGCCGGTGGGCTGACCACTTCCACGCGTGTGTGTGGTCGGGCATTGTGTGTCGCTACAGTCCGCTGTCGCCCAACGAAGGCCAGTGGAGTCTGTTTCATCGCATGCTGATGGCGTCGGACATCGCCTCCGGCATGGCCTGGTTGCACTCCTCCGTGCCGCCCATTGTCTACGGGTACGGCCTCTCTCTCTCTCCTCCCCCCTCCTCTCTCCCCTCTCCTCTCTTTCGCTCGCTCGTGGAACGAGGCGCTCACCGTTCCCCCATGTCGGCGCACCAGGGATTTGAATTCGTCGAACCTGTCGGTGGAGTACCGGGAGGGGCGCGCGGTCATCAAGGTCGCCAACTTTGGCTTCCCGATGCTGTGCGGTCCCTCCTACTACCCCCACAAGGTACAGCACGGCCACTATTATTACTTATTACTTAGAAATTACGAAATATTAAACGACGTTCCGTGTATCGACAGGCGGCGCCAGAGGTGCTGGGTACGCCGCTCTCCAGCCACCAGTCCTTCACGAAGGAGGCCGACGTGTACGCCTTTGGTCTCATTCTCTGGGTTCGTCGCCTTTCCTCCCTCCTCTCCGGCTCTCGTTCCTCTCTTCAACGACCTTGAACCCTTCAATCGTTATCGTTTGGTTGACCGCCGCGTTGTTGGCACGTGCAGGAATTGCTCACGACTGAGGAGCCCTACCCCTACTTTGCCAACTTGGACGAACTCATCGAGGCCGTGTGCAGGCAGAAGGAACGCCCGCCGCTGCCCGAGTACCACTCCCCCTCCCACCTCTCCTCCACTATCCGGCGTGCTCGCTTGTCTCCCGGTCTCACGCCCCTTTTCTTTTTGCTTCTTTTTGGTGAACCCGCAGCGATTGTCCGACGGCCTTGCGACAGCTCATCCAGGCGTGCTGGTACCACGAGTCCGCGTGCCGCCCCGACTTTGTGCAGATCACGGCCAGGGTGCGCGCACCCCGCATCGCCATCATCACCACCATCACCCATCCACCCGGGTGGGCGTTCCTCCCCCTCCTCAGCTAACACCCATCCCCTCTTCTTTCTGCACAGCTGGACGAGATCTTCATCAGGATGGCGGTCAGAGACGAGGAAGGCCAACGCTTCTGGATCGAGAACTTCCCCAAGCAGGTGCGCACCCGCTTTCTTCCTTCCTCCCACTCGATTCTTTGCTTTGTGTCGTGTCGTTAGTCGTTGGTCGTGTCTTTGTGTCTCTCGAGCGTCCCCGTCTCACCTCTTTTTGGTGGTTTGTTGCTGTCGACTCGTCGAGCAGCAAGCGGTGGAGTGGGGCGTGTTTGTTCGTGCCTTCTACAGATTCCTCAAAGTGCGGCCGCCTCGCGGGCGTCGCCTTGTACAAAGCAAAGGGAGCGCGAACGAGCAGCTCCGGTACCTTCCCTCTTCCTCAACACTTTAATTTATATATTATATGAATATATTCTTTTTATTTTTTATTATTTATTATTTTTAATATCTGGTCCACCATCGCCGACAAATAGCAGATCGATTGAACTTGCAACATAGCCACAACATGTTCTTCACAGCATTCTTTTAATTTTACAGTATTATTATCATGTTCTGCTCAGCTGACTTGTTTGGTGCCACCCGTCACCCATCTCGACACAACAGAGAGAAAGAGCGGGAGGAGGAGGAGCGAGAGGAGATGGTCATGCAGTGCTTCAAGGCTCTGGTCGTCTGTACGTCGCCCCCCCTCGCCTCGCCACGCCACATGGTGGGGAGCAACAGTGCCTCTGCGCTCACACATCTCCTCGCCCCCCTAGTTACAGCCAAGGACCCGGTCGACGAGGGCACGCTGGCTCTCGGCAGCCGCATCGCCGGTAACGTGCCTGCACGTGATGCGTTCCCCGTCAGCCCCTCCAAAGCTAACCAACATAACTTGCTTCTTGCTTCTCGCTTCTTCTTGCAGTGCGCAAGAAGGAGATGGTGCACATCCAACAGTTCGGCCGCATCTTGGACTGGTTCGGTCCCGTGTCCAAGAACGTCACGCTCCCGCCACCCAGGTACGATGCGTTCGTCGCCGCGCGCTACACCAACCCACTCGCGACCCCCCCCCCTCTCATCCTCGTGTCTTGCTTCGTCGTCAGGCCGTCGACGTGTGACGAGGCGCTGGTGAGTCCGAGGAAACAGGCGCTCATGCGCAAGGGCAAGGGCGGCGGTGCGGCATGTACAAAGGAGAAGAGCGCATCCGGACACGGCAGCCACAAGGACGGGCGGCGGGCCGGTAGCGGCAAGAGGCGAGCGGCGACCCGGAGAAAGAGGGCCGGCAGGGGCCACTACGCCTCCGAGAGCGACGACGATTCGGGTGAGTGTGATACCGACACAGCGCGCACCGACGTTCTCACCGATGTTGTTTCCTGCCGTTATTTGACTCATCCTTTTCATTTCTTTGGTTCCCATGCAACCTACAGAATCGTCGTCGGAAGAAGAGGAGGCCGACGTGACGGACTCCTCTGAGTCGGACTCGGAGAGCGAAGAAGAAAGCGAACGGGTTTACCCTCCCCTCCCCTCCCCTCTGTCGCATTCGTTCTTTTGCCTTCTTCGCATTTCTCAAACTCTCCCCACAACACAGGATGCGAAGAGCAAGCGCGTCGACTTTGCGTCGGTGCTGCCGGTGGAGCTGTCGTTGGCCATCTTCCGCTACTTTGATGAATACGATTGGACCGACCTGCAAAGCGTTTGCAGGAATTGGGCGACGATCATCAACGTGCTGCGAAACAAGCAACAGCGGCGACTGCGACGGCGGCCCAGCCGAGAATCGTCGGCATCGCGCCAGGCCGAGAAGACGACCAAGAAGAAGAAGAAGTCCCGCATCGACCCCAAGACCTTCCACCTCGCCCGCGGCATGTCGACCGGCGCGCTCTCCCTGTCGTCCGTCAAGAACAAGCACCACGCCGGCAACAGCCACAGCGGCGGCAAGCTCATCGATTCGCTCCAGGACAAGAAGCACGGCGGCGCCGGCAGCAAGATGGAGCGGATGGGCAAAAACTTCAAGTCGTCGGCCCTCCTCACCCGCAAGCGACGCACCAAGGGCGGCGGTGGCGACGATTCGTCGTCTTCGTCTTCGGAAGACACCGACGGCGATGTCGATACGCCGCCGGCCTTTGCTGCGCCCTCGAAGCGCGAGCGCCGTAGGGAGCGCCGCCACCACCAGGACAAGGACGACTCGGCCTACTGCTCGTGGAGCGACGACGACGACGACGAATGCGACATGGACAACTGGGAGGTACAGTTGCTCCCCCGCCCAAAGTGCGGAATGCTTGGCAGCTCACGTGCATTCTTTTTCTTTTGGTGTTTCCATTTCTTTTCTGTCTCTGCTGCGTGCCCGCTGCAGATGGTGCCGGAGGCCAACCCCAAGCGGACGATCTTGGACGCCATCCACGCGGTGCTGACGCAGAAGTGGTTCCATGGCGACATCGAGACCGCGGACGCCACCTACCGCATTCAGAGCTGCCCCCAGGTAGACACTCGCCGCACGCACGCACGCACGGTAAGGTTGACGACTGACGCGAATCGATTAATTGCCGGTATTGCAGGGAACGTTTTTGGTGCGCTTCAGCACCAACGCGACGCATCCGGGCGCCTTCACCATCACGCGCGTGGCGGCCGGCCCATCGATCGGCCACATCCGCATCACCCGCTCCGATGACGGCAAGGGGAGGTGCGTGCACCTAACCCTCTCCCTCTTTCTACAACCAAACTCATTGTGTGCGTGTGTGTGGGGTGTGTGTGTGTGGTGGTTTTGTCCGCACACGCAGATTCATGGTGAACAAGGACATGGTGTTCGACAGCTTGGTGGAGACCATCGAGAGCACGAAGAACATCCTCGGCCTCACCTCCTCCTGCCCCGGCTCCCCGTTCTACAAGAAGTTCGGCGTGCCCTCGTCCTCCGCGACTCCTTCTTCGGCCTCGCTGACGGCCTCCCGAAGCTGAGCCACAAGGCCAGCCACCCAAAACAACGCGCGCTGCTTTCTCACTCCCGGCATGTAGACCCGTTCATGACTACGTTCACATACAACCGCTGGCTACCCATGTGCTCATCTTCTCTCGTAGTGTGGAGCGTTCGTGTAGAACACTCCACATTTACATTAGATAGTCATGTGTGTAAGTTCATTTGCTGCGCTGGTGGTGGGCGGCGATGGCGGTCCAGATGGCGGGCAGCCCGTGGATGGCCACGAGGCGCGGGTGGAGGGGCAGCGGCGGCCTGCCTTCGACGAGCTCGTTGAGCGGCACCCACTGGAAGCGACAGCGGCGGTCCGACACGGCGAAGAGCTGGTTGAGCTCGTCGGCGCTCACGTAGGGCATCCGCACGAAGAACACCTCGTAGCCGCCCTCGTCCGTGCTCCCATGCCACACCTTGTCACCATCACCACCTTCTTCTTCTTCGACACGAGCCGCTACTTCGCCATAGTGGCCGAGGCCCTTAAGAAGGCGCGCCAGCAGGCGCCCAGTGGCCAGGGTGGTCAGGGGGCTGGCCTGCACCGCGCGGTTGGAGGCGATGGGCTGCCGAGCCAGCTCGTCGGGGCTGAGGTCGAACACGCCCGCCGTCTCCTCGCTCATCTCGCGGGCCGCCACGGCCACGGCCGAGTCGTCGCCCTCGTCCTCGCCCACGCCGCCGCCAAAGTCGACCAGGTAGCCCACCTTCTTGCCCACCTCCTTGGTGTGGAACAGGACCATCACCTCCTGCGAGACGCTATCCTCGTCGCCTGGCTCCCTCTCCAACACGGCGAAGGGCACCACGCCCGCCCCTGTCAGCCCCGCCCTCTCCCACGGCTTCTTGCTGCTGGTGCTGGCCATCAATCAATAACTAGATATTTATAAAAAAACTATTCGACTGCGCGTGGGTGGTTCCCTCCTGTTAAATTTCTCCACCTTGTTTTGTGGAGGTGATGACAGAAAAAAGAAAAAAGAAAGAGTTGTGGTGCTTTTCTCTTCAGCCCCTGATTTGGGCAATGGCATCGGCAGTCTCCTTGTCGAGGTACTCCGGCGAGATCTGGCTCCCGTCGTCGGTCGCCTTACTCCTGTGGGCGAGCAGCCAGCGAAGAGTGAACACCGTCAGACACACAGTGCGTGCAGCGCGCGTGTGTGCTCCCATATGTGTGTGTGTTGGCATGAAAGAGAGAAACGGTACCGGGCAATGCCGCGGGCGGACTTCTTGGGGAACTTGGTCTGCAGATTCTCAAACAGCTCGGCTCGCACCTTCTCCTGCGGCCGCCTGAACTGGGTCGCCGACATCGCGCACCGCTCGGCGTTGATCACTGCACACCCAGCCATAATCAATCATCGTGCGCGTTCACCCGGCCGCAAGAAAAAATGAACATGAGAGGAGGGCGTACATTTGGTCAGGAGGAACTCGCGGAACTCGGGGCCACGCTCCCAGACGGCCTCCTCGGGCAGCGGCGGCTTCGACTCAGCGACGCCGACCTTGTAGGCCATGTGCAGCCTTCAGGAATTCCAACCATTCACGACACGCACACAACGTCAGTGCCAGAAAACGAAAAAGAATGCGAAAGCGAAGAGAGAGAGAGAGAAGGTCGGGGGGGGGGATGTACGCGTAGTAGGTGGTGCCGTTCCTCTCCTCGGGGACGACGAGGGCGAACACGTGGTTGAAGTTCGACACGAAGATGTTGGGGTCCAGCGGTTTCTGCGCATCAGGGAAAAAAGAAAGGAAAAGAAGAAAAAGGGGCTCGCACTTAGTGCCGCCCACAGACCACCACGTTGCGTGTAGCACGCACACGCACACGCACACGCACACGGCGGATGGGTGGGTGGCTACCTTGCCCTCGTAGAACACGATGACGACGATGTCGTTACCGATGAACCGCTTGCGCTCCCACTGCTGGCCGTACTGGTCGGTGTTCTTCATCATCAGGATGTACGTCATCACGTGGAACCTGGTCACCGGTGGTCGATAGATCAGATGAGCACATCGAGCAACTTTCGAATGAGAGGTCGAAGGCGAAGCTACGTACATGATCTCGTGGTCGCCAAACACAGTGTAGAGCGATTTCTGGTCGGCTGTTGGTGGCGCGTCATACGTGCGGTGTCGTGTGTTGTTTAGAACGAACGGCTCAGCCGGCAAAATGAATGTACGAATGGTGGTGGCGGGTACCCTTGTTGGAGAAGTCGCCTCGATACTTGTCCCAGCCCTTCATGTTGATGCGGTCGCCCAGCGAGCTCAGGAAATCTTCGAACACTTCACTGCCGTGTTCTGCATCTCCCCCAAATATCGATTGTGAGTGCCGTGTGTGCGCCGCGTGTGCGCCCTGGGGCACATGCAAAGGTACCATTGTTGTACATCTGGGTTTCGTCCTGGCCGTCCCTGCCGTAGATCACGCCGAACTTGGAGCAGTTGCTTTTCTGTGGTATGCGCATGAATGCGGAATGAGCGGAATGTGCGTGCCCACACGGGGGGGGGATGAAGCAAGAACGAAAACGAAAACGAGAAAAGAGAGAGAAGAGATGTAGGTTCGCGTACGAGCTTGTCCTCGAGGAGGGCGAACTCGCGGTGCGAGCGCTTATCGCGGATGACCCACAGGTGCCGCGGCGAGAACGGCTGCAGCAGCTTCTTCAGCGCGTCCTACACACGCAACACACCGCACACGCAACACGACACACGCGCATGAGTTTCGTTTCAAACACTGCGAGGAATTCATTTGACGGGAGGGGGGAGTACGGTACCATGAGGTCGTCGGATCGGGCGTACTTTTCCTTCTTTCGGATCTTGACTTCGGCCGCTCTGATCTCGAGGCGCCGATCGTTCTGCTTGGTGCGGAGGAGCACGCGGTACACCGGGTAGGGCTGCTCGCCCAGGTTCACCATCGTGCTCATCGTGGGCTCCTAATGTTCATTACACACACGACACACACACACACGACACACGACACACGTGTAAGACGACCAAACGACACACACGACACTAAGAGTTTGGGAAAGTGTGAGAGTGAGTGAGCACCTTCTGGATGGAGATGCAGATCTGGCCCAGCTGTTTGTCGTTTCCGATGATGTTGGCGTGCACTGAGGAGAATCAAAGAATGCGGAGAATTCAATTCGTTCTTCGTTAGTCTTGGGAGACTTGACCAGGAAAGAGTGAAAGGGTAAGGCGTAGGTAGGCACCGGTCTGGTGGTAGAAGTAGCGGCGGTAGTCGAACACGTTGATGTGCTCCTGCAGGTGCAGGTCCTTGGACTGCGGCCTCGGCCCTAGACACGACACGACACGACACGCGTCGTTACATTCCACGTCGCGATGAGGAATTGTCGACGCATACTCGATCGGTGGTGGATGGTGATGGTGGTGGTGTACGCACCTCGTCCCTCTTCGATCTTGAAGCCGAAGCCGTTGGTCCACATGGACTTGCCCTGCGACCGGCCCTCGCCATCGCCGTCGTCGTCGCCCCCTCCTCGCTCCTTGTCCTTGTGCGGACGCAAGGTGGCGCTCCCCTCGCTGGGCATCGCGCGGCTGCGGGACTTGGTCGCCACATCCTGCAGCTTCTCAGAATTCACACGGATCACGCCTGCACGCACACGCACACACGCACACACGCACACACGCACACACGCACACACGCACACACGCACACACGCACACGCCAGCCACGACACACGCGAGAGGAATGTGAGGAATCCGCCCAAGACGAATTAAAAGGGGAATAAAAAACAATGATTAGATAAAAGAAAATAAATAAAAAGAGGAATACCGAGAATGTCGCGGGAGCCCTTGGTGCGGGATTCGGCGCGGTCGCGGTTCTTGTTGGCCTGGAGGAGGGCCAGCAGCTTGGACTTGTCCTCCTCGACCAGCGGGTTGTTGTCGACCACGATGCAGAAGGCGTTGTTGTCGCTCACCAGGCTCAGGATCTCCTTGGGAATGTGCGTCACCTGGTTGCTGGAGATGTCCAGGTGCATCAACGCCGGCAACGACGCCAACGAGCCCTGCACAGCATATAAAGATCAGTGTGCACACATTACAAATACAAAGTATATATATACATGAGCAAGTTGGAGGAAGAGGTACGGAGATTTCACGGAGTTGGTTGTCGTTGACGTAGAGCTCCTCGAGCTTCTCGAGCTTGTCGAGGGCGGGCACCGCGTCGATCTGGTTGTTGGACAACTCCAGGAAGCCCAGCTGCGTCAGCTCGTTCACCGCCGCCGGCACCTGCGCACATCGCACACGCACCACCGCACACACAGTCAGTCCATCGATGCCACACATGGCGCGTGCGCCGTAGTGCGTGTGCGGTGATGCGTGTGCGGTGGTGTGGTGCGTGTGCGTGCCTTGGAGATCTTGTTGGAGGAGAGGTCGAGGTAGGAGAGGGTGGTGGCCTTGAACAGACCCTCCGGGATCTCCGTGATCTGGTTCTCGGCGCCGATCAGCGAGTGCAGCCGCGGGAACGACGCAAAGATCGAACCGGGCAGCGACGTGAGCTTGTTGGCGCTCACGTTGAGGCGCTTCAGCAGGCGCAGCGCCGACAGGTCCTCCGGAAGCTCCGTCAGCTTATTCCGGCTCAGGTCCAGGTACACCTGAGCACCCACCGCGCACGCACACCATCAGCCATGACACACACGACAAACACGACACGACACGCATGGTGGGGAGCACGCACGACGTAGTTGAGGCGGCAGATGTGGAGCGGGAGGGTGGGTCCCATGCCCAGGTTCTTGAGCGAGAGCGTGGTCTTGTGCTTCTGGAACGAGTTCTGGATGGCGTTCTTGATCCGCTCCTCCAACGGCACCTTCGACTGGCCTGCATCGCACACACCGCACACACGTGTCAAATGCCACGCCATGAGCCGACAATCGTTGATTTGGGGGGAATGTACTGGGGTCTTCGTGTTCGTCGTCGGACGAGTCCTCCTCGTCTTCGTCGACGTCGGCCTTGGCCTCGGCACCCCGCTCCGACGGGTTGTCGGGGATGCGGAGCTTGAGCCACTGGAAGTGCGAGCGCGGGTTGAGACACGGGTTGACGAAGATGTGTTCGTTCTTCGTGATGAACGCCGACATCGACGTGAACTTGTACGCCTTCTGCTGCTCCGGCGTCTTGCCTGCACTCGCACGACACACCGCACACCGCACACACCGCGTGTTAACAATGAGTGTGCGGTGTGTGCGGTGGAAAGAAGGTAGAGGTGGGTACCGACGAGAACGCACACGCCTCCGCCGGCGTCGTTGCGGATGTTGTTGAAGTGGCAGATCTTCTGGCGCTTGATGTAGTCCACGGTGAAGGCGCCCTCGACGGACGAGTACCGCATGAGGAAGTCGCCCTCGCGGCCGGACTCCATCAGCAGCCGCTCTGACGCCTGCCTGCTCTGCTTGCCGTGGAACCACCTTTCATGTATCATCACCATCACCACCAAGTGCCACCATCATGGCACACGCACGCACGTATCGTTAGCGCGTTGCAGGCGCCGCGCTAAAGCAGAGAAGAGAAGAGAGGGAGAGAGACGCACTTCTTTCCGTTCTGGAGCACATCACGAATCTGCAACACCACACACACACACACACACACACACACACGGTTAAACAAATCGCCAAGGAAGTAGCACAGAGAAGCGAAGAGAAGAAGAGAAGAAGCGTTGCCTTGGCAAGGGAGCGCTCGGGAGGGCCGAAGCGGCGGAGGAAGAGATCGAACTGCTTCTTCGACACCAGCGGGAACTCCTCTTCTTCCTCGCCTGTGGATCGCACACATAGCGCAAAGCAACACAACGCAACGCAACACACGCGCAGGTCAGCCCCGCACTCCTTCTTCCTCACGTCATCACGGAAGCGCATGTATGCCTCGGCGGTTGGGAAAAGAGCGAAAGAGAAAGAGAGAAAGAGCGAAAGAAAGAAAGCGGTAGGGCACCGTGGTCGGAGAAGATGACGGAAAGACAGATCTGGTCGACCTCTGTGTGGGTGCCTCCAACGGACGACAGGTACGACGCGCAAAACTTGTGCACCGGGATAGCCTACACCACAAGAAAATCAAATCATTCCATTCCTTCTTTTCCATCTCTTCCGCAATTCGATTCCATTCCATTTGTCCACCGTCATCCCGAACGTAGCGTCTCGTTCGTTCTTTGGCTGGCACGGGAGGGGGGCAGTACCTGGGACTGGGGATCGAGTTTGGCGACGGCGAGGGCGGTGGCCCACACTTTCTCGCGGAAGGGCTCCCAGTTGTTGTCCTCCGTCCCGTTGTTCAGATTTACGACTCCACTCCCGTCCATCTCTCTTTCCCCTCTTCACTGCGCCCCCCCCCCACCAAACAACGAATGCGTGTTCGCGAATTCGGAGAAGAAGAGAATTTGAGAATCAATCTTGGGATGGCTGGCTTTGTCTTTGGATCATCAAAAAGGAGCGTAGCGTACCTTGTCGTTGGATTGGACAAGGCTGGCTGGCAGGAGAAGAGGCACAGGAAGATGAAGGGCCACGCAGGATTCGTGCGCCAAAAGCTGTTCCTGGGTCCCTCTGCGAGGCAGCCGTTGTTGGGCGGCACCAAATTAATTTGCTTCACGCGTTGGTATGGTCACCACCCGGACTCGATCTCGCATCCGAATTCCCGTCATTTTCTGAATTCCTTGTTCAGTTGTGTTTTTTTTTGCTGGTCGAGCGTTTGGAATTGGAGATTAAATCGAGAAGCACAGATGGAACGTAAACTGCCACGAGGAGCCATCGGATCGGGCAGGCCCGGGGGCAGAGGCGGCCCGCGTCGCCCACCAGGCCTCCCCCGAACCGCGGCTGGCGGACCCAGCCGGCCCAGGTCGCAGCAACAGCAGGCCGCAGCCACGCCCAAGAAGCGCACCGGATTTGGTGGTACCTTGCCCCCCTTCCCCCAAGGCAAGGCCCGGCGATCAATCGCCAAAAATCGCCAAAAGATTAGATTGTCAACTTCCGAATTTTAGTTAATCTCGAAATCAGTCTTCCGTTCCGGCGTGATCGAACTAACTCTTCATTTGGGAAACAGTGGAGGTGGGCAAGGCGCCGGAGAGCGAGGCAGAGAAGAAGGCGGCCGGGCTCAAGCTGCTGCCCAAGGCCCAGCGTGTAGTCAAAGTCAATGTCTCGTGGAAGAACCTCACCGCCACCGCCACCGCCGGCGCTGATGGCGCGGCCGCCGGCAATGCCTCCTCCCCTTCCTCCTCCTTCTCTCTTTTCCACAACAACGGTGCGCGCACACATAGCAACCATCATCTTCCCTTTCGCTCTCACGCAAGGTACCCTGTTGATGGTGATGTTGACGATGGTGGCGGCGGCGGCGGCGGTGCAGTGTTTGCCAATCTGCTGGCGGAGCCCTCGGCCGACGCAGCGAACGGTGGCCAGGTGCGTGCACACTTCACACAGCATCGCGATGATCGACAACTTGGGCCGCGCTGCCTTGGACTGGATGTTCAGTCGTGTGTGCCTTTCTTTTGCCTAAACCAACGTGACCGGTTGTGTCGTCGCCTTTGCAGCTGTCAGCCGCCGAGAAGAAGAAGCTGAAGAGGAAGCAAAAGAAACAGCAGCAGCAGAAGGAATCCTCCGGCACCGCGCTTGGCCAGGCACGCCTCTCCTCCGTCTTTATGTGTCACCCGTATTTTACATTGCATTATCGTTATTTATTTATTATTTATTTACTTGGTAATAATGGTTGAAAAGGCTGACGTGAGAGGTGGCGGCTGCGGAGCAGGCGGTCCCTTCGCAGCCGAAGGACTCTGCCGCCAGCGACCCGGCCACGCCAGCCGAGGGCGCCGACGTCGACGCCGGTGCCGACGCAGAAGCCGCCGCGGCGAAGAGAAAGGCCAAGACCGAAGCCGAAGCCCGGAGGAAGCAGCAGGAGAAGGAGGACGAAGAGGCGCGAGAGCGGAGCAGGCGAGAGGCCGAGGCCGAGGCTGCGCGGAAGAAGCAGGCCGCCGCCGCCGCCGCCGAGGAGAAGAAGAAGAAGGAGCGTCAGCAGCAGCAGGAGAAGGAGCGGAAGCGGCGGGAGGCCGAGGCCGAGGCCGCGCTGGCCCGGCAGCGGAAGGCGCAGGAGGCCGAGGCCGAGGCCAAGCGACGGGCGGCGGCCGAGCAGCAGCAGCAGCAGCAGCAGCGGAAGGCGGAGGAGGAGCAGAGGCGCAAGGCCGAGAAGGCCAGGCAGCAGCAGGAGCAGGAGAACATGAAGAAGAAGCAACAGCAGCTTGAGGAGAAGGAGAAGGAGCGAAAGCGAAAGGTCGCCGAGGAGGAAGAGAAAGCGAAGAAGGAGAAGGAGCGTCAGCAGACAACGACGAATGGTCCTGCCGGCGAGAAGCAGGCGGATGACCTGCGCGGTGCGGTCCGAGAGGCCGTGCGAGCGGTGCTCAAGGAGGAGCTGGGCGCACTCGTGGCCCAGGCCGTGCGCGCGGAGCTCGCCAAGCAGCCATCGACGCCTTCGGTCGCGATCGCGCCATCTTCATCGACGTCGGGCGGCGATGTGTCGACGCGCCTGGCCGCCGTCGAGGAGCAGAGCGCGAGGGCCGAGCGCCTGGCCGAGAACCTGCACGCCACCCTCGCCGCCCTGCTCAACCCGGCCCTCCTCGCCATCCCGCCCGAGGAAGCCGAGCAATGAGCATTCTGGATTTTTGATTAAAGAAAAAAGTATTTCGAATTCTTCATAATTGGAACCAAGAATGTAGAGTATGCGGTGGCGGAAAGGGGAGGAGAAGCTTCTGGGGTGGACTTCGCGGCGGAGGCTTCTGGGCGCGGACAACGACTTTAGTCGTCTGCTCATCATCCTCATCCAAAAGAGATTTTTTGATCGACCAAAGAAGAGAGATGGCAACTGACAGCGGCTGGCTCGGCGAATTGAACCCCTACACTTGGGCCGATCTCGGCATTGGTCTCACTATTGGCCTCTCCGTTGCCGGTGCCGCCTGGTACGGCAGCTGCAATTTAATGGAATCGATTAGGCCAGGGGGAGCGATTTGTAAACGTACATTTTCGCTTACCGGCCTTTGATCTCGTATTTGCAGGGGTATCTTCATCACTGGCACCAGCTTGCTGGGTGCTGCCGTCAAGGCTCCCAGGATCCGATCGAAGAATTTGATCAGGTAGACAACCCGCTTCACATTCTCTTTTTTAATAATTTAATTGGTGGAATGAATCGCTCTACTCCTTGCGCCGTACTCTGCCTCAGCACGTATGCGCTAATTTTTGTTCTATTTGCAGTATCATTTTCTGCGAGGCCGTTGCCATCTACGGTATCATTATTGCCATCATCTTCCAGGGCAAGCTTGAGGACTTCGGCGAGACTGCCAAGGACCCCGATTTCCATGCCGCGTTTGCCCTCTTCTGGGGTGGCATGACTGTCGGTTTGGCCAATCTCTTTTGCGGGTACGTGCCGCAACCCCTCCCCTCCTCAATTTACATCCAATCCACTACGTGATTCCTATTCCGATTTTATCTCTAAATCTCTCTCTACTTCATTGTCGTCGTGTAGTGTATGCGTCGGTATCACGGGCAGTTCTTGCGCCTTGGCCGACGCTCAAAACGCCTCGCTGTTCGTGAAGATCCTCATCGTTGAAATCTTCGGCTCTGCCCTCGGTACGCTCCGCCGCCTTACCGCGAGTCTCTCCTTGTGAAGAAGTTGTTGTTGTGTTGGCTAACCCGAGCTTGGTGGTTCGTCGTGTTGTTGTTATCAACAGGACTGTTTGGCGTCATCATCGGCATCGTCATGACGTCCAATGCCAAGTTCGGCTAAGCCCGCTCGCACCCTCTCCCTGTACATGCGACCCTGTTGGCCCTTCACTCCACCTCACCTCCTTCCCCTCCACGTGGTCGGTGGCGCGTTGTCCTCTTCTTCCTCTGCGATCAACAACGACAACCAACAAACAAACAAACAACTTGCCCTTCACCTTCATCATCAAAACGTTACAGACTGTATTCGTTGGACTAACTTGAAAGCTAAGGCGGCAGAGGGAAGAGGGATAGAGTTCTGTTTTACTGGAAGAAGGAGTAGAGGAGCTCATTCTCGCCTCCGTCCATGATCCTCTCGATGTGGATGTGCTCGGGCCTGTTGTACTTGTGCCTGTAGACCACGGCGTAGCCGACGGCCTTGTCGCGCTCGTCGCGCGAGGCCTTCTTGCCGATCCACACGAAGATGTGGAAGCCCAGGTCGGCGATGAACACGTCGTCGGCCTGGAGCAGGGAGCGCTTGAGCGGGTTGCCCCGGCCCACCTCGTTGAACTCCATCTTGCCTGACTCGTCGGACAGCCGGAACAGCACGGGCGCCTGCGCCTCGGGCGCCGACTTAGACAGCGTCTCGGGCTTGCCGCCCAGCAGCTCCCAGAACTTGGCCGCGTCGGAGGTGCCCGCGTCTGTGTCGTGTGCGTTGCGTGCGCACACACGTGTGAGCGACACGAACGCGCGCATGATTGGTGTGTCGTGTGTGTGAACGTACTGGAGATGACCAGGTTGCTGACGCTCGAGCCACGCTCGTCGTCCATGGCGCGGGTGAGAGCCGCGGCGGCCTGCTTCTGCCACATGTTGGGGCTGTCCGCGTAAAGAAAGAGAAAAGCGTCAGCGATGGGGTGCGATTGCAAGCGCTACGATGACAAGTTGGAGGGCGAACCTGGCGCCGAGCCAGGTGTAGACGGTCTTGTTGTTGTCGAGGATGAAGACGTCGGTGTCGTTGACGCTCGCGCCGGTGGTGGCCACCTAATAGTTTGGCGTCTGGTGGTGAGCGTGTGTGTGGGTGTGTGTGTGTGTGTGTGTGTGAGAGCTGTTGCGCGTACGTGGGTGAAGGTGATGTCGGTCTTCTTCTTGCCCTGCAGGTGAATCAGCCGCGGGTAGGTGTTCTCCACGGTCACGTCTGTATCGGTCGGCACCGCGCCACGTCAGCTATCCGAGTGCACACGCACACACGACACACGACGCGCGGAACAGAACGCAGGGCGTCGCGACGTACTCTTGCCCACCTCGGGCTCGGGCTCGGCAGCGGGCGCGGGCGCATCCTTGGGCTTCTCCTCCGCCTCGGACTCAGACTCGGACGACGACGAATCATCAGAAGACGACGACTCATCCGACGACGACGAGTCCGACTCCTTCTCGGCTTCCTTCTTGGCGGCGGCGGCGGCGGCGGCCTCCTCCTCGGCCTTCTTGGCAGCAGCGGCAGCGGCGGCTTCCTCTTCGGCCTTCTTGGCAGCAGCGGCGGCGGCGGCCTCGTCATCGGCCTTCTTCTTGGCGGCAGCGGCGGCCTCGGCCTCTTCGTCGGCCTTCTTCTTGGCAGCGGCGGCAGCGTCCTCATCTTCGCCCTCGGACGACGAGCTCTCGTCATCGGAAGACGACGACTCATCGTCGGACGACGAGCTCTCGTCGTCGGCCTTCTTCACCGGCTCGGGCTTGGGCTCCTCCTTCTTCTCCACGGCCGCCGCCTTGGGGGTCTCGACCTTCTTGGCATCTGCGCCAATCGCCCGCACCGTCAGCACCGGAACATTATTTTCGGTCCAAAAAAACCAAGCAAAAAAGTGCAATATAAATTAAATTACGAAAACCAGGTGTAGAGACACGCACCCTTGGCGGCGTCGTTGAGGTAGCGGACCCACTGCTTCTTCTTGTTCTTGTGCTCGGAGCGGAAGACGTACTTCCTCTGGTCGTTGGCGGTGAACACGAAGACGTGCTACACACCACCACACGTCGTACACGCGACCAACAAATTGGCGGGAAAGTGAGGCCTCGGAGAGCACATGCGATAAAAAAGGGAGAGCCAGCAAAGAGCAGCGACAAAGCCCCGCCGCTACACGAAGAGATGGATGGGCGGGCAAAAAGATGAAAGAAAAGGGGAACCTTCTGGCGCTTGTGGCGGCCGTTCTCGCACGAACCCTTGGAGACGTCGATCTTCTTCCACTCCTTGGACTGGTCCTGCAGGCCCAACAGGAAACGAAAGTTCGAGCGAACGTTAGCATTTTTGCTAAACACGATTTTTAGATTTTGATCGAAAGAATTGATGATAACGACATCACGAAAAAGACCGGAAGCGGAGAGGAAGAGGGAAAACGAACCTTCTTCTGCTTGTAGATGTAGAGGGCACGCTCCTCGATTTTGAGCACGAAGTAGACGCGGGTCCACTGGGCCTTGCCGTAGACCTCCTCTTCGTTATGCCACCTGAAGTGTCCCTTGTGCGTCGCCATCTTGCCGAGTGTATGCGCTTCTCTCCTACGCGGGTCAAAATCAAATAAAACACTTCGTCCCGGTGGAGCAACCACAAAGCCAATTAATTCAGAAGTCCAGAAAAAACAGGGAATTAATTTGCTATTTTTATTCAAAAAAAGAGAACAAAATGACGTCATACCACGTCAGCTTGTGGGTACTTGCGCGCTCTTGAGAAAGGCGGAAGAGGAAGAGGTGGCGAGCGTGGGCGGAGCGGTGGAAGACGGCGGGGCCTCGACGATGTCGTCCGGGCGTGGCCGGACGCGGCGGAGGTAGGCGAGCAGGCCCGCCTTGTTGAAGTCCTTTCGCACGAACAGCCGTCGAGTGCTGGGATCGTATCGGAACTGCTCCTCTGGCTCATCCAGTTCCTCCTCTGTCGTTGTTCCGTCGACCTTGAGACCACCGTCTTCTTGCTCCTCTTCTCTTTCGTCTTCGTCTTCTTGTGGTTGGGGCGCGGAGATGAGGTCGGTGAGAACGAGGGTGGCGTGGGTGAGGTTGTGCGAGGCCATGTGGCCCGCGATGTCCGTCAGCCGCTGGAGGCAGCCGATGGCCGCTCGCTTGGAGCCCCACACCGACACATCTGTTTATAACAATCAACACCAGCACGTGCGCCGACGTCAGCATCGCTCACGAGCGAGAAACACGCACGCACACGTACATACACACGCACACGCACATCACACACAGTACAAGGCATAGGCGAGCAAGCAGACCTTGGAGGCCGAGGCGCTCCTGTAGGCGGTGGGAGAGGTCGGCGATGAGGTGCACGTCGGCACGGATGTGCTCCCGTTCCCGCTTGATGTCCGCCAGGTGCTTGTTGAGATACTCCACCAACCTGCGCGCGGCAAGCGAGCGAATGTAGGTCAGTCTTCGTAATTTAGGACGAGCCAGCAACTTGTGGTGTGTGTGTATGTGCCCAAGGGGCATACCTGGGCACTGTGAAGTTATAGGGGATCACCACGATGCCCTCAGCCCGCCGCGAGTACTGCTTCCCTGTAGTACAGCGGTGTTGAGTAGAGTTGGAGGGGAGAAAGGGAAAAAGAAGAATTGGTGGCGCTTCCCCGCCAAGACGAGAAGTTACCAATGAGGAGGGGCAAGTGTGCCCAATCTGCGTAGCCCAACCGCTCGAGGTTCATCGTGAGGCTCTCCACCGCACGCATTTTCTTTGGTGTCGTCCGTGTGTGCGTGTACGTATGTGCGTGTTCGCCGGGTGTTAGTGCACGTCACGTAAATGGCAAAACGGGGAGAGGGATGTGCACTTGAGAGTGGGTGAGCTTGTCGAAGAAGATCATGTCGGGATCGAGCATGGCGGCAAGTTCCTCCTGGTACGACATCTTTACCTCGGCAGGAGCGAACCTGACAGCAACCCACCACCACCACCACCACCACCGTGTCAAGCCGACGTGAGGAAGAGGTTCATCACCAGCAATGAGCGCGCTTCAATCATGTATCATTGGGGGCGGGGCGGTTACCGGATGGCTTCGATGGCCTTCTGGCGCAGGGCGTCCTCGTTCCAGTTCGTCCTGATCCACCCGTCCTGCGTCTTCAGCTCCTGCACCCGTTTAGAGGCACACACGACACACACGACACACACGACACACACGACACACACGACACACACGACAATTCTCAATCAGTGTCTCTGGAGCCGATGCGGCAGCAGCGGTTGGGTGTGTGGGCAGGCTCGCGTACGGGAGTCGGGGAGGCCGCGAACGGCTGGATGAGCCCGGCGAGCGAGAAGAGCTGCAGCATGCACTCCTCCGCCGCGCGCCGCAGCCGCACCGCGTTGCGTCGCACTTCGGGCGCCGGATGGAACGCGTAGCGCACCTCGCGCAGCTCCTCCTCGCCGCCGCCGCTACTGCTGCCCTCGGCCGTCGTCGTCGACGCCCGCGGTGGGACATCGGCCACGTCATCAGAGTCGGCTTCGACGTGGGCCGGGCGCAAGTAGAAGTGGAAGGTGAAGAGCGGGTGGGCATCGTCGACGGCCGGCAGCGAGGTGGTGGTGGTGGAAGTAGATGAGGGGGTGTGCCCAGCGAGGGCGACGAGGGACTGGAAGGCCTGGAGGGAGCGCTGGTTGACGGCACGGGCGTGAGCGTGCTGGGGCGCCTGGAAGAGATCTGGATGGACGCGTAGCAGGAGCTGACGACGCCACGATCGCACCTCCTCGGTCTTGCGTCCTCCACTACGCGGCCCCCGTTTGCTTCGCTGCCCTCTGCTACGCTGCTGCTGCTCGCTGTCGTAATCTCCGTGTCGTTGCTGATGCATGATGGGCTCGTCGCTGGCTGGCCCCGCCCCGCCCTCTTGGCCATAATCGCGGGAGGATGAGGATGAGGATGAAGATGCAGATGAAGATGAAGATGCCGAGTAGAGACGGAAGGGAGGAAAATGGAATGCAGAAGGGGGTCGGCAGGGCAGCACCAAGGAAGAGTGGGCGCCGCTACTCCGTGGCGCCATCAAGGCTCGCCACCAACCTGGGCCACTGCGGCAACTTGGCCTCATCACGTTTCTTCGGAATAAATATATAAAAAAGCAGAGCTGTTGAGGTTATTATTTATCTATTTACAAAAAATGAGGGGAGGGGCTGTTATTGATGGGGACGAAGCTCATCAGACGCCAGGCAGGGCAGCGAAGGACTTGAGGACTTCCTGAGGGTTCCAGTACTCGCGCAAGAAGACGATCTTGCCCCTCCGTGCCGTCATGAGGGCGATGTACTTCTGGTTGTAGGGCCGACCCGTGTTCTTCACCACCGCGGCGATCTCGAACTCGGCCACGACCCTCTCCTCTGCTTCCTCTCCACCAGTTTCTTCTTTCCCGAGTTTGGGGGTCGCCAGCGGCTGAATGCTGATGTTGCCAAAGACCGGGTCGCTCAGCTGGGCAAAGACGCCCTGGACGTGGTTGAAGATGGCCTCGACGCCCTCGTAGCGCGCTGGCGCGCCGATGGTCGGGGCGTAGGGGAACTCCATGACGGCGTCGTCGGCGTAGAGCTGGCGCCACCGCTCGGGCTCGCCAGCCAAGAGGGCCAGATGGGCGGAAAACAGTTGTGTCGCACTCTGCATGGGTTGAGTAGTGTTGAAGATGGCTGAATGTGGAGTACATTTACCGTGGGTTTAGTGTTTATGTGTTGGGCTGCTCGCCGATTGGCGGGAACCAAAAGATTTTTTCTATCGATAGAAGCTGGCGGCGATTGGAAGTTGCTAGAAGCTCGCCAAGCGCCGAGACAACCACACGTTGTCCCGGGACTCGAGTCCATTGGTAAAGAGAGGAGTCATGCTAGATTGTACAGGTCGGGGGGGAGGGGGAATGACACCACGGTTGTGCCATCATCACCAGTTGATGAGATCAAAGGCCGGGGCGGAGGGCGTGGGCTCGGCGGGCTTGGGCGGCAAGCCGGAGGTGATAGTGGACCGCCGCTGGTCCGAGAGGCCGGGCGAGGGGAGGGCCGGCATGTCGAAGCTGCCGGTGGGCGACTGGGGGAAGGCGCTGAAGGACGGCGACACGGGGCCGGGCGGCAGGGCCACGCGGCCGACGCCCGGCGAGGAGACCGTCGCTGATGACCTGTTGCGCGGCGGAGGCGGCAGAACGATCAGCGGCGCGTCGAAGCTGATGACATCATCCGCCCCGTGCGGCGATGTCGAAGATGACGTGGCAAGGTTGGGGGAGTCGGTCTTGCTGATGCGTGGCGAGAAGTGGACGGGCGGCATCTTCTTCTTGGTGGCGGTGGCGTTGGGGCCGTTGCGCAGGGAACTGCGACCGACCGAGGGCGAGGCGGTTGTGTGGGTCGGCTGGTGGTAGTGGTGGTCGCCGCTGGTGGGGCGGTTCTGGTGCGCCTGCGGTACGGCGGGCGAGCCTCCGGGGCTCGGTAGTGGCGGCGCGATCGTGTCCTCTTCCTGAGCCATATGATTGCGGAGCTCCTTCTGCACATACACCACCAAGAAGGTCAACATCCGCACATGATCGGCGCACCACACACACACACACACGCGCGACACACACGCGACACACACGGATCTGCGTACCTCCTTCTGTGATCGCGCGAGCTTCTCGCCCTTGCGGCAGAGGTAGTAGCAGAAGCAGTCCCAGATGGCCCGGTACTGCGGCGACCTGAACGCCACTTGGTACTGTCGGCAGAGATGACACGACGGTGGTGAGTGAGTTGGCCGAAGCAGGCGGCAATCGTGATTGTAACGTCAAGAAGGTACCTTGTCATCGGTGTTGAACTCGTGGTACTGGATTAGGAGCTCGCCGGTGGTGTCGTCGACGGCGTACCACTCGATCTTGGTGAGGCCGTAGTTGATGGTGACATTCTTACTCTGGGCATCGACGCGCTCCGTCTTGAGCCCGCCCTCGCTCAATGTGAGCTTCACCACGTTGCTGCCCACGCCCACTTCCTGCACGCGCCCACAGATGACAAAATCGAGTCAGCCCACACGCCACCACTCTTGAACACATTTACAAACCATTCAAATAAGAAGGGGGGATCGCGTACGAGAACGTTGTGAAACGTGGTGCTGTCTGTTTGGTGGCGAAGTAGGGAACACAATCACGACACAACCATATTCAATGAGTTTCACCTTGAAGTGCGCGAGTAGCGGAAGATGAAGAAAGAAGAAGAATTGGGGGGGGGCTTAGGGTCGGGCGAGGTGTCCGTACTTCCGGTGGGGTGGAATTGTGGCTGCTGTACCGCCGACGCCTCGCCTCGCGAGAAAACGGACATCAGCATCGATGAGAACGAGCTCTGCTGCCTTCCTCCTCCTGCAACGTTGTAGGCGTGCCCTGTGAGACCGTCACCATCCCTGCGAGAATCGGTAAGATAGAGTACCTTCTCTGTTCAGGTGGGCGAGCATGATGATGTATGTGGTGGTTGTGGTGGTCTGCCTGCTGCTTACAGCTCTTTGTGTTTATCAGAGAGGCCTTCACTCGCGCTCCGGACCATCTCCGTCGCTCCGGTCTCTCAGGCCACTTCTCGTCCACCGACCGTTCTGCAGAAGTGACCCGCTCTCGTGGAGCTCCTCTTCGGTTGCCAGCGAGCGGTGGGCGTTCGCTCCATTTCCACTCCGCCTTGTTCGAGAGTGATCTGCTGGACCACCACCGCAAAATTCCACAGTCGACAATTAACAATGGAACAAAAAGGCGGGAAGGGGAAAGGAAATTGAGAAATTTGTGGGAAATCCTTTTTCATTGAGTCGTGGCTGCAACGTTCGAGAAGATTCACGAAGGAAGGGCGAGGTCTTTGTGGCCACGAGTCTGCAAATTGCAGCATTCAATCCAAAAAACTAAAACACGCTAACGCAGACGCATCTCTGCATCGACACCTCATCGCCGCCCTACAACATCAAGTAGGTGCATAGGCAAGATTTGCTCCGCGAGAGGAATTTAGAGCACAACATCAACATGTTCGGACAAAGCACATTCGGTGGTGGAGGTACGTCTTTGCACAATCTTTGTTCTTCTCTTAGTCGTTTGTTGCGGAGATTCAGACCGAACCATTCGGTCATTCTGATTTTTAATTCTCATTTTTTCATCTTACTTCTCATATTTCATTTCATTTCATTTCGCAGGTTCCCTCTTTGGCGCATCTACCACCCCCGCCTTTGGTGGGTCGACATTTGGTGCTCCAGCAGCCAGTACGGCGCCCACATCCACTTTTACTTTCGGCGCACCGACCACCAGCACTTCCACCTCTGCGGTGCCGAGCTTCGGGGGTAGCCACTCGCATCTTAGTCTCACCTCTTTCTTTTTTTCTTCTTTTTAGTATTACTATTTTGCACATTCTCTTTTTATCGCACATTACTGACTAACCGCCTCTCTTCTTCCCCTTCATCTTCTCAGCCACGCCCGCATTCGGAGCTGCCACCTCGACGCCCTCCCTGTTCGGTGCTCCCGCGGCCACCACGACGCCCTCCTTCGGAGGCGGCGGCTCCCTCTTCGGCGCCCCCGCCGCCTCCACCAGCACCTCGAGCCTCTTCGGCGCCCCCGCCGCCCAGCCCGCCGCCTCCACCGCCGGCGCCTTCCCCTTCTCGTTCTCTGGCGGTGCTGCGGCTCCGGCGGCGGCTCCCGCTACCGGCTCGGCCTTCTCGTTCGGCGGCACGTCGGCGACCCCGGCCTTTGGCGCCGCCCCGACCAGCAGCGCATTCGGCGCGGCGCCCGCGGCCGGCACGAGCGCCTTTGGCGGCGGCGGCGGCGGCATGTTTGGCGGTGGCGCGCCTGCGGCGGGTGGCGTGCAGGGCACCACCATCGCACCCTACACGCCCACCACCGAGAAGGACACCACCTCCAACACCATGGTCACCATCCACAACATCTCCGCCATGCCCCAGGTACCACCTCCTCATCCCCAACTGTTCCCATGGCAACGACAACATCAACAACAACGGCGAATACTCACCGCACGCACACGCACAACCGCACACGCACATGCACACGACACACGACAGTACAAAGACAAGTCCTTTGAGGAGCTCCGATGGGAAGACTACCAGCTGGGCCGCAAGGGCCAGGGCATGGGCCAGGCGGCGGCCGGCGGAATGTTCGGCAGCGCCGCGCCCGCAGCGGGCACGGGCCTCTTTGGCGCACCGGCCAGCGGCAGCGCGTTCTCGACCACCTCGGCGCCCTCCACGGGCTCGAGCCTCTTTGGCGCCCCCGCAGCGTCGACCGGTACGACCTCTCTCGATCACTCCATTAATGGCTTTTGTTGCACCATGGATTGCTCACCAACCGCCCCTCCCCCCCGCCCTCTCCGATCTGCAGGTTCGCTCTTTGGCGGCGGTGCCGCGACGGGTTCTTCGCTCTTTGGCGCCTCGATGCCGGCCACGGGCACCACCAGCCTCTTCGGCGCGCCCGCGGCCTCCGCCGGCACCACCAGCCTCTTCGGCGCCACCACCTCGGCGCCCACCGCCACGTCAAGCCTGTTCGGCGGCGGCGCCACCTCCGCCTTCGGCGCGCCCACGGGCGGCGCCGCTACATCGAGCCTCTTCCCCTCGTTCACGGGCGCCACCGCGGCCGCCCCGGCTTCGAGCGCGTTCAGCTTCGGCGGCGCCACCACGCCCGCGGCCGCCCCGTCGACCGGCGGCGGCCTGTTCGGCTCCACGGCGCCCTCGACTTCGCTCTTTGGCACCTCCACCTCGACCGACACCTCGTCTTCGCTCTTTGGCGGCGGCACCTCGTCCCTGTTCGGCGGCGCTGGCACCGGCGCCGCGACCGCTTCGACTTCGCTCTTTGGCGCCCCGGCCGCCTCGACCGGCTCTTCGCTCTTTGGCGCCACCATGCCCTCCACCGGCGGCGGCCTCTTTGGCGCCCCGGCCGCCTCGACCGGCACCAGCGGCGGCCTCTTTGGCGGCTCTTCGCTCTTTGGCGGCTCCACTCCGTCGACGCCCTCGGCCACCACCAGCAGCAGCTTCCCCTCTCTCGGCGGCTTCGGCGCCGGCACCACCTCGGCCTTTGGCGCCCCGGCCGCCTCGACCGGCTCTTCTTCGCTCTTTGGCGGCGCCACGACCGGCGGCACTGGGGGCCTCTTCCCCGGCTTCGGCAGCACCACGCCGTCGTCCGGCCTGGGCGGCCTCATGGGCGGCGCCGGCGTGCCCGGGGCGGGCACCCTGGTGGCCACCATCGACTCGCCGCGGCCCTACGGCTCCCTCCCGCCGCTACCGCCGCTCACCGACTCGGACGCCGCGCTCGCCTCGGCCGCGCAGACCCGGGCCGCGCTGGCCAAGCCCAAGCACTACAAGCTCACCGCGCGCTCGCCCGCGGCCGGCCGGTCGCTGGGCTACTACCAGAACCTGGGCGGTGGCGCCGCCGCCTCGAAGCGGGTCTCGTTCATGGGCGAGATCGAGCGCAAGGACCTGACCGCGAGCCCACTGGGCACCTCGGCCTCGACCCCCGACGCCTTCACCCGCCGCAAGCTCATCCTCGAGACCGACGAGAACGTCGCCATGCCCGAGATCTCCGAGTTCCGCGTGACCGGCGGCACCCCGCTCGTCGACCGCCGCGCCATGGCCGACCTCCCGCCGCAGGCCACCCCCTACGCCCCCTCCGCCGCCCCCGAGCAGGCCGCCGGCGTCGTCGAGCGCGAGCGCGTGGCGCCCACCATTCAAATTCAGCCGGCGACCCCGTCGTCGCCCGTCGTCGGCCTCTACCCGACCCTGCCGGCCCGCGAGATCCAGCAGTCGCCGCAGTCGCAATCGCAGGCGCAGCAGGCCGCCGGCGACACGCCGCTGCCGGCGCGCACCCTCCGCAAGCCGGTGGCCGAGCGGCCGATCGTGAACTACGACCAGTTCTCGCGGCACGTGCGCGACCAGGACCGCAAGCGGGCGCCGGTCGACGAAGAGGTCGAGCGGCTGCTGCCGCGCCTCGCCGCGCCCGGCTACTGGATGGAGCCCGGCCTCGACGAGCTGCGCCACATGACCAAGGCCGAGCTGGGCCGCGTCGAGGGCCTCGTCGTGGGCCGCGAGGGCTACGGCCAGATCGAGTTTCTCGAACCGGTCGACGTGCGCGGGGTGGACCTCAACCAGCTGATCGTGATCGATCGGCACCTGATCACGGTCTTCCCCGACGACGCGACGAAGCCGCCGCGCGGGCAGGGCCTGAACGTGCGGGCGCGGCTGACGATTGAGGAGGCCTGGCCCGAGCACCGGGACGCCGAGAGCCTCGAGGAGTACGAGGCCTTCCTCCGCAAGCGCGGCAGCCGACGGAAGCAGCGCTTCGTCGCCTACGACCGACAACGCGGCGCCTGGACCTTCGACGTGCCCGGCTTCTAATCAGCAGACTATATGTCTTCTTGCATGCCACCCACTGCAAAATAACAAACAATAAATAAACAACTCTAACATGTTACACTACGAAATGGAACTTTCATTTTATTTCATCTGCCTAGGATTGACAAAAGTGGTCATTGTTGTGGTCCTCCTCGATTGTCACGCCGCCCGCCACTCCTTCACCATCACCACAGGCTGCTGCTGGCGCTGCGGCTGCGCCTTGGCCTCGAATGCGCGCACGGCCTGGTGGTAGGGCACCAGTGCCGGTTGCTGTTGGGGTGCCGGAGGCGCCAGGTGGGCGGCGGTTGGTGGTGGTGGCTGGAGGGAAGAGAGAATGGGCGCGATCATGGGCTGACGCGTCAAGCCTGAGGCTGACGACAAAGACGAAGACGACGAAGAAGAAGATGATGAAGTGAAAGATAAAGAAGAGGAAGAAGAGGAGTCCGGCGGGGTGAGGGGAGGAGAGGAGGAGATGGGCGACGAAGATGAGGAAGACGACGATGATGCGGTGAATGGCAAAGAAGTGGAGGTGGGGTGGCCTTGAGTTGTGGGTGGGGCGGCGGGCAAGCGCGATGATGAAGGGGAGCGTCGATGGAGGTGCGTGAGCAGGTGGAGGTGGTGGTGATGACCCGTCACACCGCCTGCCTTGGCCAACTTGCTGCGCTGGTTTTGGAACCACACCTGTTTTTTTGGTTATTGTCAGCTGATGATCAGAAATATATGAATCCCACACATCCCGGGCGACGCACCTGGACTTGCCGGGGGCTCATGCGCAACTGCTGGGCGATGGCGAGCCGCTGCTCCTTGCTCGGGTACAGGTTGCCGTCCTCTGCGTTCATGTTATGGTCAATTCAACTTCCTCTGTAATATTTGCTACTTTTTATCAATAAAAAACAAGTGACATGTGAATATACCTTCGAAGATGCGTAGGAGGGCGGCCTTTTCGGCAGACGAGGTCTTGCGTCGGGCCTTCATCGGTTTCCTCCTCATGTCCGATGCAGACGCGGGTGACGCGGCTGATGCGGCAGCAGACTGCCTTGGGGCGGGTGGTGGGGGAGGGAGATCGGGGAGGGCAGGACGTGCGATCAGAAAGGAGGGAACTCTGCAGCTCGCGCTGCCGCCTTCTTCTTCTTCTGCCGCCTCTCCTACACCCGACCAGGCCGCCTCCGTTCGTACTCCGGCAGCCTTGGCCTTGTCCTCCCCCGCTACATCGCCCAGATCACGGGTGGCCCTGGGTTCACCTAGGCCCGACAGGATCTGCACCACCTGGCTACTCCTGCCCGATTCCGACACCCTAGAAAGGAAATACCTGGTCCGTCACCTATGCAACAAACCAGGAACCAGGTTTTTTTTGGTGGGTGCGTACCGTTGATCGTCCTGGGAGCGAGAGCAGGTGGGAGTGTGGGAGTGGTAGTGGTTGAGGAAGACGGGCTGTGGGGTGCGCCAGGACCACCAGGGCAGGGCAGGCGAGTACTGTGGACTGGGTGTAGTTGATGACGGTTGGCCAGCAGTGGGCAACGGAACGCCCAGCTGTGGTGAGGAGGAAGACGATGGCCACGGGTGGTGGTGTTGCATTATCAAGAAGCTGGCTGGTGTGGATGAGTGGGTTTGAATATTTGAATGCTGGGGAGGCTTGATCAGTTAATTGTAATGAGCGGCCGGGTGAAGGCAGATTGGCGGCGAGAACGCGAATGGTTGTCCTGCGCTGGGACCAACTTGTGTTGAACATTGGCCGAAACCACCTCCTTTTCAGCCCACCAATCCTGAGAGAGCCTCTATTTATTCCGCAGATAATCAAAAGAAAAGAATTTTCGTCATTTTCACTTATCTATTTCTTTATTGACGGCCAGGCCGTGGGAGAGGGCGGGGCTAACAGGGGCGGGCGTGGTGCCCTTCGCCGTGATGGAGAGGGAGCCGGGCGACGAGGCCAGCGTTCCGCAGCCCGTGCAGGTTTTGTTCCACATAAAGGAGGAGTCCGGCGACAACCAGGCCGGCTACCTGCTCGACTTTGGCGGCGGCCTGGCCGCGGGCGAGGGCCACGACTCGGCCCTGACCGTGGCCGCCCGCGAGATGAGCGAAGCGACGGCGGGCGCGTTCAGTCTCAGCCCCGACGAGCTGGCCCGGCAGCCCACCGCCGCCAGCCTCCGGGCCGCCCAACGATGAACGAGGAGGCCCACGACATTAACGCCGACCAGGTCGATCTCTGGGCCGAAGCTGAAGAGCCCACCACGACCTCAAGCCCCATCGTGGCCTCGAGTAGGGCCATATAGACCAGCACCATGACTGCCCTGGCCACCTGGCGCCTGCAGCGGCGCCTTCTCAAGGGGCTCATCGAGTACGACGACGGCGCGCGTGTAGCGGCTCGTGTAGAAGAAGGCGATGATAAGGAAGAAGAAAATGACAAGGTGTGGCACGGGAGCACGGGCGAGGGCGGCTACGAGGTGTTCTTCGTGCGAGTGCCCTACGTGAGCGCCGAGGAGCTCAACCAGCTCTTCGCCGGGTCGGACCGCCGCTGTCGCTTCCAGTGGGAGTGGCTCGACAGCCTCATGGAGGACCACCCTAATCTGACGCTGCCCCTCCACCCCCGACTCGAGGCCATCCACGACCTGCCCGCCATCTGGTCCGCCATCGCCGACAAATACCAGCTCGATTGAAACAACATATCAACATAACACCATATGTTCTTTACAACACGTTCTTCACATATTCTGTTGCTGCAGCAACTCCTGAACAGCTTCCTCCAGGACCGTCTCGTGGGGCTCCAACCCCTCCCAGTCGCTGGTGACCCGCCGCTGGCCCGCCACCATGTCCTTGTCCAGGGCGATCTCGAGCGTGGTGCGCAGCACACGCGCCTTCAGCCCGCCCTCCAGCACCTGCCGCAGCTGGGCCGCGGCCTTGCCCCCGCCGCGCGAGCCGTAGGTGACCAGCAGGACCGGTTTGGCCCGCCACTCGTGGTAGAGCCAGTCGATCGCGTTCTTGAGCACGGCCGGGTAGCCCCAGTTGAACTGCGGCGTGACGATGACCACGACGTCCAACGAGGCCAGCCGGCGGCTCCATTGGCGCACCGCGTCGTGGGCGTAGGCGTCGGGTGTCGTGATTTGCGCCGGGAGGGTGTCGCCATCGAAGAAGGGGAGGGCGAGGGCACCGAGGTCGATGGTGGTCACGACGGGCGCAGTTGTGGAGGTGGAGGAGGTGGTGGGCGATGAAGAGGAGGAGAGGATGCGGCGTAGGCAGGGTTGTAGCCAGGAGGCGATGCCAGCTCCGTTGCCGCTGGGGCGAACGCTGCCGGTGAGGATGCCCACCGTCATGGTGGTGGTGGTGGTGGTGCTGGATGACATTGGGGTGAGCGCGTGTTGCTTCTTCTCTTCCCCTTCGTTATCACTTGTGCGGGCGGACAAATCCAAGAAAAAAAAAACACTCGCATAAAATGCAATGATCCGCTTGGACAAAATGATGCGAAAGTGCCGGCGTGTCGACCAACATATTATCTTGCTTCGACATCTACACTTTCTCTCCGATGTGGGTGTGGGCGTGTGTTACCAGGCTGTCCTTCCTCCTGGGGTCGACGGGCTGGAGCTGTAGCTGGGCCACCATGCGCGGTTCGCTGTTACTGTCATGATCGGCCTCGTCCTGCTTCTTGTTGCTCTTCTTGCTGCCGCTCTTCTTTCTGCTCTTCTTGGCATTCTTCCTCTCCTCCTTCTCCTCTGCCGTCAGGCTCCACTGCCCCACCAGTGCGTAGCGCCACGCGTCCATGCGATTTCGGGGCGACGGAAGCTCGCCCTGGCGCGGCGACGTGGGGTCGCCCTGGTGCTGACGTGGCGACTTGATCTCGGCCTGGCGCGGCGACGTCGGTTCGCCCTGGCGCTGGCGCGGCGACTTGACGTGGCGCGGCGACTTGAGCTCGCCCTGGTGCGACAAGTGAAGGTCGCCCTGGCGCGGCGACTTGAGCTCGAGCGGCGGCGTAGGACTGGGAGGCTGGTGGTGGGGCCGGCGGCTCCACTGGGTGGGCGAGTTGACGGCTCCCTCCTCCTCCTCCTTCCTCTTGATGACCGAGTTGGTGAAGACGTGGGGTTCCCACTGCTGGTTGGGCGCCGTGGAGGCCCGCTCGTCGCGCGCCCCACGCCGCGGCGTCTTCGGTTTCTTCTCCTTCTTCTCTTTCTTCTCTTTCTTCTCTTTCTTCTGCTTCTTATGCTTCTTCACCTCTCCCCCTTCCGCCGTCTTGGTCGGGGCTTCGACGTCGATCTCGGGTCCTCGCTCGTCCTCCTGCTCCTTCTCTGTTCGCTCGTCTTCGACGATTTCCGGCCCGCGCTCGTCCTCGATGATTTCCGGGCCTCGCTCGTCTTCGACGATATCTGAACCTCGTTCGTCGTCGAAGCAGATTTCTGGCCCGCGCTCGTCTTCGATGATTTCCGGGCCTCGTTCGTCTTCTATGACTTCCGGCCCGCGCTCGTCATCGTCACCAACATTGCCTTGTTGTCGGCCCAGCGTCGATCTCTGGCGTGGCTCGGCCAGCTCTCGGTCGCGGTCGCGCAGGGCCCGCCTGCGAGTGCTCTCCGGCGACGGCTTACAGAGCGCGAAGCTGCGCTCTCGTCGGTCGCGGTTCTCCAGCGCCAGCGGCGAAGTCTCGGCGCGGTCCTTGTTGACGAGCGCCTGGCCGCCGGCCAGTTCGGCGGCCTTCTTGGCGGCGACCAGCTGTGACCGCACGCTCTTCAGGTCCACCAGAGCCTATACATGTCGACACGTGTGGTTAACACAGGAATCTACATCTAAAAGGGAATAGGGTGGTGAACCTGCTTGAAAGAGGGCCTGTCCTTGGGTGAATACTGAATGCACTTCTTGGTGAGCTCCTTGAGCAATGGCGGGCCTGACCACATCAATAATCACGTTGCCATGGAGCAAGGTGGGTTGGCCAATTTATACAAAAATTGTTATAGTATGCCCATTTCCGACATTGAGAAGGGTTGCGTACAGTCAAGAGGGAAAAAGGCCTCGATGTCGTCTGGCCGGAAGTCGAAGCACGTGGCGGGACCGCGCATCGGCGGAGACTTTCGGGCGATCATCTCCACCAGCACCACCCCGAACCTGAATACCCCACCACACACACACACACACACACCAACGTACGCCACCTCTCAGTGAATCGGAGGAATCGGAGGGTGGTGTGCCGACTCTCATCGGGTATGGCTACGTACCCGAACACGTCGCACTTGTCGCCGTAGTCCTCTCCCAAAATGACTGGCTCGGGTTTGGGTGTTTGGGTGTTTGGGTTTGGGTGTGGAGTGAGTGGGAGAGGCAGAAACTGCGGCCAGGGGGAGAGCGCCAACCTTCGGGGGCCATGTACTGCTCGGTGCCGGCCAGGGTCATCAGTCGCCCTTTGGACTTGAAGCGCGCAAAGCCAAAATCGCCTGCCAACGTTACCGCCCGTCAGATAAAAAATAAATCACAATAGCACAGAGCGCAATACGTACACAACTTGACTCGTTCATTCTCTGCAATCAGCAGATTCTCCGATTTGAGATCCCTGTGTTGTGTGTTGTGTGCGTGTGTGCGTGTGTGTGTGTGTGTGTGTGTGTTGTGTGCGCCGTGTATCGTGCGGGTTTGAGAAAACATGTTGGGGGAAGGTGCGATGCGGAGGAGCATGCCTGTGAATAAAGTTCTTCTGGTGCAGAAAGGCCATGGAAGCGGCGATGTCAATCGCCATGTTGACGCGTGTCGCCCACGAGATGGTGTTGTGTTTGTTCTTGAAATAGCTCTACCCCATTGGCCGTTAGTTGTCATTCCATGGAAATGTGTGGATGTGTGTTGGTGTGTGCTCTGTGCGTGTGTGTGGTGCGGTGTGGTGCGTCTGGGTGGTAGGTACGTGGAGATTGCCGTGGGGCACCCACTCGGTAACGATGTAGATGATTTCTTTGTCCTTGTTTCGCGGCGAAGCGCCCATGCGCTTGCTGATCCCGATGAAGTTGACGATGTTGGGATGGCGCACCTCCCTGCGACAACAATGAAATGCAATGAATAAGCAAGTTCGTGAGGAAAAAATAAATGCGCTTATTATGAACGTGAAAAATAATGAGAAAGAGAAATTGAGCGTGGGCGAAGTTCGCACTTGAGGATGGAAATCTCCCTGGCGATGTACTTCTGCATCATCTCCTGCTCTTCGCCCTCGAACACGCACTGCTTGATCGCCACACACGTGCCCTGCTCACAATAACGATTACAACGACGACGAATGGAGATGACGGCGAGAGAAGAAGAGGGGTTGAAAAACATGATGTTGGGTTGATTGAGATTTGGGGGGGGGGATGGCTGACGTACGAGATATTCGCCCTTGTAGACATGGCCGTACTGGCCTCGCCCGATCTTCTTCCCGAACTCGAGGTCCCCGTACTCGATCAAGAACTCCTCGTGGGAGGGCAGCCCATCGTCTTTCACCTCCATTCTTGAGCCCCCTTCCTCGAGATGTTCTTCCTTGGTTGTGTCGACCGTGTTGGTCGTGACGACCGTGTGTGACCGTGTGTGCGGCCAAGCGACAGACATTCTAATTTACCTAATATGAGAATTACCTTTTACGGTAAAATGAAATGAAAAACAACAAAAACGAACGGGCAACCAAACGAACGGGACCATGACATAGAGCCACGTACCATGGTCCGAACATGCTGACATATCAAATAAACACATGTGGTGGTTATGGGTTTTTGCAGAAAATGGGCTGTGTTGAAATAACGGACCTATTACTCGGAGTACACAGCTTACAACTTGACGGCAAATGGGAGGGTCTTGCCCTGCACGCCTGCCACGAGGTTGTCGGCCGCCATCATCGCCATCTGCGCGCGCGCAGTCAGCATCCCAAAGAGCGCCTCAGCACTGAGCTGAACATGTGGAAGAGCGCGTACCTTCATTCTCGTTGGGTAGGTCGCACTGGGGGGCACAATGGGGAAGAGGAGCCGGCCGTGTGAGTGCGACATCGTCAGGGTGCAAAGGCCAATGGGCGAGGTGGCAGTCAGGTACGTACCTGGCAATGTGGGGCACCACCACCAGGTTGGGCAGTCCCAGCAGAGGCGAAGAAGTCGGCAGCGGCTCCGGGTCGGTCACGTCTGCCGTCGCATTGTGAGAAGAGCGAAGCAAAAAACGAAAGAGAAGAAGGCTGCGGGAGGGAGGGGGGCTAACCGAGTCCCGCGGCGGCGATGGTGTTGGAGGCAAGAGCGTCGTAGAGGGCTTCCTGGTCGACGACCGGCCCGCGGCTGGTGTTGATAAACACGGCCGAGCTGCGCATCCGAGCAAAGGCCTCCTTCCCGAACAACCCCCTTGCGAGGTGGTTGTCACAGCCGAGTAAGATCGTGTGTGTGTATATGTGTGTGGTGTGTGTGGTGTGTGTGGTGAATGTGGTGTGTGTGGTGTGTGTGGTGTGTGTGGTGTGTGTGGTGTGTGTGTGGTGTGTGTGTGTGTGTGTGTGTGTGTGTGTGTACGGTACCGCGTCTCGGGTGTGAGCGGGCAGTGAACAGATACGATGTCGCTCCGCTGCAGCAGCTCGTCCAAGGGCACGTACGTCGCTCCTGGGTCGGACGCATTGGCCCATGGTGAGCACAAAGTCACTTGTTTTGTCCAGGCACGGGCAAGGCCCAAAGAAGAAGGGACCCAGTACCGAGTGGCTCAGCCTCCTCGGGCTTGGGGCGAGAGCCCGAGTAGAGAATCTTGCAACCGAACCCGTGCGCCATCCGCTTGGCAAAGGCCGCACCTGACGAGCGTGTGCGGTCGTGTGCGTGTGCGGTGGGTGCGTGCGGCCATCAGCGCATCTGGGAGGAGAGGAGCACTACAAGGATGGGAGGGATACCGATGCGACCGAGACCGACGACGCCGACCGTGCTGCCGCTGACGTCGAAGGGCGACGCCATCCAGAAGGGAGACCACGTCTTCCACTCGCCTGGCACGCGTGCGCACAGAAAAGAGGCGGCATCAGTCGGTCTGCGAGCCGAGCCAACGCCTCCGGGGGGGAGGGGGTAGCACCATTCTTCACCGCGGCAACGCCCGGCACGATCTTGCGCACCGTGGCAAAGGTGAGGGCCACCGCCAGGTCGGCCGTCGAGTCCTGTCATTGCGCAACAACCGTTATATAGAGTACGCGCTCTGGCCAGCTTTGGTGCAGCATGGTGGGTCGCGTACGGTGAGCACGCCGGGCGTGTGTCCTACGTGGACGCCTCGCGCCTTGCACGCGGCCAAGTCGATGTGGTCCACGCCCACGCTCTGTTGACGATACAAGTGTGCAGCCAGAGAGTGGTCTAAATTCGCGCTACACGGCCGAGTGGAGGAGGAAGAAGACTACGCTACGCGTACCATGGAGGAGACCACGCGGAGGTTGGGCGCACGGTCGAGCACCTCCCCGTCCACCTTGTCCGTCAGCAGGCAGTAGAGCCCTATGCATGGGGTACAAAAGTGGTATTGGATTGATTGATTGATTGATTGATCTTATGTCCGCTACACGAAGCGAGAGAGTGAGGGGGGAGTACCGAGGGTGTCGGGGGAGAGCCAGGAGAGGAGTGTGGATCGAGGAATGGCAGTTTCGGGCTCCGACCAGTAGCGCCCCTCCCAAGCGCACCCGCCAGCGCGTAGCGCCTCGAGCGTCGAATCCGGCAGGGCACGCGTCACCACCACCTTGGCGGCCGTTGCTGCCGCAGCACCGCCGTAAAAGCGACGAGCCATTGACGGCATACCTTGCGATGGCCCAGCCGGCCTCGCTGCAGCCCACCACGCCCTGGTCGTGCTTGACGCCCTCGTCTTCATGTGTATCCTTGCTTGTTCATTTTCTCCAAACTTTTATTTGTAATTTTTACCGAGTGAACGAAATAGAAGACGCACATTCGACAATCGAGCTGCTGCCTTTGATAGAGTTGAAGATAAACAGATGAGCGCGGCAGGACCACAGATCAATGGGGGAGGCGACGTAACGGCGTTCGCGTCGGGTCTCGTGTCGCTGCTGCAACCGGTGGTGATCGAATGCGACCAGAGGCTGCAGGGGGTGTTCGACAGCCAGCGGCTGCTGGCAGCGCAGATCGACGGCCTCGCATCGCAGCTCGACAAGTTCAACGCGGTGAGCCGCACCCCGGCCCTGTCGCCCCACATCGACAAGCTCCTACGCGCCAAGGCTCGCATGGTCGTAATCAACACCACCCTCGCCAACATTCAGCACCGACTCGTACGCATCCAACGCGAACACGCCCCCGCCCCGCGTCCCTTTGCCGAAGGCGTTGCCCCGACTTCTACCGCCTCTCCATCATCAACTCCATTTCCATCTTCGCCATCTTCATCTTCATCTCAGCCTGCGCCAACCCCGCCCCCAGCAGCAGCTCCTCGACCAGCACTTCAACAGCTCCCGCAGCAGCGGCAACCCAGCCGGCTGGGGCCGGCGGCGGCGGCGGCGTGATGTCGTCGTGGCTCAACAAGGCCAAGGCCGCGCTGGTCGAGGCTCCCGCGTCGCTCTCGAACTTGGCCGGTCCGTCCTCCACCACCGCTCAGCCAGCTGCGGCCACCACCACCGCGCCCTCGCCTTCAGCAGGTATGACCACCACCGGACCACCAGCGGCGGCGGCGCGCAACCCCTACGCTGACGCTGACCTTCGTTCTTTTTTTGGTGTTTGCTCTCTTTCTTCTCGTGGCGGTGTGCGTCACACGCGACTGCTGCAGGCCTCGAGCAACAGCCGCCCTCGGCTGCTGAACCGAGCGCAGCGCAGGAGGCCGAGCCTGCGGAGGGTACCCTCGGCGCTCCACATTACAATCGCACGCGCACGCATCTAGGTTGTTGCATGCCAACCGACCGACGCTTACAACGTGTGTGTGGTGTAGCGTCAAGCGCTGAGCCGACCAACGAACCAGCACAGGAGGAGGAGCAACAGCCGCAGCCCGAGGAAGAGGCCGACAAGACATTGGCAGCCGCTGAAGCTGACGAAGTGGTCGCGCCAGCGGAGGAGGCTTCCACCACCGAGTCCCAGCCCACACCCGCAGCCGAGTAACTCCAAATAAGAAGTAAAAAATCCTTCGGTATGTCAGGAATGTTTTCCTTTTTCTGCCGCACACGGCAGCCCTTCGCTGCAACGCCCCCCCCCGTCCGTAAAAGTACCACCCTAGACCACCAAGTTTGCCCTAACCAACAGGTCTCTGAACAACCTCCTCTCGGTAGTGATCTCAGCTTTATTACTTTTCAACCTTAAAGGCAACAACATCATGGGATTGATTAAGCGCCCCATCGGGTTCCTGCTGGAGAAGCTCCTGCCCGAGGTCGAGGGCGTGCCGCCCCACAACATCCTCCCCAAGGTGTCAGCCCCACCCGCCCTCTACATACAAGACATCACCCCACTGTTTGTTCTTTTTATCTTACATGAATGCTACATGGCGCAGGTGGCGAACGACTGCGCTGCGGACATCCTGGAGGACCTGCACCACTTGTTCAACTTTGCCCACCAGATCTTCGGCGAGCTCTCCGCCCAGGCCGTCGACACCGCCACTCGCATCAGTACACCAACGCTCCTCTCTCGAAAAAAAAAAAAAAAAAAAAAACAAAAAAACAAACAAACAACAAACAAAACAAAACTATGATTTCCTCCGCACAGGCAACCTGAGGATTCGTTTGGAGAACTGCGAGCAGTACCTGCCCCAGGCCGAGGGCTACATCGACAGCCTCGAGGTCAACACCTTCCAGAACAACCCCAGGGTGCGTGTGTTGCGTGTTGTGTGTCGTGTCGTGTCGTTGGTCGCTTTGTCTGACTTGTCTGCTGGGTGGTGTGCCTGCAGGCGACATGGAGCTCGGATATCCTCCAGAGCGCGCAGCTGGTGACGCGCACGTCGCGTGACGTGGCCCTCAACGCGGTCTACGAGTACTGCCTGCCTCCGCCCAACTTTGCCCCTCTCGACCCCTACTCCGAGGACCGTACGCGCCCACTCCCCCCCTCTTTCCCAAAACCTGGCTCCCAGTTTTAACCTGGTGTTAACCTGGTGCCAACCACCGCTTGTTTCACGCTTCACGATTTCTACTCCCAGTGGTGCCCTGCATCAAGCGCTACACGAACCCGGATTTCTTCATCGACGAGTGGCTCGAGCAGCAGAAGCGCGAGCGGGAGAAGATCATGGAGCGCCGCGAGAAGCGCCACAACGAGCGCAGGCCCAAGGCCGAGCAGCAGCAGCAGCGCAAGAACCTGCAGGGCGAGGTCGAGGTCGGTAAGCTCAAGAAGACCCGCTACGACGAGTTCGGCAACAAGATCGAGAGCGACGCGGCTGTGGTGCCCGGCGCGCAGCTGTCGCGCGCGGCGCAGGCCTCGCACTCGTCGAACCTGGTGGCGGTGAGCACCATGGCGGCGTCGGACCAGTCGCTCCAGGCCGGCCCCCGGCGGGCGCCGCAGATCAACATCTCGTCGGCCACCCTGCGCGCGGAACACCTCCACAGGGACCCGCAGCACTCGGCGCCCCTGACCCCCAACTACGGCACCATGCGCGCGCCCCCTCCCTCGCCCTTCTCCGCCCCCGGTAGCCCCCCCCCTCCCGCCCCCCCTCCCGCCCCCTTTCGAGCTGACGACGGAGGGCGCACGCGCAGGGGTGGCGACTCAGCGCTCTGTCTCGCCGCTGCCCCAACCGCCCGGGTTCAGCAGCGGAAGCAACATGCGCCCGATCCCGACCACCCCCAGCGGCGGCGGTTTTGCGCCGGCGCCGCAGGTGCCCATGGCTAGACCGGCGGTCGGTGCGCCGGCGCCGCCCCCGCCCGGCCCGCCCCCTCCGCCCGGTCCGCCCTCGCCCACGCCGGCACACAACAACGCGCCGCCGGCCGCGCCGCCGGTGAGCGGCATCCAGGACACGCGCTCCAATCTGCTGGGCCAGATCACGGCCGGCCTCAAGCTCAAGAAGGTCGACGTCGAACGCGAGGCCATCGCCAAGCCCTCGGCCGCCGACGTCTTCAACGTTTCTGCCATCCTCCAAAGGTACCACACACCGCACACACGACACGACACGACACTCACCGCACACCTCTCTCTGCAGGCGTGCGGCGTTGGAGTATTCGGACGACGAATCGGAAGACGACGAGTGGGACGATGACGACTACAACGATTGATTGGTGCTTGGTCGATGTTTAAACCTTAGGCCTAGGCCTTTCCCGATTGGCCCGCGGCGGCTCGACGACCCGTAGTGGGGAGCGGAGGGGGCGGCGGCGGTGGTGGGAAGGGGGCGGAGGTGGACTTGATGGAGTGGATCAGGTGGACCGCGGGGGCCACCTTCTGCTGCTTGGTGCGCCGATCGTAGGTCGTCTTCTGCATCTTAAGGGAATGGCCCATGTAGATCGCCAACGCCTCCAGCTCGCGCTCCGACGCCTGTGCGTGTCGTTTCGCGTCGTGTGTGCGGTGTGCGTGTGCGGTGTGTGAGACACGTGTGTGCGTGTGCGTGCGATTGGTGGCGGGGGGGGGCGTTACGTCGGTGTCGCGGAGGTAGGTGACGATCATGTCGCGGATGAGGTGCGGGTTGGTGCGCTTGCCCGTCAGTCGGTAGGCCGCCGTCGAAAAGACCGCGTACACCCACTTGGCGTCCGGCCGCCCCCCGTTCTTCTTGCTGAACACTGCATATAACACGCCCACGCGACACGACCACGGAGGATTGGGGCGTGAGCGTTTGTGTGCGTGCGTGCGTGTGCGGTGTGTGTGGTGTGTGAGTGTGTGCGTGTGCGTGCGTGCGTGTGCGGTGTGTGCGCGTGTGTGTAATGCTCAACCATCACCAAGATGTGGAAATGACGATGATGGTGACGATGATGAAAAAGAGAGCTCGCACCGAAGTTGTGGTCGGGGTTGAGGTGGGGCCGCCACCTGGTGAGGTACTCCTCGAGGTAGGGATAAATCTGCAGCCACACAACGACCAAAATAGAAGAAATATCATAAATAATAAGAAGAGTATAAATAAATAGATTAGAATAATAAGTCTTTATATATCAAAATATAATAATTTAGATGAAAGAGAGGGGTACGTGGGGTGCGATGAGGAGCGGGGGCCGTTCGCCGTATATTTTGCCGGTCTTGTAGTCGCCGGGTCCGTGCCGGATCTCCCACCGCACGGCCCCGCTCTCCCTCTCCTCCGTTTTGAACAGCGTCTGCCCCCACAACACCTCATTAGCGCGTGGCCGTGGCGTGCGTCGTGTGCGCCTCGTGGGCGTACCTTGCCGACCTCGAGCTCCCGGAGTGTGCGCTGCCTATCCGGCACGCAGCTCAATATGCTGAACCTGAGACGCGCACACACACATTAGCCCACGATCATCGTGTGTCGTGTCGTGTCGTGTGTGTCGTGTCGCGTGCGGCGTACATGAGGTAGAGCTGGAAGCTTTGGGCGACCGCGCTGGGTGAGCGCCGGTGATGCAGCTTGTCCTTCTCCGCACACTCGCTCTGCAGCAGCTCCACGCACCGCAGGTACTCTGCGTGCACCATCCCCGTGGTGAGTCGGCCCACCTCGGCCTTGGGTGGGTGGGGGTGGGGGTTGGCGGGGTGAGGCAAGTAAGTACCGGGCCAGTCGAGCCACTTGGCGCGCTCGTTGGAGACCTTGGGCGCGATCTTGGCCCGAGCCGCCGCGTCGCTCGCTAGCCTCCGCAGCTCTCGCACCACCCCGATGTCCGAATACGCCTGCCGACACGCCACAACGCGAGCCACACGACGTCGGCGGCGGCGGCGGCGGCGGCGGCGGCGGGAGGGGGCGGGCGTCGAAGGGGGCGGGTGGGGGCGGGAGGGGCGCACCTTGTCCCCCTCGGCGGGGTCGGACTTGCTCTGCTTGTGGAAGAGGAACTTGGCGAGGGCCACGAGAGAGTGGAGGGCCTTGAGCTCGCCGCTGGGCGTGTGGCCGCGCACCGTGACCAGCCAATGCACGTACTCGTACACCACCGACGCCGACTCGCGGCTCGAATTCGCGAACAGGCTGTCCAACGTCAACTGATCGCATCGTGTCGTGTCATGTCATTAGCGTGTGTCGTGTCGTGTCGTTGGTCGTGTCGTGTCGTGTCGTGTCGTGTCGTGTCGTGTCGTGTCGTGTCGTGTGGTTGCAGGGTACCTTTTGGACTTTGGTGGGCAGGGCGGGCGAGGCGGCGCCCGGGGCGGCCTCGCGGTGGCGCCAGAGCCAACCGAGGAACAGCAGGGCGTGCTTCTGGTACATCGCCGCCGTCTCCTGCCCCACCGGCGACTCTTGCTGCCCTGTCGTCGTACACACACGTCAGCGCACACGCACCACCGCACGCACCACACGACACACACGGGACGGCACGGCACGGCACGCACGACGTGTGCGACGTACCGTAGAATTTGGTGGTGAGGAAGCGACGGAAGGCGGTGAGCTGGGCGGCGAGGCCCGGCCCGATCTCGGCGGCGCGCAGACCATAGGGCGTCCGGTCGGTGTTCTTTTTCCGCGCCACCAGCCGCACGGCGCCGCTCCGGCCCCACCCCAGCCGCATGCTCCCCGCCTGTCGCGCTCTCGCCCGCACTTCTGTCGTCGCCTCTTCTTCTTCTTCTTCGCCCTCCGCCTCTGTCGTCGCCTCTTCGCCCTCCACGCTCGCCATGGCCGTCGCCTTTTCGCCCTTCGTGCGCGTCGCTTCGCCCCGCCGGCTTCCGGTCTTCGAGGACTTCGTGCCTGCAGTGCCGGCTTCCGCCGAAGCCGAGGCCTCGACTTCCGCGCTCTCGCCCGTCGCCTTTTCGCCTTCGGCCCTTCGGCCGCCGTCACCACTGCGACCACGCGGCCGTCCCTTCACTCGTGCCGGTGCTACCGGGACCGCCGACGTCAACGGCGCAGCGGGGGTGGTGCTGGCGGCCGGGGCCGCGGGGGCGGCGGCGGCGGCGGCGGCAGGTGGTGGTGCGTCGGCCATGCGCACCAGCTCCTGGTACAGCCGCAGCGGAATCCGCAACCGGGCCGCATCTGCATTCCATCCACGGTGTGTGCGGCGTGTGCGGCGTGCGGCGTGTGCGTGTGCGGTCGGGTATCAGGAAAGGCCAGGGGGAGAAAGAGAGAGAGGGAGAGTACCGTCGTGGGTGAGGTGGGCGAGGTCGGCCGGGGCGTGGAACCAGTTGTCGTGGAGGCGCGTGGCGACGGCCCGCAGCTCGTCGTCCGCCCGCGCCCCGAGGCCCAGCTCGCGGCCCGCCCGCCGCACCAGCTCCTCCAGGCCGCCCTTGGCCTCTTCGACGGCCTTGTCCTTGGTCTCGACCATGGCCATGCCCGTGGTCTTCTCGAGAGTAGTCGATCTGGTTGAAGGAGGAGACAAAGTAGAGGGAGAAGATGCTACAGCAGAAGCTTTTCTGGTGGGTTCTGATGCTACTTCTGGTGCTGTAGTGGCTGGTAGCGTCGACGTAATGGCTTTGGGCTGCAGCTTGGCGCGAGCACCGCTACGCGCCACGGATGTTGTAGCAGAAGATGAAGAAGATGGAGAAGCAGATGGAACAGGAGGGGTGTGGGCAGTTGCAGGGGCGGTGGCCGTGGCGGGTCCCTTCGACGCGTCGGGCTCGCTCTTGGCCGCCTTTTCCAACATCTTCTCCGCTACATGCGATGCAGTAGTGGGTCCGCTGGAGACGGCGGTCGTGGTGGGAGGTGAAGGAAGAGGAGGAGGTGATGGTTTCTTGTTACGACGTCCACTACGCGCCACTGATGCCGAAGAGAAGAGGAAGTGAGCGGAGGCGAGGTGATGGCAGCGGCACCCGCGGTGTTCTTCCACTCCTCGAAGAGGAGGGTGAACTCGCCCACGCCCTCTGCCGAGCCACCGCTCCCCAGCAGCCCCTTCTTTTTCTTCTTCTTCATCGTTGTCGATTTGCTCTTTACATCTTCGCTCCTGCTGCCTGTGGCCAACCCGCGCACCATGAGTCGGTCGTGATGCGCTGCCGTCGCCCACCACCGCGCCGAGCCCAAGGGCGCCACCACCGCCTGGTGGGGGCCACGACCAGCCACAGCCAGCCTCCTCATCATCTGCAATAAACGATAAATAAAACGAACAAGGGAAAAAGAAAGGGAAAAAGAAATGCGTGGAGAAAATGAGCGAGTAGCGGCTCAAAGATCTTGAACCAGATGGCACGACGCGCGTTGCTGAAGCGGATGAATGCGGGGCCGGCGACAACGGTCCTGCCCGCGCTTCACCCCACCCTCGCCGCGCGCCTCTTTCCCAACTCCGACCATAGCAGCCCTGAGCAGCCGCCACGGCGAGTGTGGAGCCTGCCGGAGAACTGTGTGCCGCAGCTGCAGGGCAGCGGCACCACTGCCGCATCTCGCCCCCCGCCCCAGGGCTTCGTGGCCGTCACCAACCCACTCACATCCACCTCAGCCGGCCCAGCAGACGACCGTGCAGTCCTCCTCGTCGACCCCACCCTCAGCCCGCCCATTCGCGTCGTACGCTTTTCTTTTTCTTTTCTAAATGATTTGCATTTTTTTATTTATTAATTCATTTTTCTCATCAGGTGGGTTATGGTATGAGTGCGGTGGACGAGGCCTACGTGGAGGGCGCGCTGCGGGAGGCCTTGACCTATCGCCGCCAGCTGGCCGGGGAGGGCCGTCTCGAACTCGACGACGCGCGCCACACGTCGGCCTTCCGCCTGGTGCACGAGCTGGGCGACGGCCTCACCGCTCTCGCCATCGACGTCTACGGCCGGCACGCGCGCCCCTTCTTCTTTCGTCTCAACGCTTCCTTCTATTCTCTATTCTTCCCGTGCTGACAAAGCTATCTCGTGCACGCTGTGTGTGTTGTGTGTGTGTGTGTGTGTGTGTCGTAGGTATGCCGACGTACAGACCTACTCGGTGCACTGGGACCGCTTCCTGCCCTTCATCAGGTTCGGTCACATGCTATCCATCGCACACGCACACATATGACCGCACACGCACCACCGCGCACGCGCACGCACGCGAACTCACGTGAAGAAGAAATGTATTGCAGGGACAAGCTGTGGTCGCCCGAGTGTCTGCCCTTCCTGCGGGGCATCACCGTGCGGAGGCGGTTCCGCAAGAAGCGCCCGACTGCGCGCTTCTACTACAACCCGGCCTTCTTCAACGACGACGAGCAGGCAACCCTCTCACCCCGTCCCTCAATGTGACCACTGCCAGCGCTCACGTTGGTCGTGTCGTTGGACAGGAAGACGATGTGGGTGCGGCGGCGGGAGATGCTGATGATTTGGATGAAGAAGACGACGTAGAGGGGTTCGACGATGAAGAGTTGGATGGCGGCGGCGACGACAGGGAGAGGGCGCAGCAGCAGCTTCGGGCTGGCGATCGAAGCGCCGAGTTCAGGGATGTGGTGGTCGAGGAGGACGGCCTCAAGTACCACGTCGATCTCCGCACCTCGGCCCTCTCCTCCGGCCTCTTCCTCGACCAGCGGTACCACCACCACCACCACCACCACCACCACCACCACCGCCACTCCCACCACCAGCTCGACTTACGCTGACGTGTTTTGGCCGCGCGCGTGCTTCAGGGAGAACCGTAAGTGGATGCTGGAGAATGTGTTTACGCGGCCCAAGATGAGCCTCCTCAACCTGTTCGCCCACACTGGCGCCTGGAGCGTGTCGGCCGCGGTCAAGGCACGCCACTGCCCGACCACCATCGCTATTATTTATTGTGAGAGACAAAATTATTATTCTTATCTTAACATCATATTTCGCTGTGTGTCGTGTGTGTCGTGTCTTGTGTGTCGTGTGTGTGTGTGTGTGTGTGTGTGTGTTGTGTGTGTGTGTGTGTTGTGTGTGTGTGTGTGTGTTGTGTGTGTGTTATGGTGTTGGGCAGGCCAAGGCACTGACGACGAGCGTGGACCATTCGGCCATGTGCCTGGACGTGGCGATGGCCAACTTCCGGCTCAACGGCATTCCCCTCGCCTTCTCGGCCGACAAAAGTACCACCCATTTCTTTCTTATCTCCCATGTAACAGCCGACGGCCTATTTTAGGATTTCCCATGCAACCAACAAGCCTTAACTGAGAAATTTCTACCAATCATGCACAACAACTACAACACAGGAGCAGACAAAAAAGGGTGGCAGGGCGGGCGGAAGCGAGGTGAAGGCCACGAGTTCGTGGCCCGCGACGCCTTCCAGGAGCTCATCGCCCTCCGCGCCAAGAGCCGCAAGTTCGACGTCGTTCTGCTCGACCCTCCCGCACTGGCCCGCACCTCCGCCCTCTCCGGTACGCCCCCGACCGTGCTTGCTCCCCCGCACTCCCAGCCTCTCTGACGTTCCAGCGCGTGCGGTGTTGTTTGCATCGCGTGTGCGGTCGTGCCTTGCACGTTGTATTGCGTCGCGTGTGCGGTCGCATGTCGTGTGCGCACCAGGGTCGGTGTGGTCGGCCAAGAGTGACTACGGACGACTGGTGAAGCTCGCTGCACCGGTCGTCGCACCATCGGGCTATATCGTCGCCTTCAACAACACCCGATCGCGGTACCTCCCCGCACACACGCAACATGACCGCACACGCAGCATCGCACGCGCGTAATTTGCTGAGAGGGTTGGGTTGGGTTGGCCAAAACAGGTCGGAGGAGGCGTGGGTGCGAGAGATCATGGAAAAGGGCCTCAAGGACGAGAGCGGCCGGTGGCGTCGGGTGACTGCGCTCGGCCAGGCTGCCGACTTCCGGTGGCGCGCCGGCGACGAGCGCGTCGGCAAGTACCTCAAGGGCCTCGTCCTCCAGAAAGTATAAAACTGGCCAAAAGAAAACTGTAAGCTGCAAACAATTCCACACCACTCAGCCATCACCATTTAACGTTGGCACTACCCAACTCAAAAAAGAAATCTGAGCTCTATATATTAGCGGATGTGTGTTGCATTGCAATGGAAATTATGCCAAACATGTCAAGCCGCGGCGGGCGTGACGAAGGCGTAGGGCCACGCCCAGGCATCATGGAGGAGCAGGTTGTGGGTCGGGTCGACCAGGGGCTGCCGGTCGCCCGGGCGGTAGTTGAGGGTGCAGTTGCAGGTGGCGTAGATGCCCGCCACGTGCTCGCCGCGGTCGCGCAGCAGCTGGCCCACGTACAGGGCGAACTGCTGCAGGCTGTCCGGGCGCGAGGCCATCTTGCGCGCCTGCCGCCTCGTCACGTAGCGCTCCACCGCCAACGGCTCCCCTTTTTTAAAAACAAACGTAAATCAAAATCATAAACGCAACACGACACACGACACACGACACACGGTAACGCGCAACACACAACACCAGTTTGGCAGGGGTGGGTACGGGGTAGAATTGAGGATGGGTTGAAGGGTTGGTGGCGTTCAATGAACATCTCCATTTGGCAGGCCTTGTTCCGCAGCTTCATTCGCCACCTGCGCCAGAGATTATCATCGACGTTACTACGTGTCGATCGACTCATCGTTCTGTTTAACAACGACTGCGAAGAAGTGGGGGGTGGAGGCGTACGAGAAGCGATGGCCGTACTCGGTCCAGGTGACGTCGCCCGGGTAGAGCAGGTGGCGCAGGGGCAGCGCGATCTGCAGCGCCACGAAGGCCACCACGCACACTGTCACCACCACGTCCCTCACCCGCACCGGCCTCCTTTTTCGTCGACTCCGCGCTGCTGATGTCAACCCTGGCGTAGCAGCTGATGACGGTCTTGATGATGAGTCGTAGCGCCGCGATGATGAAGTTGATGATGATGATGATGATGAAGAAGACGAAGACGATGACGGTGATGAAGATGGTGATGATGATGAAGTGTGGAAGAGCTGGGCCAGGCGCTGGGGCCAGTCGGGCGGCAAGTAGAGGGTGGTGAGGCAGATGCACATCCAGGGGAACACGCCAATGCCAAAGATGAGCTTGTTGAGCAGGTGGAAGCCCAGGCTGGCCGCGATCCCGGCCCCGCGCAGGCGCCAGTCGCGGCGCTGTAGGAGCACGAACGGGATGAGCAGGTCGAAGGCCAGGCCCGCGTAGGAGAAGGCGAGGGCCGACGGCTCCCAGGCCAGCAGCGGGCCGAGCAGCGGCAGGTGGCCCCGCTTGGCAAGCCAGTGCCGCAGCGGCTCTCCGCGCAGCCAGTCTTCGTTCACCTGCGCACACCGCACACACATCGCCTTACTCAGTGGTGTGTCGTGTGCCGTGTGCCGTGTGTCGTGTGTCGTGTGTGTCGTGTGTGTCGTGTGTAAGTGTGTCGTGTGTCGTGTGTGTCGTGTGTAAGTGTGTCGTGTGTCGTGTGTGCGTGTTGCGTGTTGCGTGTTGCGTGTTGTATGTCGTGCGTTTGGTGTGCTGTGAAGAACCTTGGCTACACCGGCATAGAAGTAGACGATCGCCATCAGCCACTGCAATAAACACAACGTCCACTGCGGCACCTTATCTCTGCATTCGACACACACACACACACGCCCATGGTGAGTCGTATGAAGAGAAAGAAACAAAGCATACATGGCTTCTGCTGGAGGCGAGAGTTCGAACCGGCGTGTGGAGGGGAAGAGGACGTTGTCGAGCGCCCACTTGGCGTTGGCCGGCGCGAGGCACAAGGCGGCCTGGACCAGGAGCATGAGGTAGATGTGGTTGAGGTAGTTGTTCATGTCGAGCAGGAACGTGTAGGCCAGCGACACGAGCAGCGCCAAGGCGACCGGCCGGTGCGCCAGGCCGGCGGTCATGCACATGCCCAGCGCCATCGTCACCAGGAAGTGCGCCCGGAAGGCGTCGAGCGTCGCATAGGGCGTCACCCACTCGAAGCCCCAGTACTTGGCCTGCCAGCCGCCGCCCATAAGGTGCGTCTTGGTCTGCATGTCGCCGCGCACACAGGTATGTTAGACCGCACACGCACAACCGCACACGCACACCCACACACTTACCTTGTTGCAGTCGTTGGCGATGTAGGAGGCGGCTTCGAGGAAGTGGAGCATGCCCCACATGATCCGCAGGGCGGAGAGGGACGAGGCGTCGACCGGCTCCTCCCACCAGTCCCACCGCGGCGCCCACCAGCCGCCGCCGCTGCGACCACGACGAGTGAACCCACCACCTGTGCCTTCCCCCTCCGGTGCCACCACCTCGGCGTCGTGGTGGTCTGCGGCCAGCTCCGGCCCTACGCGCCCCCTCCGCCTCATCCTCACCAAAACGAAAAGGAGAAAATAAAAAGAAAATATGATGAACAAAGGAAAAAACGAAATACAGAGAGAGCGAGTAGAGCGATTGGCGAAGGATGTTCAAGAAGGCCTTCAAGACCCAGAACAGGAACAAGCTCAAGCGGTCCGAGGTCCGCCGGTTCCGCACCGGCCTGCTCACGGCATTCCCGCACATCACCGAAGAGCAGCTCAATCAGGCACACACGATCTTTCATCTCCACACATGCATGATGATGGATCTTTCTTTCTCCATCTTTTCTTGCATCTCTTGCTCATTCACAAGCACGGGTGGGGTGACCTTTACCAGGTGCTGCCGCCCAAGGCGGACATAGAGGTGGTCAAGTTGGGTGGCGGCAGCCGCACGGTGCTCTACTTTGTCGAGGCGCAGCCGCTCTTCTTCGATCCCTCCGGGCGCGATGACTGGGTTCCCACAGGTGCGCACAGTCCTTGGCTGCAGCTTTTCTAGAGTTCTCTGTTCGCTCCGCTCAATGGGCCATCGCTGATTCATTGGGTCCATGTCAGTGTACGCACTATGGAAGCTGCCCGAGCTTCTGCCTTCATTCGTCATTCACGCACCGGTCTTCTCTCGCCTTTTGAACGGCGCAGGTACCACGATACGCCGACACACGCGTAACACACAAGCACACACACAGCACAGCGCCACACACACGCCTCTACGCACGCACACGCACAATGATGATTAACGATTTTACTGTGAAATGAATGTGGACGATCATGATGGCCTGCAGACCTGATGCTGCAGGGTGTGGTGGTTCCGAAGAGCAGCGAGTGGGTACAGAAGCGGCCCGCCTTCTACGGGCGATGGCAACAGGGCAGCCTGCGCGCGCTCTGCGTCAAAGGCAACAAGTACGCACGCATTTCCACACACAACACACAACACACACACCACACACACACACACACACACACACACACACACAACACACACACCCTCTCTCCACAGTCTCGAGTTCCATTGCTGAAATGCACTCACCACGTCTCGCTTCGCAGGGCGCCGATCGGCGTGGGCCATATGCTGGTGAGCAGTGAAACGGTCGAGCGGGCGGGAATGCAGGGCAAGGGCGTGGAGATGCTCCACCTCTTCCAAGATAAGCTCTGGTACGTAGGCATACGAAACCAGTATGTATGTGTGCGGTGCGGCGCGTGGATCAGCGTTTTTTTAAACTCTTTTTCGTCTACACGCGTGACAGGGAGGCAGGCACCAAGGATCCGCACCCGCTCATCGAGGACGACCGGTTCAGCAAGCAGGCGGCCGAAGACGAGGTCGAGCCGCCCCTCGCCGATGAAAGCGCAGCTGACGCGCAGGAGGGCGACACCTCTTCGACCACGACCACGACCACCGACGAGGCGACGAAGAACGAAAGCGACGACGGGGAGGGCGAGGGCGAGGAGGAGGAAGCCGCGCCGACCAGGCGTGCGGCGCCCGACGAAGACGAGGTGCGGGCGCAGAACGAGCTTCTGCACCACTGCTTCCTGGCGGCGCTCAAGGGCGGCGGGGAGCGGAAGGTGCGGGACAAGGACCTACCCATGCTGGCCAACGTGTTCTACTCGGACTACATGCTGCCGGCCCGGCCCGAGGGCACCACGCTCGAGATCAAGCGCACCTCCTACAAGAAGCTCCACACCTTCCTGGCCGAGGCCGCCGGCAAGGGGCTCATCCAGACCCGCGAGACCTCGCCCGGCGTGATCCAGCTCACCGCCGTCAACCGCTCTCACGACGAGTACGTGCGTGTCATGTCGTGCGTGTGTCGTGTGTCGTGCGTGTCATGCGTGTCGTGTGCTGACGATGGTGTTGGTGTTCAAGGTACAAGGAGTTCCGGGTGAACAAGGAGGGCGGGGCGCAGCAGAAGGAGGAGGCGGGCGAGGAGCAGAAGGGCCTCCACATCGAGGAGATCTACAAATTCACCTCCGCGCTCAAACCACTTCTCACCGCCGAGGCCAAGCCCGGTACCTTGTTATTTATTTTTATTATTATTATAAGGAATACCTTATAATTACACATTATTATTATTATTAATTTCTCAATATATGAATGATGGTTGTACCTAATCGTTGTTTTTAACTGTTTTCTGGAGGGCAGGCAGGATGACTACTGGCGGGCGGCGGAGGCGAAGGAGCTGCTGTGGGCCTACGTGGCGCGGGAGAAGCTCGTCCCGGAGAAGGACAAGCGAGTGGTGCGCATGGACGAGTACCTGGCCATCAACGTCATGGGCAAGAAGACCTTCTACGGCGACCTGATCGACCGGAAGACCCTGGCCGAGAAGTACGACCACACCACCACCACCACCACCACACTCACGACACACAACCACACCGCACGCACGCACGCACGCACGCACAACCACACCGACACACGCACACGCACGAAGCGATACCTGACGACACACGCAGGTTTTTGGGCAAGCTGAAGAATTTCAGCTATGTTTCGAGGGACGGCGTGGGAGACGTGTGCAAGGGCGCCATCGCGCCGGTGCTGATCCGCACGGAGCAGCGGCAGGGCCGCAAGGTCGTCACCGTCCTCTCCGGCATGGAGACCTTCCTCATCTCCGCCGACACTCTGCGCACGGTACCCACACATTACAACCCATGGCACGCCAGGAATGCACACACGCCATAACTGTGTGTCGTGTCGTGCCGTGCCGTGTGCGTTTGTTTTTCCAAAACGCAGGAACTGGCGAAGAAGTTTGCGGCGAGCACGTCGATGGGCGACGTGGAGGGCAAGAAGAACGAGGGCCGGAAGGAGATCCTGGTGCAGGGCGACGTGATCAAGGCCACGGCCGAGTTCCTCATTCAGAAGTACCAGGTGCCCAAGCGGTTCATCCAGGTCATGGACAAGGCTGGCGGCGGCAACAAGAAGGGCCGCGCCGGGCGGTGAGACTTTTTATCACGGAGCTTCGTACTCCAAACAAAATTTCTTTGGCTGGAATGGTTCTGTTCTGGCGAAATTTCGATGAGTCACGTTTCTCACGTCCAGCCACAGAAACGCAGAGCACAACAAACCGCCACAACACAACACAACCAACAACACCAACATCAACACCAACACCAACAACACAAGCAGCAGCATGAGCAACACCAGCAACGAACCGTCGATGCTCTCGGGCCACGTTCAGTACGTGAAGGGTGCCGCCGAGGAGGTGATCGGCAACATGACGGGCTCCGAGGACTGGAAGCGGTCGGGTCTGGCCGACAAGGAGGCGGCCCGCGCCGAGATGCGAGCGGCCAACGAGGGTCCCAAGGACCCCGGCCTTGTGCCGGGCCAGATCGAGAGCACCTTGGGCCGGGCCGTCGGCTGCGAGGGCATGATCGAGAACGGCGAGGAGAAGCAGCGACTGCGATCCGACAAATAAACCAAACAAAGCTATTCTTCATCTCCGTTGTTGTGTGTTTCTTGCAAGATGCCACGACAAACAGTTCCAGAGAACCGTAAAAGCTGACGTGGCGCATTGGCTTAGAGCGGAGGAAGCAAGGAAAAGACTACGGGGATGGACACAGCGACCATTGCAGCATTGATGGCTGACGCCATGTGCAGAGACACCACTAGGCGGCTACTCTCCAGCCAGCAGTGGTGGGACAAAACTGCGCAAGACCCAGGCAAGCTCATTCACTGGCTCAAGGTACCTATTTTTTATAATGTGCCACATCTGCCAACTCTCTTCCATCGAAACCCGCCCCTCAGAACCAATACTACGGGGAGTCAAAGGCTGACGCCTACAAGCATCAGATGACCCAGCAACACTTCATTTCGGCCGACCCACGCACGTGGCATGACCACCGACGAGGCCTACCAAAGCACCTTCCCCTCTTTGCTCTACTTACTTTAGCTTTATTACGGTACAGTCCCCTGAATCAGAAGAGGCGAGTGGCTAGGCGGTCTTGTTCTCTTCGGCGGGGGAGGAGAGGCCCAGCGACTCCTCGAACTTGCGCAGCTGCTCGACGAAGCCAAAGTTGGGGTCGACGATGTAGCGCCGCTGCTTGACGTAGTTGAGGGCCTTCTTGTAGGGCCACCGCTTGGTCTTCATCAGGAACGCCACCACCACCGTCGTCGACCGGCTCACCCCCGCATGGCAGTGCACCAGCACCTTCTGCTTCTGCTTCGTCGCTTGATCTGTAGTCGCACATCGCGTCAGCACACGTGTCATGCGTGCGGCGTGTGCGGCGTGTGCGGCGTGTGCGGTGCGGTGTGTGCGGTGTGTGTACCGATAAAGTCGACCACGGCCTCGAAGTAGGTGGAAATGTCGGCCGAGGGGTGGTCGACAATGGAGACGTTGTGGTACATGAAGCCCTCCTTGTCCTCGAACGCGTTGCGCTCCTTGCAGCAGTTGACCACGTGCTTGATGCCCAGATTGTCGAACACGGTCTCGTTCGACGCGCTCTGCCAGTCGCCCAGGTAGACGTAGCGGGTGATGCGCGAGGGCCACGAGACGGCGATCTGCTCGAAGCTGCCCCACGAGTTGCCCCCCTCGGGCTTGGCGCACACGAACGGGTACTTCTTGTAGAAGCTCGCCAGGCCGCCTGTGCGCGTAGAGCTTGTGAGCAAGAAGAAGTGAAAAGAAGATGTAAAAGAAGAAGAAGAAGAAAAATAAAACAAGTAGAGAGTAGTAGTGTACCCTTGAGGTAGCTCAAGGCGGCGGTGCCTCCGCTGACGTCGTCAATGACGTGCGGGATGCGAGACTTGAGCACGGCCTCCTCGTTGTCGTGTATGATGATGGCACGGGCAAACTTCCTACGTTGTGTTATTATATTTATTATTATTTGAATTGATAGTTGTTGTGGCGTTGAATAGGAGACAGGCAAGGAGGCGCCTGTACCTTTGGTGGATGCAATCCCAAAGATTTTTGCCGCTGTCGCTGTCGTCGAACTTCTCGAGGGGGAAGTTGTAGGAGTTGTTGATGAACAGCTTGCCATGCTCCTCCGGTGTTCGCACATCGATGACCGCCACACTAAACAAACAAAAGAGCAAATAAATCTAACCAACTCCGGCAATTGTTTATTTTTCTTCTATTTATTTATTAAAGAATATCTATTATTATAAAGAAGCATCAAAGATAAAGGGTGCGGAGGTACTTCATAAAGTTGCAGGAGACGATATTGTAGAAGTGCTTGCCGTCGAGCTCCTCAAACTTGACGCGACATTTGGCACTGGAAGACCTCATCGATTCGTTGCAAGGCGTTGGATAGATTTTATCGTTTCGGTGTCCAAGCTTTTAGTTATTGTTGTGTTCTTGTTGGTGACCGGACCCAACCGTAAGAACAGCAATTTACATCTGGCCAATCACCACAACTCCGATCTTTGTTTCTTCTGTTTTTCTTTGAGCAGTCAAAAAAGAAAATACATTTCCTCTAACACAGTGCTTTGTTGAGCCTCGCAGGACTGTTGAGGTGGTCATCGATGCAGTCTTCTGGTGGTGGTAATCTGCACGGCGGCCAGCGCAAGCGGGCTCGCAACCCGGTCGCAGGACTGCCGAGACCGTCCGCCAAGCAAAATCACCACGCGGCCGAAGATGAAGAGGAAGAGGAGGAAGACGAGGCTCCGCTCGCCCTCACAGATAAGGACATCCCGCCCCACCCCTACGGCGTCAAACCCGAGGTACCTTCCCCCATCACAATCTGCAAATCTGCGATTGCATTAAATTTCAGATTAATTCGATATTGTCCGAAATCTCGAGCCAACTTCAACTGCCCTCTTCTTGACGTGTGCGCCAACACACTCACGCACGACACGCACGACACGCACGACACGCACGACACGCACGACACGCACGACACTCACGACACGCACGACACGCACGACACACACGCCCGATGACACGACACAACACGCAATTACAGGGTAACAGGCTGGTGGACATGCTGGCCGCTGACTTTGTGCCGGCGCGCGGGGTCGGCCTGGGTTGGTTCGCCCATCTGCCGGACAACCTCATCTTCGTCATCTTCCAGGAGGTGGGCTTCCGCGAGCTCGTGCAGCTGTCGATGACCTCGCGCGCCTTCTACGTGCTGGCCAACTACGACGAGCTGTGGAAGTACCTCACGGTCGAGACCTTCCAGGGCGACTGGCGCTTCGTCGAGACCTTGGAAGCAGACCTTCATCGCCCGCTACGCGCCCGCGTGGCCGCTGCTGGGCCGCGAGCGGCCGATCAAGGTCAAGTACTTCTACTCGACGCTGCTCCACCACTCCTGGTGCCTCCTCACCTGCGACCTCACCAAGTGGACCCGCGTCGACAACATCGACCGGCGGAGCGGCTCTCCATCGAGCAGTTCATCGCTGAGTGCGTACACACATATTTATAATAACATATATATATATATCGATTGATGACATTGTAACACTGTTACAATGAAAATGTTGTGTGGGCAGGTATGAGATCCCCAACAACCCGGTGGTGCTGACCGATGTCGTACCAAACTGGCCGTGCTACAAGAAGTGGTCGAAGGACGGCATGATCAAGGTTGACACACGACACACACGACACACACGACACACACCACCGAATGTCACAAACTCAATGTGCTGGACTCGTGCAGGAATATGGGGACATGGACGTCAACATCAACCAGGGCATTTCGATGAAGCTCAAGGACTACTTCACCTACTCGGGCCAGGCCGTTGAGGAGAATCCCATGTACCTCTTCGACAGCGAATTCGGCGAGAAGAGGCCCGCCATGCTCGAGGACTACAGGTAGAGTGAACCATTCACGACATAGGATACGCACACGCACACGCACACGCACACGCACACGCACACGGCTGACTCGGATGTCGCTCTCATTGTTAGCATTCCGAAGTACTTCACGGAGGACTATTTCGCCTATCTGGAGGAACCCGAGCGGCCTTCGTTCCGTTGGATTCTTGTGGGTCCTACTCGCTCGGGTACGCACGCGCCACCGCACACGCACGACATAAAAGCGCAACACCGCACACGGCACGTACCGCGGATCTGACGCTACAGACACCACACACACACACACGCCCGTGTTCATATAGGCGCGACTTTCCACAAGGATCCCAACCACACATCGGCCTGGAACGGTTTGCTGTGGGGCCTCAAGAAGTGGCTTCTCTACCCGCCCAACGTGGTGCCGCCCGGTATGCTTCACTCTCATCTCCCGCTACATTACTCGTCTCCTTACACCATCGCTGTGCTGCGCGTGTGCGTGTGCGTGTGCGTGTGTGTGTGTGTGTGTTTCTCTACGCAGGCACGTTTCCGTCGGAGGATGAGTGGGAGGTGACTACGCCCATTTCGATCGTGGAGTGGTTCTACAACTTCTATCAGGAGACCGACAAGCCCGGCAAGAAGAAGGCCAAGACGAGCGAGCAGCACCAGGACGGCCAGCCCGACGCACAGCGGCCCATCGAGTGCTTGCTCAGGCCCGGCGACATGATCTTCATCCCCAACGGCTGGTGGCATACCGTACATTCCTCCCTCCACCACCATTCAACGCTCTCTGCTCGCGCTCACCAGCGCACACGCGACCACACACACAACACGACCACACACACACACACACACACACACGACACACACGACACACACGACAGGTGCTCAATCTGGAAGAGTCGGTGGCGGTGACCCAAAACTATGTGGGCCGGCACAACGTCAAGAATGTGCTGGAATTCCTGCGGAGGAAGGAGAACCAGACCCTCTTCAACGAGCTCATCGGCAAGCTCCGCGAGCGGCAGCCCCAAGTCCTGGCCGAGATCGAGGCCGCGTGGGCCAAGGAGGAGCAGGACCGCCGCGAGCGCGAGAAGAAGCGGGAGGAGAGCTGCTTCTGGAGCAAGCTCAAGACTGCGCCGGCCCCTGATGCGACCGCTCCGTCGGCCACCGACGACACCAGCGCTGCGGCTGGCGGTTTCAGCTTTTCTTTCAACTTCAACTAAAAAAAAGGTACCTGTGTGCGTCGTGTGGTTGGAGTTGTGGCTGACATGTTCTATGTTTGTGTGGGTGTAGGCAAGGTGGCGAACGCAATTGGCCAGCAATTTCAAAGAACGTGCACGTTAAAACCATTACCTAAAATACAGCTTACCATTCCTGACCCCAACTAAAAAACCGTTACGAAAAAACAACAGCGACCACGACCGCGAACGAAAAAGACCATTCAAACAGCACGTGAACGAAGATCTCGCCAACTCGACTGCCGTACCCCTCTTGCTTCTTACTTAGATTAACCTTACCACCATCATCATTATCATTTGCTGTCATGGAACTGGAACGTACTCGCACGGGCAGCGTCATTGCCACGAGCGGAGATGTCACCTGCAGGTGCATCCACGTCTACTCGACAACCAAGCTCAAACTTGTACCAACCCCTCCCATCTACTATTTTGTTTATCTCTTACCTCGATTTAAATGTCTTTTAATTGATATGAACAGATGTACGAGGTCTGCTTCTCGCTGGGTGCTGTGCAGCACACCATCACCAGAACTACTGACGAGTACCAGAATCTCCACAAGCTGGTACATCCATTTTACAACTTCACGTTTTTTTCCCATATTGAGAGCATGAATAAAAATACAGATAAAAAAGGACTTCACGCACTTGCTGCCCCAGTTCCTGGGGAAGTTTCCGACCAAGCTCTTCGGCGGAGCAAACCAGGTCGAGGTAATGTTCATTATTTGCCACCTCCCTAGCGCATGTAGACTCAACTCCATCACCACTGTGGGAAATGATCAGAAACGCGTGAACTTCCTGGCTCAGTTCATCCAATTCATTGCCAAGAACGAGGCCCTCCACAGCCACGCTCACTTCCAAGAGTTCATCAAGCCTCACGTATGAGCTCCGACCTAAGACTTCGTTATTTAGTCAACATATTTGTTGCTTACAAGAGTGCTTGTGGCACACAGAATGCGATGCTCCACTTCTCGATCATAGCTGGGCGCAACCTCACGGTGCGCGACCGCAACGGTACGGCGGCTGTGTGTGTGTGTGTGTGTGTGTGCCACCTTTGGCGCTTACGGGAGTGAGCACATCAGGTCTGTCGGATCCGTTTTGCCGCGCTGCGGTCTACGATTCCAAGAAGAAGGCCGGCAAGGGCTACCAAACGCCGATCATAAAGAAGACGCTCAATCCCGTGTGGAAGAACCCCGAAGTGCTCACCATGTACGCCGCAATCCGCTCATGTTTCTGATTACGTGTTGCAATACTTATTACATGATGACACTACTTATTACATTATATTTCTATGTACCCAGAGAGGTTGACAAGAGGGCAGACAGCACGGGCGTTACCGTGTCGGTCATGGACCACAACTTGGTGGCCAGCAACGCATTCATGGTAAGCCCGCTACCAAAACACTCATTCGGCGAAACCACACAGCCACTTATATTTGTTTGTGCGTCTGCCCCAATAGGGAAGAGTCACGATTCCGTTCACCAGCATTCCCACCAACCGGAAGATTGTCCGTTGGTTCCCGGTGCATCACACCAAGAAACACACCAGCGGCGACATCCACGGCGAACTCAAACTCGAGCTCCACATCATCGTACGGCCCGCCCGCCACCTTAATCCCCGCCGCCATCTTAAACTTACACCACAACTCTGGTTTTGTGCGGGCCAGAGCGCGGGGCCGCCGGTCTCGTTCGACGTGGCGCCGCTGGACCCCGAGGCGGCCGCGCTCAAGCGGGATCAGGCCGAGGAGAGGCGGCGGCGTCGACACAAAAAGGAGCAGGACCGCAACGCTGGGCAGCTCCACCTGCAGTACCTCTACAACCCGCCGCAGGGCGAGTGGGAAGGCTATCTCACCGTCAAGGGTAACGCACGCAACACACACGCAGCACACGACGCAACAATGCGCTGATGATTGGTGGCTGTGTTCAGTTGCGGGCGCCAGTGGTCTGCCTCCGCCGCCTGGCCAGAAGTGCCCCGATCCCTACGTGGTGCTCTCGATGGTACACACACACACACACACACACACACACACACACACACACACACACACACACACACACACACACAGGTGCAAACTAATTGAGTATGTGGTGCTACAATGAATCGTTCAAGGGAGCAACGAGGGAGCGTACCAAGGTGCGTAAGAATTCGGACAATCCAGTGTGGAATGAGATCCACTACTTCTACGTACCGCCCGCCAACTCGGAGAACGAGGTCAAGAGCTTCCTGATCGACGTCTACGACTGGAACCGGATTGAGAAGAGCATCTTCATCGGCAGCACCTCGATAGTCCTCGAAGAGCTGGTCGCCGGCCCCGTCCAGGACCTGCAGGTAAACCCTATTTACGGAATATATATATTTATATAATCAATATATATATCTGGTTAACATGTGTGTTCCATGTAACGGCACCAGGTTATTCTATGCGGACCACCGCACACGCAGAAGAATGTGTCTAAGAAGCTGGGCCGGCGCATGGCGGAGCAGGGCTACACCCCCAACCTGCCCATCGTGTTGGTTCCCGGCTTCGCGTCGTCGGGTCTGCGTGTGGTGGAGTCCTCGCACAAGCCGTGGGTGAACGACCGCGTGTGGCTGTCGCTCAACAAGATCATGTCCCAGAACGCCAGGAAGCGGCTCGACGTGGGCCGAAGCAAGAAGTGCTACGACACCATCGACTTTGCCAACAAGGTGCGACTTGTGTGATTTTATCTCTTTTTTTAATTTACATTTTTATTCATCTATTTATTTACATAATTAATTGTTTTGTTGGTGTGTTTTTTATATTTTAGAATTTGTGGATCAAGCACATTTGTTTGTCTCCGGAGGATTGTCGCAGCGACCCGCGGCACATCAAGGTGAGGGCGATCCAGGGCAAGGAGGCCGTCACCTACCTCGACCCGGGCCTGCTCACCGGCTCCCTCTCCTACGTACGTACCTTTGATTTTCTACACTGACATTCCAAACATGAACGACTGGTTGGCATTCCACACTCACTCGCACCCTGGTCCAACAGGTAATGGGTCCTCTGGTGGAGAACCTCTGCGAGCTGGGCTACAACGACAACAACCTCATCTGCGCGCCCTACGACTGGCGTGTTCCCTTCTACTACCTGGAAGAGAGGTCTCTACACCGCACGACACGCGCGCATACGCAACCCGCACACGCACACGCACACGCACACGCACACAACATCTGCGATGTGCGGCTGACGGCATGCGCATTGATCTGCAGAGACGGGTACTTCTCGACGCTCAAGGTCAACATCGAGGCGATGGCGCGCCGGGAGAAGAAGAAGGTGGTGGTCCTGGGCCACTCGATGGGCAACCGCATCATCCAGTACTTCCTCAACTGGGTACGCACCACCGTCCATTGGCTGGCCAACTGTTATTTAGATGTCATGACATTATTTTAACAACCAATCAAACTTTGACTGGATGGACCACCAGGCAAAGCTGAATCACGGACAGGCGTGGATCGACCAGAACATCCACACGTTCGTGGCAGTCGGCGCGCCCTTCTTGGGCGCACCCAAGAGCGTGCGCGGATTGGTACGTGCAATTGTTATATATATTTCTATCAGAAATCAAGTCACAACATATTCTAAATATATGTTCTCAGATATCGGGCGATCGCTTCGGCATGGACCTGCTCCTCTCCAATCGGGAGGCTAAGGGCTTCGCTCGCACCCTCGGTACGCACACACATGGTGGAGAATTTGATGAATGTTGGTTGGTTGCTGAATGTTGGTTGGCCGGGATATGTACGTTGGGCGGAGGAATGCAGGAAGCGTGCCCGGACTGCTGCCGATTGGCGGAAAGCTGCTGGATGACCTCAACGTGGGCGTCGTCTACACCAGCCAGAACGGTGAGCTGCCCGCCAAAGTCGACGTCCTCCCGTTCCTCAAGGAGATCGGCTGCGCCGTACGTGCACACAACACACGACGACACACGACACACGACACACGACACACGACACACGACACACGACACACGACACACGACACACGACACACGACACACGACACACGACACACGACACACGACACACGACACACGACACACGACACACGACACACGACACACGACACACGACACACGACACACGACACACGACACACGACACACGACACACGACACACGACACACGACACACGACACACGACACACGACACATCGCACGACACGCGACACACGATTTTACACTTACACACCGACACAGAAAACGGTGGAGATTTTCCAGAACGATTACCAGAACGATCCGGCCTTCGGCGGAGGCGTCGACGAGGACCATTGGCCCATCCTCGGCCCGCCTCCCGTGCAACGGCTCCTCGCTATCTATGGTACCCTCCCGCGACACACAACACACAACACACAACACGCACACAGACACACACACAACACACACACACACACACACACACCACACACACACAAAGATACGCGACATGTCTGATTGTGGGGCCGCACAGGTGTGAACCTGGAGACGGAGCGGCTCTACTTCTACAAGCAGGGCCGGGACGAACGAGAGTGGGTGCTCGACAAGAATCCCAAGATCGACCCCAAGGACCCCACCTGGTCTCAATTCTCCATCAAAAAGGTGCGCACGCCCCCCCCCTCTCCGCAACGTTGCGTATCGTGCACACACGACACAGACACGTCGATGTGTGTGTGTGTGTCGTGTGTGTGTTGCCTGTGTGTGTCGTGTCGTGTGTGTCGTGTCGTGTGGTCGATGAGGTGTAAACACACTTGGCAGGGTATCGCATATGAGACGGCGGAGACCATGCAGCCCACCCATGAGAAGATGACCGGCATCCGCACCTTCTGCGCTGGTACGCGCCAGGCGACACCCGCTCCCTGCGCTACAAATCTCTGACCACACACGACACACGCAAAACACAACACGCACGGCAGGCGATGGCACGGTGACGTACGCGTCGCTCACGTATTGTCTGATGTGGAAGAAGGACATCAAGGAGGTTCGCGTTGGCGCATCGTCGGTGTGGCAACGAAGAGAGCTGCTGACAGTTCTGTTTCTCTCTCTCTCTCTCTCTCTCGTCATCGACGCATCAGGTGATCGTGGAGGAGTTGGAAGGGGTCGAACACCGGGAGATCCTCAACAACCGCCTCTTCTTCAAGAAGCTCATCGAATTCATCGGCGACAAGCCGCCCACCATCAAATCGCCCATCCACCTCACCGTCCGCGGCAAGGTACACCCTACTCACACGCAACACACACGCGACACGCGACACGCGACACACGACACACACGACACACACGACACAACACGCAACACGGCCGGTTCACGGAGGTTGGTCAACCACCACCAGAACTACATGCGGAAGTACGCGAAGGACGTGCTGGAAGACGTGGACGACGATGAGAGCGGGGCGGACGACCAGACCTCTCTGTCGTCATCGTCATCGAGCCGCGTCAGAAGAAAGGAGAGCGCCCTCGACGACTACTCGGAGGACAGCGCGTACGTGGTGGGCCTGCACGACGACGGCGCCATCGAGGACGGCAGCGCCTACGAGATGATCTGACGCAAATCCCACTTTCAACTTTTCTTTTTAAACACAAAAAACCAACAGTAAGAAAAGAAGCTGCAACATCAACAATAAGTTATTGACTTGGGTACTAATATATAACAGCATTAATAATTATAATAATAATATGACAAATAAAAAGGGACGAAGGAATGAATGGACGTGATCCATCATCAGCCCATCATCAGCCCTTCTTCTTCGTCTTGCCCTCGCTCGGCACCTCCTGCACACCATCATCACCGTGTCAGCGATGATCACGCACCACCACGGCCATCGCCATCGCCGGCAAGACAGATGCGGAGCGTACGGCGGGTTCGGCAGCGGCGTCGGTCACGGCAGCGGCGAGCTTCTTCTTGCGGCCCCACGTCCCGAACGTCTTCTTCTTCGTCTTCTCCTCCGTCTTCTTTTCCCTCTCCTTTTCCTTCTCTTTCTGCTCCTCGGCCGCGAACGCGTCGGCGATGTCGTCCTTGCGTAGAATGCTCGTCAGGCTCTTGCGCCAGCTCTTCCTGCCTTCCTTCTTCACCACCACCTCTGCCGCCTCTGCCGCCGGCGCCGGCGCCTTGGGTTCCTTGGATTCCTTCGCCTCGTTGGGCTTGGTCGTCGACGCGTCGATGGCGTCCTCGTCCGACCGCTTCAGGTTGACTTCGCTCTTTGACTTGCGCGGCCGCGCTCCGGGGCTCTTGCCCTGGGCGTCGCCATCGCCGCCATCGCCGCCGGCGCTCTGTGGGCCGTCGCCGCCACCATCGGCATTCTTTGCATTCGTGTCCTCCTCCTTCGCGATCTTCTTGGTCTTCTCTCTTCTGGACGAGCCGCTCTTCTTCTTTTTCTTCTCTTTCTTTTCCTTCTTTTCTTTCTTCTTCTCTTTCTTTTCCTTCTTCTCCTTCTTCTCGTCTGTCGACGGTGTCGGCGCACTGGCCGCTGGCCCGGCACTGCCCGGGCTGGGCGCGGTCGCGGCTCCGGCCGAATTCAAATCCGTCGACTTGGTGGCTTCGACCGAAAGAGCCGTTGTCGACACCAATTCGCCGTCGCGGGTGCGGGCCGAGCTGGTCTTGAAGTTGAAGGTCTGCTCGCGCGTGGAGAGGCTGATGGCGGTCTGGACGGCCTTTTTCCACTCGGCCCTTTCCTCGGGCGTGAGCGCGACAAAGGTGAGCGGCTTGCCGCCGCTGCCGCCACCGCGGCAGTGGATGTCGAGTCGTAGCTCCGGGTCGGGCTCGCTGACCGCCGACGACGACGATTTGGTGACGCGCATGGTCGAGCGCCACACCTTGAGCCCGCCCGAGCCCGACAGCGATGCGTGCGTCGACTCCTTGGTGGACGACTTCTTCCCTGTATCTGCAATCACCACTCAAATCAGCGGCGCACACAACACGACGCAACACGACGCAACACACGCAACACGCACGAGAGGGGGTGGAGTGTACCGGATTCGTTGGAGGGGGAGCGTTCGAGGGTGCTGGAGGAGCTGGCGGAAGAGAGGGAGCCGATGACGGTGGGTGGACTGTCAGCGACCTGGAGGTCCTTGGTCGGGATCTTTTCGATCACCCGGAACGACGGGCCTTGACGCGAAGTCAACGGCTTGGTCAACACCAACTGACCGTTGACCAAACCAGTACAGTGGAGTCGTGGTAAGTCAATAGAAGAAATATGTAAATATAAATAGTGTGGGTACGTACCATGTCGTTGAAGAGGATGATGTTGAGCTTGCGCTCCTTCTTGTTCTTGCCTTCGCCCTTGATGCGGGCCAGCAGGCCCTCCCTCACCACGAACCGCTGATTGTCCACAAAATCGTTGCCCGGCTCCTGCACGCATTTAACCGTGTGTCGCGTGAGTGCGGCGTGTGGCGTGCGTGTGTGGCGTGCGTGGCGTACGTCGGGGTTGGCAATGGTCTTCTGCAGTTTGATCAGTCGCTGCACGTTCTCCACCTGGCGCGTTCGCTCGTTCACCATGTTCACGATCTCCATAATGTTCTCGTACACCTTCTCGAGCGGCTCTCTGTCCGGGTGATCGTTGGGAGTGTATTTGATCACAGCCTGCACGAGTTTTATGTGAGGCGCGCTGATCTTGGGGGGAGGGGGACGAACTATGATGAGAAGTTGGCGTACGTCCAGCAGTAGAGGATATTTGAGGAGTCGTGCGAGCGGCGCGTGAACAAAGCTGTCCAGTGGCAGCAGGCGACACTCGGGATTCACGAAACATTTCTACAAATCAATTAGCCAAATTATAATTGAAATAATAAAAGAAGAATAATAATAAAGAACGGAAAAGAACGAAAAAGAGAACGAAGACGATGGAGGCGAATGAACCTCGAGGAAGGCGGCAAAGGGAGGGTTCTTGTCCTTGAATTGCTCGACCCGCTGGTTCACGTCAACAATTGCGCTGCAGAAGATGGCGTAGAGCTTGAACATCGACTCCCGCTTGGCAAACACCTCGCCCAGGTTCTTGATGGCCACCTTCTTGCTCTGCAGCTCATCCAGCTCCTGTGTGGCGCGCAACACACACACAGGTCAGCATCACACGATCTCTCGAGAATAGAAACTAGTGTTTTTTTGGAGTCGGCAGCATTACCTTCATCAGCTCCAGGTTGATCTCGCGAAGAGTCTCCACGTTGGAGAAGACAGAGTTCATCTCCGATTTAGTGAGATAGTTGTTTTCGTGTATGGGTTTGATGAATATCTGCATCACCGCACACGCACACGCACACGCACACGCACACGCACGCACCACACACGGTGAGAAGGGCGAAGAGGAAGGACGTAGTAGTAGTAGTACAATGGTGGCGGGGGTACCCGCTGCAGGATGTCGAGGTCGTTCATGTACGAACGCTCGGTCTCGATGACCTCCAGGATCGCCTTCTGTCGCGATCGCTCCTTCTCATCGAGCGATGCCAATTCCTCCTGCCAAATATTAAATAAATAAATAAATAGATAACAACGCACAATTAATTTTATACTAAAAAATTATCAATATGATTAAGGACGAACCGCGGAGAGCCATTTCTCGAGATCGGAGGGCTCGAAGGTGGGTCCCTTGGGCGCGCTGGCGCCGGGTTTGATCTTGTCATTCGAGCTCGGCGAGCTCGCCCGCTGCATGACACTCCCCGATCAGCATCAAAACCAACACCCATATGGGTGCCGAGGCGGTGAGTGAAGGCCGTACCCGGCTCGTGGACCGCTTGGGGCGGGGGTGGATGAGTGTGTGCAACAGACCAGCGGGCTTGGTGGTCTCGGGGGCCTTCAGCGCGAGCCACTGACCAAACAAAACGTGGGCGAGTGAGGACTTCAGAGTTAAAACAACACATAGAGCGAATTGAGAGTCACCTTGTCGCTGCTGCTACCCACAACCAGGGAGCTCACGGCCATCTCCACCCGGCCTACCAGCACGTCTGCCCCACAGGAAAAGAGCGAAGGCGAGCGAGACGGAAAGAGCGAAGGCGTGAGATGTCTACACACGAAACGTTGGGAAAGTCAAGTCGAGAGAGTACCCTTGCCAGCGGGAGTGACGAGCCAGCATTCGAAGGCGAGCTTGTCCTGACTCTCCGCCTCCCTGCGATGAAAGAAATCCAACCCGGCCAGCGAGTCAGTTGGTCGGACATAAACGCACTACGGCAAGTTTGAGTGAACAGAGACACGTACACGTTGAGAGCCTCATCCCACTTTGCGCCGGGGCCGGCCGGGAGGGTCTTGGTCTGTACGCTCTCGGCCGACGGAGCCGTGGAGGAGTGTGGAAGCACAGTCACGCCGCAGCGCAGGTGGCCGCCGGGGTCGGCGTCCGCCGGCAGGTTTACCCCCTGCGCCTCGATGATTGTCACTGCACAACCGTGTCAGCGCGCAAGTGAATCCAAATTTTGCGCCTTATTTATTTATTTCTTATTCTTAAATATTGATGAAGCCGTAGAAATCATAATGGCGTTTATTTGTTTATTTCATAAATAAATGGAAAAAATAAAACTGAAGCACCCACTCGCCAATAAAGGAACTAAAAAATACAAAAAATAAAAAAAATATACTCGGCAACACCGGACCTAAAATATGGCGTGGGTGCCTGGCGCAGGTGTGACGGTTTGGGGGGGGGCGAAGAGAGCGAAAGAAAGGAGGAACCTTTGATTGTGAGCATCAGGAGATGAAACGAAACAAGAAGCTCTGTGTTCGAGGCAGGGAAAAGTCCACGTATTGGCCTTGCGGCTTCGCTTTGGTTGCTGAGTTTTTTGAAAGTGTTATTTATTCGGCCGAGACATAACTGCCGGCCCAAACTATTGGCTGGCGGTTGTGTCGGTTTGTGGCAGGAAAGACAAAGCTTGCCGCGAGGTCACCCCCGTGGGCCAGATGCCAGGCCCATCCCCAGAAGCAGTCGCACCTCAACAACATCAGGGTGCCCGGGAATGGCTTCTACACTCTCTAAAATATGCCGACATGTTCCTTGAACTGGTTTCGAGGTGTGGTGATAAAACTGAAGAAACCACTACAGCACCAAAAGACACACAACACAAGATAAGATGGAGAAGGCCACAATTGGCGCGTGCGCCAGACCTCGGCTCACCTTCAAGGTGGTGCTCCTGGGCACTGCCGGGTGTGCATACCCCCCCCCAAAACAGTATTATAAATGTAAAATGGGCCTCATGCAGAAGAACTTTGTGGTGGTGGGGGCGACAGGGTGGGAAAGTCGGGTCTTCTGCAGAGGGCAAGGAACGGCGAGTGGCACAGCGCCAGCGAGCCAACCGTCGGCGCTGACTTCTGCCAGAAAGATATGAGCCAGCTCGTTCGGCTGCAGATATGGGACACTGGTGCGTTGGTTACCCTCTCTCTCTCTCTCTCTTTCCTCTCTCTATGCTGCACTGCCAGAGCTGAAACGCGCCGCTGGTACGACGCAGGGGGACTTGAAAGGTACAGAAGCCTGACGCCCATGTACTATCGAGGCGCGCACGCGTGCCTACTGGTCTACGACGTTTCCAACCGCGACTCCTTCGCAGAGTACGCCCCACATGTTTTGTTGCTGATGATGATGACGATATGATGCTGTTTTATACGAGGTGACTCACATGCGCTCGCATGCGTCACGGCAGTCTCGTTAGGTGGCTGGCCGAGGTCAGGGTCGGGTCGCCGGCTTCGATCATCGCAGTGGTGGCTGCGAAGTGTGACATCCCAGCCAACGAGCAACTGGTACCCGTTTGATTCCGCCTCGACCGTGTGCGTGTGTGCGTGCGTGCGGTGTGTGTGTTGACCAATCGTTGTGGCCAGGTAACATCCACCGAAGCCGAAGCATGGTGTGCTCAAGAAAATGTACGCACACTCGTCTTCATCTTCTGCTCAGGCACTCTAGTATCTGCGTGACACACACACACACACACACAGCTACGGCACTATCGCACCAGCGCAAAGAGCGGTGAGGGCGTAGACGAGATGTTCGCCCAACTGGCCGAGGACCTGCCATCCCAGACACCAGAGAAACTGGAGTTCCCCCCGCACGAGCGCCTGGCATGCATTCCCGCATTCCCGACGTACGCCTACCCCTCCCACATCCCTTTAACTATTCTTATTTCTATCACTTTCTTATTATCTTGCAATTACGAGTGTTGGGATACTTATAGTGTATTACATTATATTATATTATAATTTACACTGTGGCTGGGTGCAGCGATCGAACGGAATGTCTTATAAACCCCTGTAACGAAAACGCCTGCTCCATCATGGGGCCGCCACCTTCGCACATCTCGCGCCTCTACGCCAGCAGACACCTCTAGTACGTTATCCTCCTGCGATTGTTTACATCTTTTCGTGTAAAAATGTAATCACATTTCTCTAAACGAAACGAATGTTAAATAGCGATGGCGTGGGGACCCGGAGGCGTGGTAACGATGTCATCGCCGCGTCGATGCCCAAGCAAGCCGCGAGCAACCACCGCGGAACTCAGCTGGTACGACCACACTCTTTGGCGATTGTGTTTTTTGACTTCCTCGCTTTTTGAGACTCACCTCGCTTGCCCTAATGAGAGCAGACCATCGACGGCGAAGCCCACACACTCGGCGTGGACCTGTTCACCGCCGCCCGAGCCTACCTTCGCTTTTCTGGTATGAATCAACATGTCATTGACTCCCCCCGATCTACAGCTGATGAGCTTGCCACGTACCCACCAACGCCGCTGTGCTGCGTCGTGAGCAGGACATGATCGAGCGGGAGTGGCCCGATCTGCTTTCCCCGAACTCGCGCCCAAGCCTTCCCGCGCTACGCCAAGGTACTGCCCAGGGGTGGAATGTTAAGAACTCTTCGTTCTCTTATTATCGCGCTTGGCAGTTCCTGAGGCTGGCGGCGCTCTACCCTGAACGCCGTCTGCACGCGCTGCCGGACGTCGAGCTCCTGTGGAAGACCCATCTCATTCGCCCCATCCACTACCGCAAGGTTCCACCACCTTCTCCTCCCTTCATCTTTCGCGGATTGACACACGCACACCTCTGACTCGTGTGTCGTGCGGTGTTGAGCGCAGGAAATGGAGCTCCTGTTTGGGCGTGTGGTGGACCACGCGGAGCTGAGCGCCGCCGCTGAGACAGCAGCGGCCTTGTCCCCCTCGGTCTTGGCCGAGACCGAGCGCTTGTGGGAGCTCCACTATGCCGAGCCCTACGCTCTCGATCGTACCGAAGAGGCCGCTTCGCCGGCCGATGGCGGCGCCGATTCGGCGGAAGTGCTGACGCGGCTGCCCGGTGGAGGCGAGGCTCCGTCGTGGGAGGCCGTGGCGGCGGGCATCTCCGTGAAGCCCGACGAGGTGGAGAAGGACGCCCGGTGGCTGCCCTTCCTCCGCACCTTCGTCGCCAAAGATGTACGCACCCTTAACACCGCGCCTACGACACGACACGACACGACACGACACAACCAACGACACGACACGCGCTAATGCGCACCGGTGGCGGACAGAAGACGGAGGAGCTGTGCAATGATGAGTGCACGCTGAAGCGATGCGTGGAGGGCTACGCCCGCTTCATCGCCGATTGCAAGCAGGCCTTCAGGAATGGCCAGCCGCTGCATCAGACGGACAGAGGAGAGGAGGGACCCACCTACGACATCGACTTTATGTGGTACCTACACCCCCCCCCTTCTTTTTCGTGGGTTGTCTGTTTCTCACTACGCCGAGTCTGCTGGAATTCCAGGCATGCTCACATGATGCACCCGGTGGCGTACCGACGCGACTGCCAGGCCCTGGGCGTCAACCTCGACCACTTGCCGTGGCCCCACCACCACTAGCTAACAAACTACTTCCATGATTAAACAATACTTATTATTAATATTTTGTTAATAGCAGAGTCTGCAGCTTCAGAAGTAGAGCCAGTCGCCTTGTCGCGGAAAGAGGAGGTGGACCTCGAGTGTGTTTCGGGCCTCCAACTCCCTGCCAACAATTAATTGTATGATGAGCGCGTTGCGTGTTGTGCGTTGGAGCGCGCGGCGCACCTTTGGATGGTGGCGACGGCGGGAACGGGCTTGCGATAGATCAGGTCGTCGGCCTTGATGTGCGTCACCACCACCTTGAGCCCCTTCAACAGCCCGCCTGGTCGCGCTCCCGGCTGGGCCTCGACGAGGCGGGCCAGGACCCCGAGCTCCTGCATGAACAGCTGCGGGTTGAGGTGGCCATAGAGCTTGTCGCTGGCGCGGTCGTCTCCATAGGAACACTCCAGGAAGAGCGCTTTCAGCCTCCCGGCAGCCACAATCGGCGCCACATGTATCCACACCTGTCGGCCATCATGAGTTTTGTGTGTCGTGTGTGTGTGTGTGGGTGGGTGTGTGTGCGGTGCCTGTTTCATGTAGTCGTCTGCCTCGACTTGATCTGCGCCCGTGTCGCCAAAGTAGAGAAGGTAGTCTTCACCTGTCTGGTCACAGGTTTTTGAGGCAAGTGTGAGTGAACGTTCGCCGCGGGGCGCAAAGAAGAGAATGAACCTCGTTAGGTACACACCCGCAGGAGAAAGGCGGTGGAGAAGTAAGTGGAGCCATCGCCCATCTTGCCGTGGCTCAGCAGAAACGGACGTACGCCGAGCGGAGGCGCGGTCAGGTTGCTCTCCTGGCCCACGGGCAGGGTGACCAGGTTGTAGAGCCCTATGGGCGCATCGCCGCCGCTGCCCATGTTGGGCCACACCTTGCTCCCAAGAGTGAGACACACACACACACACACACACGATGACACAACACACACACACACACACTGCGAACCTTCCAGTTGAACACGTGGTTTTGGAGGGTGTCGATGGTGTAGTTGGTGCCAGCGACCACCTTCCTGGGCGTGGTGTAGGCGTCATCGGGCGAGCCGACCACCAGGCCCGCCGTGTGGTCCAAGTGCCCGTGGGAGATCAGATAGCTCTGCAGCCCCGCCGATGCGTGGCACACGCATACAACACGCCACACGCACGCGCGCACACACACACACATGAGTGTTGAGAATGTCGGATGGCCGCGGGCTCACTCTGGGCGCGCACTTGGACGCTGTCGCGGTAGACGGCGCCTGCGGCGGTGAGCTTGGGACCGGCCGAGGGGCTGGCACGCCGCGGCGCCCTGCTCGACTGCAGCGCACGCTGGAGGCCGAACAGCGCCGTCCCCGCGTCGAGCGAGACGTAAGTGACCGACGAGGCGCCGCCTCCGCTCTCTGTTACGAACGCGCAAGTCCGAATCAACACACGACACCCACCACCGCACCGAATCAACACGACACACGACACTCACCACCGCACACGGCACACCAGGATGAAAGAAAATGGAGGGCGTGCCGATGGCGCGTAGGAGGAAGCCGCCGGGAAGGTCGCTTTGGTCGAGGCCGCCGCCCACGCCCAGGCAGACGACCTCCCAGCGCGCCCACAAGGGGACGGTGACGCCATGGTCTGGCGCGGGGCCGTCTGCTAGGGAGCTGATGAGGGCGAAGAGCACCATACCCACAAGCGCGGCACAGGCGACGATGAGCAGCCACTTGCTGCCGCGCCGCAGCCAGGGCTTCTCGTAGCAGGCCACCACCATGCTGTGACCAACTGCGTAGCGACGACTTGGATTATCTCTGCTCGGTCTGATGCGCCTACTTCGTCCTCCCTCCATCGTGGAGGCTTCGTCGTCTGTGCCCTCCTCCAGCACGGGAGCACCGGCCTGGTAGGACTGCAGCCTGTAGCCGTCCATGCAGAATGGAGAATGAAGGAAATGGAATAAAGAAGAATAAATTCGCGAATTACAGAATTGAGTGATTTTGATTAATTATTTGCGCCACAGGGTGTTAGTGATGGAGTGCACTTCTTTCGATTTATAGAATAAACACGACCGAAGATACGCCCCAAAATTCTCTCACCATTGACCTCAGCAGGTTTAGTAATCGTCATCACCACCGCCGAAGAGACCACCGGCATCCATGTCCTCAGCCTCCTCCTCTTCCTCAACCTTGGCGGGCTTGCCAGCGGGCTTGTCGCCACCAGCGGCAGCGGCCTCAGCGGGGGCGGCAGCACCAGCGGCGGGGGCAGCCGAGGGAGCGACGGCGACGGTCTGGAACAGGAGATCGTCGAGGTTGCGGTTGGCCAGAACGCGGGCGTAGAGCTTCACGTAGAAGGGGGGCACATCGACGTTGGCAGCCTTCACGACCTGGGCGAGCTTGTCACCCTGTAGAGTACACAATGTAGCACGACGGATTAGCAAATGGGGAAAAATGTCCAGGAATGAATGAGAAGAGATTATGGCTCCGAAGAAGGTGGAGGACGTACAGTCACGTTGACGCCACCATCGTGGAGAAGGAGGGCGGCATAGGTGATCGAGATCGTTGATCTCCTCCTTGGGGAGAGTAGCAAGAGTGGCGGCCATTATACCTTGGTGTTTGAAGTCTCGTGAGTCGACTTAGCCTTTGGGGAGGGACTACAAACGGTATGCGGGATGACCGATGGCTGTCCGTGAAGAAGGAAGAAAAGAAGAGCAGTTCAGGGAGGGGGGCTGATATTAATTGACATCTCTGGCATTCTTTGGAAATACTCAAGAATCCATTCGTTGTCTGAATTCTTCCCCGGAAATACTGGAGGAATGCCAGTTATGCGATACAGGAATTCACGTGCCTGCCCATCAACCACGCCAAACCAGAGCGATGGAGGCGGCTCCACCAAACTCACCGTTAAGTGCAAAGGAGGCCTTCACCAGGTGAGGGATGGTGTTGTGCAGGGTAGCTTACTGGTCCGCGGACCTAACTCTTGCGTGCGCTGCCACCGGTGCGAGATTATAAGAATGGAGTAATGAGGCGTTGGTTCGGGAGCTAATCCTGGTGCTTCCGGAAAATGAGTTATGCGTTTCGCGTAAGCCACTGGCGCGAGATGAATTAGTGATGTTGCACCGCGCCAATGGCACGCTAGTTCTTCGCGAAGACGACAACCATCACAAGAAGCAGCTGCCGCAACAACCACCGCGTGCCACACACGACCTTTCTGGCCCTTTCCCGGGCGTTCGGTTGTCGTTCTTTGATTTCGCTTCCACCTCCGACTCTCACACAACTCACCTCCCCCGTAGTGCACACGCACACGCACTGAGATGGCACAACAGCAACATCAAACCGCGAGGTACGCAACCCTTCTTGTTCTCGCCTCTTCTCGGAACACCAACAACCAAAAAAATAGGGGATGGGGGTTTTGATTTTTCTCAAGCCTTATTTATTATTAATAACTTTATTATTTGATTTATCTACAACTTTATTATTTTGATTTATCATGGATTGATCATTCTTTTATTGTTATTGTTATTATTCGCTTTGCTTATTAATTCGGTTATTTTTTTATTTGAACAGAATACCCCTCGCTAAGAATACACACGAATACACGTTTGCTTACACCTTCTTCTCGCCCCGTTCGCCAGGCCGACGCCCATGTTGCCCTCCTTCTCATCGTTCGACGATGCATGGCTCGGGGCCTCGCAGCACACCCATAGCGCCCAGCAGCAGCGACGGAACCTTCCACCGACGATGCTCGCCCCCCTCCTCACAATCTCGCCCTCTGGCCACCTGCCATCTTCGTCATCTTCATCTTTCGCATTTCCTACGTTGTCATCTTCATCATCCCCGCAAGCCCCGATCGATGGCGGCCTGCTTTCCATTCTCAACAAGCGCAGTTCCGAGCCATCTCATCGACACGAGGAGAGCCGCGTGATGGGTCGCACGGAGGAGGAGCCCACCACGTCATCTTCATCCTCATCTTCAGCCACTACGTCATCTACGATATCGACTACACCGTCTTCCTCCTCTACTTCGTCGTCGCTCCTCTCGCCCACGTTCCTGCCGTCGCTGGCCTCCGTCATCGCCTCGTCTTCCTCTTCCTCGCGTCCCTCCTCGCCTCCCTCGTCGCCACGACCGCCCGCAGTCGAATTCGCACTCGGAGCGCTCTCCGCTTCATCCGGCACCCCCGCTTCTTCTACTTCTTCTTCATCATCGTCTTCCTCTACAACATCATCGTCGGGGTTGCTTCCGCCCAAAAAGCGCAAGCTCGAGCCTTCGGCCCGTTCCGCCTTTTCTCGATGCACGCCCGCAACCACAACTGCAACCGCAGCCGCGTCATCTTCTTCATCATCGTTGCCATCATCGTCGTCGTCCACGCTCGCCTTCCCCTTGGCGACGACGGCGGCGACCACTACCATCTCCCCCGCTGGTCCGCAGCCAACGGCCGCCGTGGTTGTCCCGATCGTTGCCACGCTCCCCGCATCGGCCGTCGCCTTGACGCCGCAGCAGCAGCTGCCCGTCCCGACGCCCACGGCCAGCGCGACGATGCCAGTCCTAGCGCAGCCGCAGCTGGCCCAGCAGATGCTGGCCGCCAGCAATTCGGTGCAGATGCTGCTGGCGGCCGCCGCGGCCGGCAATCCCTACGCCACGCAGCTGCTCTCGGCCATGGTCGCGCCTACGCCGCTGCCGCCGGCGGGGACCGAGCTGGTTCAGGCCGGCGGCGGCCTGCCGTCGCTCCCCGCCGCGCTGGCCCTCTCGTCGCTTGCCACCACCGCCGGCGTGCCGCCCGTCTACGCCGCCGTCCAGTCGCAGTGGCAGCTGCAACAGCTCCTCCTCGCGCAGCAGCAGCCCAGCTCCACATCGTCGGCTTCTTCAATGACATCATCATCTACAACAACCACAACATCAACGCCGTCAAAGACGTCGTCGTCGTCGCCGTCATCAACGACGTCGTCCACGTCGTCGGCAGAGCAGCAGCCGCCGGTGCCGTTCGTGTACTACTCGTCGCTCGAGGAGGAGATACGAATGGAGAACCTGCGCAAGCGAAAGGAAGAGGAGGAGCAGCGCAAGTTGCAGCAGCAGCGGCAGCAGCAGGAGGACCGGCAGCAGGCTCTGGACGACGGGGACGCGGACGGGCTGCAGCGACGGCTCAAGCGGATCAAGAAGGACCACTCGCAGGTGGAGATCCTCGAAGAGGCCTTCAAGAACAACCCGCTGCCCTCCAAGAAGATGAAGGAGAAGCTCGCGCTCGAGGCCGGCCTCACGTCTCGCGCCGTCCAGGTACGCACAGCCTCGTTCGCTCAACTTGCCTGTTAACCCAGATGTGCTGTTATATGAGTTGTTATCGGAGTGATCGTTGCCTTAGTGGTTGTGCAGTTGTGTTCTGACCAACCACCGCCACTTGCCACTTGGTATCAATTCTCTGCTTTAGGTGTGGTTCCAGAACCGAAGGGCCAAGGAGCGACGACAAGTGAAGGACTCTGGCGAGCCAGAGACCTCACCCGATCCCTGGGGCGATCTCTAGGAGTGCTAAGGGAGACCGTGACTCCCACACCGCGCCCTTTCGCCCTCTGTCTTGAGTCCTTGTTGTTGGTGCAGTCCACTGCAAGGATTCCCTTTCATTTTATTTATTTTTATTTTTCGGTGCAAAGGACGTGTCGGGCTTTCACAGAAAGGGCGTTGTGTGGCCAAAGCGCAGCTTTTTTATTCTCTCCACTCAACCAGCAGGAGACCAAACGCCACCCGTTGACCACCATGTTCTTCGCTTCCAAGGTTGTGCCCCTCCCCATAATAATGTCTGCCACAAAGGTGTTGGTGTGTTAACATTATTGCCCCCCCCCCAAAGTTTGCGTATGTGGGGAAAGATGAAGATGAATCCCAGCAGGAGCCCCAGCAGCCTCCCCATCAGCTGCAGGTATGCTTGCCCCTGGCTGACTTTTTTTGTAGAGCCTTTTCTGAACCTGGGCCACTTTTATGTGGCGTTCACATGACAGCAAGCTCAGCAACAGCAGCAGCACGTCCAACACCTTCAGCAGCAGCAACAGCAGCATATGCACCAACTCCAACAGCAGTACCAGCAACACACCCAGCAATCGCAACAGCAGTTCCAACAGCAGCAGCAGCAGCAGCAGCGCAGCAGGCACGCACTTCTTTGTTCGGCTCTTCGTCTCCCGCCTTCTCGCCCACGCCCACCGCCTTCGGCTCTGCCGCGCCTTCCTACTCGCCCACTTCTCCCTCCTACTCTCCCACTTCGCCTTCCTTTTCGCCCACGTCGCCCGCCTACTCGCCCACTTCGCCTTCCTACTCGCCCACGTCGCCCGCCTACTCACCCACTTCGCCTTCCTACTCGCCCACTTCTCCCGCCTACTCGCCCACGTCGCCTTCCTACTCCCCTCGGTTTCTTCGAATTCGGCGTTCTCGTTCGGGGCGCCGCCCAGGGCGTACCCGCAGCCGGTAGCGGCGCTGAACGCCCCGCTGGCGTCGCCTCGCGCCTACTACCCCACTCCCACGGGCAGCGCTCCGACGGTAAGCCATTATCGCACATGCCGTGTGTCGTGTTATGTGTCGTGTGTCGTGTGTCATGCGTGTCATCGTGCGATAGGTGTGGCTGACGATTGATGTTTGGTGGCTGCCACAGCCGCAGCTTCAGCCGCAGTTCGGGCGCACGCCCAGGGCGAGGAAGGTGGACACGAACGTGCTGACGGTGGGCCTGGGCTCGCTGGCCGAGGACGTGCCCATGATGACCGGCGACCCCGTCTTTTGCAAGGGCTGCTCGGCCATCTTCAGCTCGTTCAGGTATTGCATATCGACGCACCACCACTCACATTCCTCACGCATTCCCCAACGCCTGTCTGGCGCATTCAATTCCTCACATTCCATTGGGCCACCAGCACGATCAAGAAGGTGGAGAGCGGCGGTGGCGAGGAGAAGAAGACCGAGAAAGAGGAGGAGGCGGAGGCCATCGAGGGCGATAGCGTCTGGCAGTGCGAGTTCTGCGGCCACGCCAACCAAATCGAGCTCGACGACGAGGAGGTACTAACTACAACACACGCACATGACACACACGGCACACACGACATACACGACACCCACACGATTGGTGGCGCTGATGTGTCATTGTCACCCACCTCCAATCATCACCAGGTGCCCAAGGCCGAGTCCCTCGATTACCTGCTGGAGCCGGCCCCCGTCGCCAGCGACGCCACGGAGAATAACCTCGTGTTCGTCATCGGTACATTCCCAAGTCTCAAGAATTCAAGGTATTTCGACGAATCGGAGGGTTGGCTGACGAGCAGCTCGTGGGGGCGGCCTCCTTTTCATGCAGACATTTCGGGGTCGATGTGCGTGTCGACTGAGGTGCCGGGCAAGGTGCAGCTCAAGGGCATGGAGAAGCGGCGACAGGACTTTGCCGGCTTCCTCATCGAAGGCGACCAGTTCATGCCCGGCCAACGCCGCGACGTCACCTACATCTCCCGCCTTCAGGTACCGCACACACGACACACGACCACGACACACACGACACACACGACACACACGACACACACGACACACACGACACACGCACGTGTGCTGATGTTTGGATTTGGCCTTCGCGTAGTGCGTGCAAGCTGCGGTTGCGAGCCAGCTGCAGGAGCTGAAGATCAAGTCGCCCAATCGTCGCGTGGGCGTGATCTGCTTCAACGGCGACGTGATCGTGCTCGGCGACGGTTCGGAGGCGCCCAAGACCTTCACCGGCGATCTCCTCACCTCCTACGACGGCCTCTTCTCCGCCGCCTCCCAACTCTCCCTCAGCCGGTACCGCTCACCCTTCGCCCTTTTCCGCTTCACGACACGACACTCGCCGCACACGACACGACACTCACCGCGCACACGGCACGACACACGTCAGGCCGGTGAGCGAAACGAGCGAGGGGCTGGTGGAGAAGGTGTTCGGGCTGCAGGAGACGGGAGCGACCGCGCTCGGTCCCGCCGTGCTCTGCGCCGTGGCGCTGGCCAAGACCAACGGCACGATCCTGCTGTGCACCGACGGGCTGGCCACCGTGGGCCTGGGCTCGATGGACGCGCTGCGCAGCGTGGCCGACCAGGAGGTGGTCGAGTCGTTCTACCGGCGCGTGGCCGACGAGGCCCGGGGGAAGGGCATCGTCATCAACACCGTCTCCATCGAGGGCGAAGACTGCAAGCTCGAGAACCTGGGCATCCTCGCCGACCTCACTTCCGGCAAGGTGCGTTCCATTGCGTGTGTTGTGCGTGTGCCGTGCGTGTCGTGTCGTGTGTCGTGTCGTGTCGTGTGTCGTGTCGTGCGTCGTGCGTGGCTTACACGTGATGGGTGCGTGTGTCGTCAGGTGGACATCGTGGATCCGCTGCAGCTGGAGAAGAACTTCGATTCGATCCTGGAGAAGCCCACCATCGCCAAGAACGTCCGCCTTCACTTCCTCCTCAGCGCCAACATGTACGTGCGCTCTTCCGATGAAGCGGTACGTCGCGCCCCTAGCCTGTGTCGTGTCGTTGGTCGTGTGTTGGTCGTGTCGTGTCGTGTGCTGCGATGTGATGTGTGCCGTGTGGCTCACGACGACTTGGGGGGCGGGCGTGAGTACAGATGGGCGACGGGATGGAGGTCGAGGGCAAGGAGCAGGCCAACCACGTGGAGAAGGAGGTGGGCAACGTCAACGCCGATTCGGACATCTCGTTCGAGTACGGCGTCAAGAAGGAGTTTACCGCCCACAAGATCGACACGCTGCCCTTCCAAGTGCAGATCCACTACACGAGGCTGGACGGAAGCAAGTGCGTGCGCGTCTTGACGAAGCAGCAGAAGGTGCGCACGCATGTGTCGTGTTGCGTGTCGTGTGGGTGTGTGTCGGTGACGCTCGACGCTAACCTTGATTGAATTCCGGTGGTCGTGTGCGTGTGTGTGCATCGTCAGGTGACCACCCAGAAGGAAGAGGCCCTTAAGGAGGTGGATGTGGCCGTCATCGGCCACAACGCCGTCCAACAGGCCGGCGTCATGGCCCAGCGAGGTGAGCTTTCTTTTCTTTTTCTTTCTTGCTTTCCCTCTCTTCTGATCGCTACCCGTGTGAACAGGCGACTACGAGGGAGCCAGGCAGTGGCAGTCCATGAACGCGTCCCTGATGATGAAGGTCACGCCCCAGGCCGCCCCGCAGCAGCAAGCCGCTCTGAGTACGCCACCTTTCGTTGCGCGTGTGTGCGTGCGTGTGCGGTGTCGTTGGTCGTTCGTTTTCGAATTCTGCTGCCCACTGAATCGGCTGACCTGGTATTGAATGGGCGATCAATAGCGTCCTACATGGACCAGGCGCGACACCTGGACCGACAGCTCGACACGATGCAGAGAATCGACGCGCCGCAGGGCTACGCCGACGCCGACTCTCGCTACAGGGTGCGGCTCCCCGCTCGTTGCCCACCCACCACCCCGGGGCGTATGATGAAGGTTGTGTTTCGTTCACGAGACGCTAAATGCGACACACACGACACGACACACGTTTACGCACCGCAGGGCCGCCAGCAGCTGCGATCGGACCAGGCCGCGCGAGCCATCTACCAGGCCAAGTCGACCAGCCGCGCCGCCTTCACACCCAAGAGCAGCGACCGCGACCGCAGCCAGTGATTGCGCGTGCGCACTCGCGAGACAACCGACCACCAGCGTGAAAACATGTACACGGGGAGCTAAACCACAAAAACTGTTTGTATGTACAGCAAACATGTTCTCTGCAAATGGCGATGTCAGGTGTCCGTCCAGCTTCTAGAAGGTGAGGTTGGTGGTGAGGGCGATAAAATCTTCGCCGGTGTTGACGATGGTCGGATTGACGAGGTTGAACCCCTGCAGGGCGGGGATCTGGATGCCCACCCCCGCGTGGTAGTTGATGGCGGGCAGGAAGGCATCGGTGCAGACGTCCTCGAGGACCCAGTTGAATTGGTCGATGGCAGTGATGTCCCCCACCAGAGACAGCTGAAGGTTCCGCGCGAGCGCACACGCACACACAACACAAGTTTACCTATTTGTTGGCGACAAAACCAACACAAAAGCTGGGCTGGCCCGTACCAGCACTTTGTACTGACAGTCTATGTAGGAGAACTGGCCGTTCAGTACTCCATTGTTGATCTTAACCTGTTGTTGTTGATGATGTTGATGATGTTGGTATTTGGTTTGGTGGTGTTGGTGGTGTTGGTGTTGTTGTTGCCAGTCGCGTTACTAAAGCAGTAGAACAGATTGCGGTTTGCGGGGGAGGGGCACCTCGCCTCCGGCGTTGATGGAGACACCGAGCCCGATGATCCCCTGAGTCGTGCCGTTGATGGCCCCGCCGTAGACCACCGAGATGAGGATCTCGGCGGTGATCTGGAGCTGAATGCCCTCCTTCTGGAAGGAGACCATGGGCGGACTGTTGGCCGCCACCTGCGCGATCAGATCGCAGTCCGGAAAGCTGCCCAGTGCCGGCACGAATGCTGTGGTGTGTTTTGTTAAGAAAGATGTTAGTTTGGTTGACGTGTCAGACATGATGTCAAGAAACCTAAAACAGAGATAAATGAGGCTGGCATGTCACGTACGAATCCAAAAGTCGGTCTTCATCATGACGGCAAGCCAAAGCGGAGCATTCTGTTGGCCAATCAAGAGATTGTCAAACAAGTCGCAAAACATGATACGTAAGTGTGGGGTATTGGCCTCGAAAGCTCGGCGCTCCACACGCCGGTGCTGTAGGCGAGGTTGAGGGCACGGAGTCGCTGATCAAGATCTGCACCATGTCGTTGACGGTGTCGGGCATGGGGAGCCGGAACACCGGGACCTCGGTGCCGTTCGGCAGCAGCCCCCGCGCGAGCTGCTGGTGACGTGGTCTGCCGTCACGTTGGGCGGCGAGTTGAACGAGTTGTCCATCTCGAGGAGGCCCCAGATGTTCTGGTGGACCGGCATGCTGGCCAAAGACTTGTCCACCACCTGAACTCAACACATGTCAATGATATCTATATGTATATTGCTACATATCAATATACAGAAAAAATGGTGAACCTGGTTGACCGTGGAGGCGAAGGTAGGACCGGCGATCATCGCTTCAAAGGCAGACTGCAGGGGCTGGCGCATGGCCTTCATGAAGATGTCGCCCAGCCAGCTGTGGTGGTGATGCCAAGGGTCAGACCAACTGAGGTAGCACAAGAAGCAAGTGAGAGAGGAGCTGGACCTGGGGCCGGCTGCGTTCATTACGTCGATGCTGGTGACGTTGCACTTCGCGGACAGGGTGGTGAGGGTGAACTGTTGGTTGTTTTCGCCCAGCTGGAGCAGTAGCGCGATGGAGGTCCCCTGGAAATTGAGCTTCAGGCTCCTCCCCGAGCCAGAAGAGTAGGGCGAGTCCAGCTGGGTGTACTGGAAGCCTACGCTGGCCACCAGCTGCGTGTTACTGGACTCCACAACATCATACCGACCACGCGACACACACGATACACACGACACACACGACACACACACGACACACACACTCGCACACACACATCAGGAGACGGATGGCGCCATCAGAAATCGTGAAGGAACACGCACATGGTCAGCGTGATGCCGGTATTGGGCTGGAGGCCGGTGCTAGACGTGGAGTTGACGAGCTGCATTGGGGAGGCCGAGTACAAGGTCCACTTCACCGTGCCAACACCCGGAGCCGGGGCGGACCCCTGGACGAATGGCGAGGAGATGTTGTGGAAGATCTGCGGCACGATAGACAGTCCATCGGTGAACACCTTCAGCCCTGCCCACACCACTTGTTGAGAAAAAAGAAAAGAAAGGATGGCACAGTATGCAGGAGGGGGTGGCGAACCGGCCTGGGTGACGGTGAACTTGACCCCAGGCAGCTCAGCGGGAGCGGTGGATGGCAACACTGTTGAAAGCGCCAGCAGCGTCAACAAGGCCAGCCCGAGATGTGCCTTCATGGCCAGATGTGATTTGTTTTCGTGTTGTAGGCTGACATGGAAAAAGGAAATTCTGTTGCACGCGAAGTTCTGTGATCAAGAAAATGAAAAGAAAACAAGAGATTAATTTTCTTCCTCTCTCTACACGCCACAAGCCGTGCGAGATGAAGCGCTGCAATTGTGCAAGAAGGTGCTCCTTCTTCTTCTTTCTTGAAATCTGAAGGCTCCATCTTGGGAAGCTCTTTGGAATAAATAACAACGTGTTTCTCTTGCGACCCACGTTTCGCGTGTGATTACCCAAACAACAAAACCTCTCCACCTCTTTCTCTTTCTCGTTCTTTCTTTTCTGGAGCTTCTCTGTTTACCTGATCTTCTTCTTGTCCTTGGAGGTCAGGAGGCCCTGCACCTGCTTCATCGTCTCGTCCACGCCCTTGAAGTAGACGTAGACCAGGCCCAGGTAGGCGGCGATGACGACCGTGAGAAGAAGGTCGAAGGTGCCCGGCTTGACCTTGTGCACGGCCAGCGACGCAGTCGCCGGCTGATAGAAGACCACCGACGACGCCCGGCTGGCTGGTCGCGACACGTCAGCGTCGGCCGCGGCGGCCGGCGTCACCTCGCCGTCCCACGGCTGGGTCTGCCTGGTCACCTCGGCGTAGTCGCCCAGCGCCTTCTCGAGGGCGCCGAACAGGGGCGACGCGGGGGCGAGGTAGGGGTAGACGCGCGGGAAGGAGGCGACGGTGGCGAGCCACGAGCGCAGGAAGTCGGCGTGGACGGCGTGGGAGCCCTCGAGCACCGCGCCCGACTGGTTGCCCAGCTTGTAGACATAGCGGGCCAGACCCTCGCCCACCACCTTCACGTTGCGCGCAAACACGTCCATATCGATCTGGCTCCTGTTCATCGTAGGAAGGGAAAAGATTGAGCGATGTGTGGTGTGCGTGCGTCATGTGTGCAGCTGTGGTGGGAGGAGCGGAGTAAGTACGTGGTGTCGAGCACGTTGGAGCGGGAGAAGAGGGTGGCAGAATGCTGGGCAAAGTGGGAGATGGTCGCGGCGGGGATACGCTTGCGCGCAAAGACCTCGTGCTCCCAGGCGATGCTGGGGTCGCTGATGTTGATCTTCTTGTGCACCAGTTCCACCTCCACACCCTCAGCGGCACCGGCCGCCTTGAGGTTCTGTCATGAGTCCCCCCCCGGAAAATTAGACACGACACGACCAGCGACACGCACATCGAGAGATGAGACGTACGCTGTAAAGCTGACCGATGATGGGGTCCTTAGCGGGACGGGAAACGTGGAGATGGAGCTTGTCGCCAGCGGCCAGGGCGTCGAGGCAGACGGTGAGCTCGATCGAAGCCAGAAGGCGAGGGTCGGCTTGATCGGCCCAGACGCGCGCGCCGGCAAAGTTAAGGCGACCACC